TTTTCGGGTCGAAAAAAATAAATAAAATACATCCAACCTGAAATGAAGGGACAATGAATCAATCAATACACTGACATGGCAATGCTTGACAGATAGCCTAACTTGCTTTGTTTGCACATCTCTACCGTGATTTTGTCACTCTTCTCTCCACGTCTGCAATTTTTCAACAGGGAAATATACATCATTTCTCAAATTGTCCCTTAACCGCCCAACCCACCCACTTACCAACAACACATGGATCAGCATTATTCAGCACAGTACAAATACATGGGTGAAGTAATCATACAAAATAAACACACACAAACAAAGAAAGAAAGAAACACCTATTTATAAAGCAACTCTTGTGTGTATTGCCAGAGATGGGTGAAGCCCTAGTCCAATCAAGGGGGCAGTCTATGCAGGGGGGTAATCCATTGACCGGAAGTTGAAGCCTCGCGGAAGCTCCCATCTTGTAGCAGAACTTCACTTGCGTTAGCATTCCCATTGACTCCCATTCGTTTTGACGTCACTTTGACGGCGAATAACTTTACATCTGAGGCCTTAGAAGACCCCATTTGACCTTTATTTATTTCTAAAGAAACACGACAATGTGTAAAATGCTCCGTTACATTGTAGTGTATGTTATGGCCCCGTAGAAGAAGTTTTTGTGAAAGTAAGCTAACGATTGCATCATACCCATGTATCATGTATCTCTGTCGCACAGTAGAGAGATTACCGTATGGACAGGAGAAGAAGCTCGCGGGCAATCGGGGAAACGTGGAGGCAAAATGACAAAATAATTAATCAGAATACCTAGCAAAATTGTCTCCTGCTCCTCGCTCATGGACAGCTCTACTCACACTCTCCACCTCTACATGTTTGGGAAGGGAATGATTCAGATTTCTCATGTCACAGCACTAGAAGACAGACGGGTCGCTCACGTCACATCTACGTCGTCAAGCTCTGTTTGAGTCTGAGCGTCAGGGACGGAAGTGCTAAAAAAAATCGCCAAAAACGGCATCATCGTCTCGGTGGAGTTCCAATGAGATCGCTCTGTCCATTTCTTTTACTGTCTATGAGTCCAATAGAGTTGTCAGATCCTCCTCCGACTTTACAATTACGGAAATGTATCCCCCATCTCTCCTGACAACTTCGGAATGTGGAGGCATCCAAGGCAGATCTATAAATGATTTATATTTCGTTAACACAGACCAGGGGTGCAAACCAAATGAGGCTTCTGTAAGACAGGTGAAGAGTAAAAAAAAGTAAAAAAAAAAAAAAGTTTTACAATAACTATTTTCACCAAAAGAGGACAGGGTTGCACCACGTGATTTGAAGTTGGTCAAGATTACTCTATCAAGCTCTATCTAACAGTCGAAATCTTAACTAAACAGAAAAACATGATTAAAAACGTACCCTCCATCGTGCAAAAAGATGTGCACATGCCGGTAACGTTAACTTCACACTCAACATACGGTTGGAAAAACTAGAATCTTTGACGGGTCCCTGCTGGTGCGCGCTCCGCTCAGCCGCGCTGACCCTGGTCGACGAGAACCCGCATGAGAGATGTGACGCAGGACGTAACCCCGCCCCCAGGGCGAGATGCCCCAAAATTTCCAGTAGCACCAGAGAATGTCTAATTGAAGAGAATTGGCACTGGCTACTTCCGGTTTCTGGACTGGCTGCAGTAACGCGTCTCTGTCCATGCGGGGGCGCTCGCGGTCGAGTGCAGAATGAATGGGAGTCAATGGGGTTTCACCCCCCAGAAATCCACTTTTCTCAGGATGTAATTTTTTGTCAAGTAATTTGAAAGTTGCATTCAAAAGGGAGGGCTAAGATAATACACTCAGCTGAAAATTGCATTTTTAAGTTCACTTATCTGTTCTAAAAATCCGTTCAAAAATGTGATGACGTCACACAATAGCAGAATGCTAGCGTGCTCCGGCCAACAACGGCCTAACCTGTAAGAAATCAAAAGGGGCATAAGTACTCGTTCATTCGACTTTCGGCCTATAATCTATATTGAACTTGCGGAATCAACAATAAAATCTATGTTGATTTAACGACAAGTAGGTGAAAGAGACACATTTAGCCGTTTAGCCCCATAGACTCCCATTCATTCTGCTCTCACCCGCGATCACCTCCAGTGGAATTCTAATGGAACTGCAACCAGGATGACACACAACGGGGCTAATAGGAAGTGCCAAGGCTCTCCGTTAGACGGGCTCTGGTAACTTGAAATTGAATTTGAGAAGTGAATGTGAAGATATATAGAGAGTTTAATTTTCAGGGAGGATCAAATTTTATTGGACTTCAGTTCCAAACAAATAAATTCAATTTCTAATACAATTCAGATTCAGTTTTTGAATAAATTCATTTTTAATTAAACAATACAATTTCAAATTATGTGATTTAAATTTAGTTTTTCAATGCAATTTTTCAAGTTTAGCCATTCAAATTCAAATATAAATGGTTCAAATTCAGTTTCTTCAGCCCGTTCATTTTAAACAAAATTTCCAACCATGTGCATCTTTGGTGCAAATGATACTTGCGTTGATTTTTTGTAATGATATGAAGACATTAGTAAGTTCTTTGTCGTTTCAAAACACAAATTGTTAAATATTTCGTCATAATACGCTGTAATATTCTAATATTCTGAACTCAATCAGACTGGAGATGTTCATTTTAACGGTCTTTATTTTGTCATTTTTATGGATTATATACAGCAGATCATTCATGAAACACATGGCGTGCACTGGAGCCAGTAAACATTAAAAAAGAAGAAACTACATCATATTTATATTAATATTTACAAAATATTTCTCAATAAAAGCCTAGCATAAAAAAAGTTCAAACATTTTTTTTTCTCTTTTTTTTTCCTTCAATAAATTAACTACAAGTGGCTTAACTATGCTTGTTTCTGGGGTCACACACACACACACACACACACACAGTTGTCTTGAGGAACCACATGATAAATGCATCAGTGAAAGATAAGACGTTTCTGTGCCGGTTCACGGCTGGACTGAATGTTTCTGGACCTTCGATTACAGGAAATGAAGAACTAATTCACTGACAATGGCAATTCATTCCAGCGCTGATGATGCAGATCTTCAGGGTTAAAGATCCTCTTGTGAACATAAAGAGAAAAACATCGAGATGAACACAAGATGGACCGTCGAACAAACACGCACTCTCTCTCACACACACACACACACACACACACACACACAACAGAAGCGCCCATGAGTTCAACATGACAATAAATTAAACACTCCAATAAGGTCTCATCTGTTGACTTCAGTTACTGCAACACTCAACATGACCTAAATATATTATTAAAGCATTAATGAACCGTTCTTAATGTCAGTTTATAAAAATCACAGTTTGATCATGTTTGTTTAAAAATAAACTCGTAAAAATAAAGAATCCAAAAGTGATATCATAGAAGAACTAAAACTATTTTAATAATCTAAAGAACCTTTTGTGGAACGGAAATATATTAACCTTTATTTTAACGTAAAAAATATATTAGTAATTGACATCAACATTAACTAAGATTATTAAATACCATAGAACTATTAATTCCCTGTAAATTCTACTGGTAACACTTTATAATAAGGTTCATTAGTAAACATGAACTAAGAATGAACAATACTTCTACAGCATTTATTAATATTAGTTCATAACATTTACTAATACATAATTAAAATCAAAGGTTGTATTTGTTAATATTAGTTAATGAACTAACATGAACAAACAATGAACAGCTGGATTATTATTAACTAACATTAACCGAGATTAATAAACACATGTATTGCTCATAGTTAGTTCAACTTAGTTAATATTTAACTAATGTTTACTAATGAACCTTATAGTAAAGTGTTATGTGTAATTGGTGAATAAAGAGCATGCCTTATAAAACTAAACAGAAAAACACTCTCGACTCTATAAGGAGAAAAGTTTTAAATGATTGCATAATACTAGTGATAAATGAACAATTTAATTCAAATTCAAACTAAATTAATTAATTAATACTAAGTCTATAAAATGATCCCCTTTAAGGTTCCATATAGAACCTTGATTACACTTTATTTTTTTTAAATAATGAACATGTTCTTACTGTAGGGTTAGGGTTTAGTTGCATGTAATTATGCATAATTTACTGTTATTACTACGGTAACTATGTAACAAGGACACATATGTAAAATAAAGTGTTACCAGAACCTTTTCTCCTCAGTATGTTGTACTTAATCAAAACTAACTTTATCTCAATAACTTTATTCTAGAGCTGTCATAAAGCCAAGGCAGAGTTACTGTAAATCTGCCGTGAAACAGTCTGTATTGATAAAAGTGCCGTATAAATGTTGACTATAATGAAGTTGAATTGACTTGACATAAAACTTATTTCTTTTTCCCTACACTCTAAAAAATGCTGGGTTGTTTTAACCCAATTTTGGGTCAAATATGGACGAACCCAGCCATTGGGTTTCATTTTTAAATTACATTTTTAACCCAATGGCTGGGTTTGTACATATTTGACCCAAAGTTGGGTTAAAACAACCCAGCATTTTTTAGAGTGAGTGTAGTGATAAAGTACACTCTAAAAAATGCTGGGTTGTTTTAACCCAATTTTGGGTCAAATATGGACAAACCCAGCCATTGGGTTTCATTTTTAAATTACATTTTTAACCCAATGGCTGGGTTTGTACATATTTGACCCAAAGTTGGGTTAAAACAACCCAGCATTTTTTTTAGAGTGATGCTGGGTTGTTTTAACCCAATTTTGGGTCAAATATGGACAAACCCAGCCATTGGGTTTCTTTTTTAAATTACATTTTTAACCCAATGGCTGGGTTTGTACATATTTGACCCAAAGTTGGGTTAAAACAACCCAGCATTTTTTAGAGTGATGCTGGGTTGTTTTAACCCAATTTTTGGTCAAATATGGACAAACCCAGCCATTGGGTTTCATTTTTAAATTACATTTTTAACCCAACGGCTGGGTTTGTACATATTTGACCCAAAATTGGGTTAAAACAACCCAGCATTTTTTAGAGTGAGTGTAGTGATAAAGTATCTTTATGAGCTGATTAATTCTTACAATTGAATTAAAATTGAAACTAAATGAATGAATTAAAAGTAAACCCATAAAATGATCCCTTCAAGGTTCCACGTGTTCTCAGTATGTTGTCCTAACACACGCTTATTTAGTCAAAAATGCCCAATTGAAGGTCAAATAAGGACAAACCCAAACATTGGATTAAAAATGCCATTTAAAAGAGTAACCCAACGGCTGGGTCAGTCCAAACTTTGACCCAGTATTTTCCCGAGTGTTGATGTATGTGAACTAGCGCAGCACATGAGACCTTATTGACGGGTTGAACATGGAGTCCAGTTCGAGACGGGGATCTCTAGAAGAGGTTGGTCTTGATTGTGTTGGGTTTCCGGTGGAAGGTGGACAGGACGCCGGCGAACGGCCCGGACGCCACACTGTCCGCGGGCTGCCAAGCCTTCAGCAGGTCCGGCGTGGGTCCGGCCGAGCCGAGGCTGGGCCACGGCGAGCTCTTCAGGCCCTGGTGGAGCGAGGGCGAGATGGAGGCGCTGGTGAAGCCGGAGCCGGAGACGGGGCTCGGACTGAGGCTGCCGGTGCCGGGACTCCCCATGTTCCCGGATCCGGGCAGGGACGCGGTGCTGTCGGGCGTCGGGCTGCACGTCGACTCTTTGGACTCGTCATCCTCAGATGAAGAGCGAGTCTCTCCGGGCTTCTTGGTGCCGCTCGCTCCTTTAGAGTTGGCGGCGCGTTCCTGTTTGCGAAACTTGGCCCGTCGGTTCTGGAACCAAACCTGAGGAGGAGCCACAGATCAGTCAGAATCACATTTCATACAGTATTAATGTTTATTTATTGTCTATTAAATGATATTATCTGATGCACTTGTTTGATTTGAATTACCTTACACACTAAAAATATAATATTAATGTTCATTTTTAAGTCAAGTCACATTTAATTCTATAGCGTTTTTTTAGAGTACAGAGTGTTTCAAAGCAGCAGAGTGTGTGTCTACTGTACAGCAGATCTAGAGATACACACACTCACTGTCCAGCTTGAGGAAACTTCAATTTTATTGTAAAAAAGGTATTCATTTATACATATACACACACTCTAAAACTGCTGGGTTGTTTCAACCCAATTTTGAGGCAAATATGGATAAACCCAAACATTGGGTTAAAAACTGTCATTAAAAAATGTAACCCAACACCTGGGTTTGTCCATATTTGACCCAAATTTGGGTTCAAACAACCCAGCATTGTTCAGAGTGTGAAAGATGTTAAATTACTGAAGAGTTTAAACACTCAAGTTCCATTATGAGGTCTTTCTTTCCTTTTTTTTTCTCTTTTTCTTCATCTATTCTCATTTTGTTTTAATCTGTTTTAGTTGGTGTCCTATTTCTATATTTTTTTGCACAATACAATAAATAAATAGAAATGAAAGAGCATTACATTTGTTACAGTATTAATGTTTCCTTTTAGTCTATTAAATGATATTACCAGATATCAAATTTAGATTTTAATTATGTTACATTCTTACAAGTAAATGTTCTTTATAAGCAGATTCTTTAAAATGTTCTTCACGAATAAATGATTCTTTTATGATTCTATTGCATTGCTGCAAAAAAAAAAAAACTTTATTTTTAAAACTCTGGATCTGAACAATAAGATGAGATAGATTTGGTTACTCTTTATTTTAATGGGTCATTACAGTGTAATTATATACTTCAGTAATATACAGATTTCTTTCTTTCTTTCAGCATGGATGGTTCATGAACCTAAAGGTTCTTTAAAATATTCCTCACACTATAGAATTAGAACTAGGCCTAAATTTAGTTATAATATAGATCTAGAAGTATATATTTTTTTAAGGTTATTTGAAGAACAAACTTTTGTTTTTAAGATGCTGGATTCGAACTATAAAATGAATAAATGCTTTATAAATATTTTGGTTTCTCTTTATTTTAAGGTGTCATTGTTACAGCGTAATTATGTCAGTACTGAGTAATATTAATAAACCACTGTAAATGTTCTTATTAGGCCTATAGGCTTTGGTTTAGTCGCATGTATTAGGCTATGCATCATTTCTAAAAAATGCTGGGTTGTTCTAAGTCAAATATGGACAAACTCAAACGTTGGATAAAAAAATGGAATTAAACAAATTAACAAAACGGCTGGGTTTGTCCATATTTGACCCAAAATTGGGTTAAAACAAAATCCTGCATTTCAATGACACTGTAAAATAAAGCGTTACCGATATTTTTCAATATGACGCGTTATTAACGCATACATTTATACACGTGACCAATGCAGCCGCTATACATTTGAATGAATTACATCTGAAAGAGCCCCAAATATCCAATATAGATGACAATTCATACTCTTATATTTTCATATGGTTTTGCACTTCAGTGATGCGCCTCACCTGCACGCGCGCCTCCGTCAGGTCGATCTTCAGCGCGAGCTCCTCGCGCGTGTAAATGTCCGGGTAGTGCGTCTCCGCGAACACGCGCTCGAGCTCCTTCAGCTGCGAGCTCGTGAAGGTCGTGCGGATCCGCCGCTGCTTGCGCTTCTCGTTCAGACCGGACGGGTCCGAGAAGAACTTGTACGGGACTGAAAGAGCAACGACACCGGGACAGTCAGGATGACGTGAAGCAGAGAAACAAGTGGATTCTGTCAATGTTGCACATTTCTGTCTGAGTATTAAAACAATTTAAATAAGAAAAAGGAACGGTCTCTGCGTTTCTTTGAGTGCCATAAAATATATTTGAGGAATGCGTCCGTGCATTCGTTTTATTATGATTATAATTCAATTATGCATTTCGTTTTAAAACGACAGACTCCCTATTAGTCACACATTTTCTGACGTGAAAATGCAATAATAATTAGCCTACACAAGCCAATAATTTACATTTACCGCATAGAAAAATCAGGCGAGACAGGATCGCGTCTCATTTATTTCTTCTGTCCAATAAACGCTCTTTTTAATTATAGATCCGTGAGACATAATTCAATTAATTACTTTAAATTGATTTGCGCCTCAAATTACATGACACGAGTTTTAGGCTAATTTAATTAAATTAGTATAGAACGCAAACTCACAAAAAGCTATCATTCTCGTTTAATTTTTGCAACTGGGTATATATATTATCCAAATTAAAGATTAATTTGTATTAAATATAGAAAATAAAGGTTCTTTATCGGCATCGAAGAATCGATGGAATGCATAAACGATTCTTTATAAAAATGTTCACACTTATTTAAAAAAAATACGGTTATTTTAGGGACTGATCGCTGAAAGTTCCAATTAGAATTCTACGTCACAAAAGAAACCTTTTGAAACGTTTTTAAACACTGAGTGATGACGTATAATCGCTACATTCAGAACGAGTTCTGCTATATTTTAAACAAAGAAAAATGGACAGTTTAGCGTGACGAATACCTATATAACGCACGCGCGTAACATTCCACACCTGCTTTATTTTTTTAAGTTTCATTCCATATGAAGTGTTTTAGTTCTCGCACATGCATGTGTGTGTGTGTGTGTGTGTGTGTGTCACCTGTGGAGTAGGGCGCAGGCTGGTGTTCTCTCAGCGCACCAAGTGCACAGCTGGCGGACCCGAGCGTTCCGCAGCCCGGGCTGGAACTGAACCCGTTCCGGATCGGGTTGTACTGGAACGCGTTGCTCTGACTGCACGAGTTAAAGTCCGCGTACGCCGACGCCTCCATCGCCGCCATGCACGAGTCGTACGTGTTCAGATACGAGTAATCCATTTTGTACATGTGGAGGGCGGAATGATGGAAACGCAGGTGTGTGTGAAGGTCCGCTCGAGGAGTGTGTGTGTGTCTCGGTGTGTTCCGCGGCTCTGCTGCTCGGTGTGTTTATAATAAAGTTGGAGTCCGGGAGACAATGGCGAGGCGGTGGTCTGTGTTTGCATGACAATGTCTCAGTTCTGAGATCCTCCTCCTTCAACACACACACACACACACACTCTCTCTCTCTCTCTCTCTCTCTATGCATCTCTAATGCACCTCCGCGTTAACCCTTTCCAGCATCATCTGCTACACTTGTGCTTCACTCTTTCATCTAATGCTCCTTTGTTGCATTTTATTTCCTGTTAAAACGAGACCTGGAGCGCGCATTACCCGCGCGCGCGCAAATATAACTCTAAATAAATGACTATTAATGGCTATTAAGACTAATGGCATTAAGGCGAGGATGGGCAACTTTTCAAGAGCGGGTAAATGGGTCCGTTTTCCTCTTGCTAAATGAATTGTGGGATTGTTTCAGCTTTAATGCGGCTCTGGTTGGTAGTGTGAGATGAAGTTTAATTAGATTTCGGGAATAATGGCCTTTATTTAACCCCCCAACGCTGCATTTAGAGGCCGAATGAAAGAAAAACGATCGTAAAATTAAAATAAACTATGAATTACTAATTAATGATGACTTGAAGTCGTTAATTGCACGCGTTTATTCGATCTGTTTTCATCAGATATGACTCGACGGAAACCTGCTGCTCACAGTCACGCGCATCTGTTTGCTGTCACTCACTATTACGCACGAGTTTATCCCAACTCTTAAAACAATATTAATTAGACATGGATATTATCCGTGCTTTTATAGCGCATTATGGGCCTACATGAAACGAACATTTAACATAAAAACCCGGTTTCAAATTATGCAATAATAATCGCATTTACCTTTATCAAATCAGGGACTGGATGTATTTCCATGCAGCTGAATGTGTCATTTTTAACCATATGTGTCATTGATTCGTTTCGGGTTTTCGTTTGACTTTTGACCCTGTAACCCTCTCTATGCGCGCGTAACCTGGTTATCCCGGAGCGGCCCCGGGCGTGCGCCTCACGGCGCGTTTGGATGATTTCGGCTGACGCGCGCCTCAAACTTCATCCATCAGCGTCCGCATCACGCCGCAGATTAACGACAGTACCGGGAAGTGACGAGATACACACGACAGCAACAAGTCTTCACGGACACCGGAACCTTTCAGCACGTGTTTATCATCTCCGTACACACCTGAGGAGAGCGCCGAGAACACCTGTCTGTGTGTGTGTGTGTGTGTGTGTGCGAGACGCGTTTTAGAATAGCTAATCAATAGCAATGAATTATGCCATTTTTTAATATCCAGCTTAACGAAGGAATATAATGTACTAATGTATTTAATATTAAACTTTTTAAAATAAAGGTTCAAATAGTTTGTTTTTAATGCAGTGGGTTCCCAAATCCATTTTCCCCATAGGAGAGTTTAATCAAAATAATATTTTGTGCAGTGGAAATATTCTATGGACGTTATGGCCATGGGAACGATCGATGCCAATAAGGATACATTAACGAAATAAAACAATGTAAAATTAAATGAAGTATTGTCTGATTCAACTCACTATTAACTTGGTGTTTTACATCCACGATAATAAAATAAATAAATAAAAATGACAGATTCCGCGTCATTTAAATCTATTAATATCTATTTTGCTGATTCGGCTTTAATTTTTGTTGAAATTAGCCTACATAAATGTTTGAACAAACAAATCAAAAAGTTTGGTTGTCAAATGTCTCGCGTCACCCGTTGTGCGCCCGGAGGGTTTCAGACGGGTCAGTCACTGTTTACGCGCGTGACACAGACGGGTCGCGTCTCATCCTTTCCCGATCCTTCATCCCTCTCTCTCATCAATCTCTCTCTCTCATTAGCCCAATCTGCATTCAGCAGTGATCGGTCACCGGGAGACACGCACACGCGAGCGCTCGCTGTAATGTCCCGAGCATCGGATGCGATTACTGTCAGCCAAACCAAAACCAACCCAAACACAATTCAATTATCCCGGAGAGCACGAGACCCTGCGCTTTCCATTTATATATTTATTTTGCGCTCGGAAAATGCCCTTTTTGTGATGGCAAAGCAAAATATGAGTGTTTTAGAACCACAGGAGAAATTAATGGAGGCTCTCGGACAGACAGTAAGTGCACTAATGTTAAACGCTGGTTAGTGTAACTATCGATCAACAACAGCATGCCAGAATCCATCAAAAAATGAAAAGCAGCGTGCTCGGCCTGACCCGTTCTTCAGCTGTCAATCACAGACCTCAGCTGTCAATCACGGCACAGTTATTTACACAAGCGCCATGAATGAGAAAGAGCCTCGTTACTGTTTCCGCTAATCGCCGATGAATTTTAAAGCTGCTGGTCTCACGGGTCGCTCGGATCGGGATTAGAGCCCATTTTCAAGACAAACACTCGGATTTGAAAGTCAGATGTCCGCGAGGGCCTTTGAAGAGATTAACGCATGTGTGCGCTGGTTAACACGGGGGACCGGGATCAGTTCCCCGGCAAACTCACCCCTGACACCGAGCAGAAGAGCCCGTGTGTCCGGCCCTGACTTCTGATCCACAGGACAGGAGAAACACTTTCACACCATCCAAACTGTTGCGTTCAAATCCTCTGCTCACACACACGGGGCATACCGCAGATTTAGCCTACACGGACGGATGTTCAAACGAGCCAAGACTGTTCAAAATACAACTGTCACTTTTAAAAAAGAAAAAAATTCAAAAATTCAAACTCCAACTGTCAAATAAAAAACAAAAACTCCAACTGTCAAATAAAAACTCCAACTGTCAAAGAAAAAGCAAAATTAAAACTCCAACTGTAAAATTTTCAAAATTCTAAATTCAAACTCTTCAAGTGTAAAAATTAAAATAATTATAATTTCAAACGGTCAACACGTAAAAAAAATAAATATATACATTCAAATTCCAACTGTCAAAAAAGAAAATCAAAATTCAAACTCTAACTGTTAAAATTCCAATTTAAACGACCTGATGTCAGACTAACTTAAATGTCATTCTAATAATATGTCTAAGCCATTAAGACTCATTTATTGCAATTTGCAAATTTAAATAATTATAATAATCATTTAATTTCATTAAAATAATTAAAAAACACTGCACAGATACAAAAAAAGATGACACTAATGGTTTTTCCTATTCACAATATAGAAATTAACCTCCTGGGATTCTATTTTTCTAATAGCACACAGGCTTTAAACCTATTTGGTTACACTTTATTTTAAGGTGAAGTATAACATTGTACTCAATCAGATAAGAGTAATATTAATGAACTACGCGTAGAGTTACAGTTTACGTTTGGTAGAGTTAGTTACTAATTATACATAATTTACTCTTTATTACAATAGTAAGTAGCCTACACGTAACGTGTAACGTCATCTTTAAATCTTTTCTATAGGCCTAACATACAAATGCGCGATTCATTTTTCATTCATTTGTCTAAATATGGAACAATAATATGAAATATAGCAAATGTTAGACAAAACTAAACAGAACTTTAAATACCCTATCTGTGGCGTTTTTGATCAGAGAATTATCTTTTTTTTTTGTAACTAGCTAAACTGTAAAAACATTTTCATAATTTATCATCACAAATTTTTTCTTTTGTCAAATAAACTTAGATAATTAATTAAGTTGAAAGAATTTTCGAATTTCTATTTATTAAACCAATCTCCATTGAATTGACTCAAAATTTTAAGGCAACCAGGCAACTTTATTTTTTTTAAGTAAAACCAACGGGGTTTTTTTACAGTGGAAAACTTACGTCATTTTATTATTGAAAAAACAAACCCCGCATCAGATGTGGCGGTTCTGTCTGTCTGTGTGTATAGTGTGTGTGTAGTGTGTGTAGTGTGTATAGTGTGTGTAGTGGCAGCAGCTGGAGAGCCAGTAATGGGCATACGCGTTAATCAGATCAGGGCTCCGGGGCCCCGCGCGCTCAGAGCCCGACACAACCGGCGCTGCGCGGGACCTGTGCAAACTTAATCGAATTAAACTCTCCTCTAAACTAATTAGCCGGCAATCTGCCACGCGAGCTGTCCCAGAGCAAGCTTTGAATTAGGCAGAATGGATTTCTCCCCGAGTCTTTCAGAAAGAGACACGAGACAGAAGAGAAGCTGCTCGCGCTTTTATTCGCTCTCATGTTCGCGGCGCGGGAAACCCTGTTCCGCACAGATGCTGTTCTTGCTGAAAAATAACAGCGAATGATGGGAACGGTAGAGTTATGTTACAGCTCCGACTTTACCAGCAGCAGGTAACAGACACCTGATCTCAAACGGCACATATGTGCTCAGACGGGACGCCATTTATCTTCGACACAGCACGAATAACAATGGCGCGACGCGGAGATATATAAGAAAACTAACGGTTACTGCAGAAACGCGCGTGCACGCTTCCTAAAATATCGCACGATATGGATTAAAATCAATATAACAGCGACAAAGGCACATCACGACGGCGGGAACGACAAAATAGTGCAACGAAGCGATAGAACGACCGATATATCGAAATGGAACGTTCAGGTCAGCATCGAATTCGAGAATATCGTCATAATAGAACGGTCACGTGACGTCATCAACAGAACTTATTAAACAGTGATTGTGTTGTAAACACAGTATTTCCACTCTATTGTTTCCCTGGCATAATAAATCACGGGTTCTTTCGGAGTTTACACACGCAAAGCAACATAATTACACACACACATCACAAATAATACATTTTTTATAGTTCATACGGAGATAAAACCTGTCAGATTGTTTAATCTTAGTAATTTGTGTATCATGACAATAAATGAAAATGAAAAACAGACTAACTACAATAGTGCAAGAGCACAGTGCTGAGATAAATCAAGTGTGTGTATATGTGTGTGTGTGTTCAGAGACAGAAGCAGGACTACGGTCTCTCTCTCTGAGAGTAATTTCTCATCTCTCAGATGCAGAGCTACAGGACTGTAAATGGTAAATCAATAATTGTGTGTGTTCCTGCAGGTTTGTCCGGTGGGACTCGAGCAGAAGAGAGAGAGAGAGAAAGAGAGAGAGAGAGACGAGAGACCGGCAGCGTTAAAAGACACGGACACACACGATAATGGACGGGAGACGTTCACGGCTGTGTGTGTGTGTCTGTGTATGAGAGGCCGGATCAGTGCAGACTGTGATAGAGGATCATCATTACACACACACACACACACACACACACACACACACACACACAGTAATGTAAGCTGTCTCTCGGTCGGTGTATAATTAGATTGGACTGTTTGAGAGGCTGAAGGAGATTTTCTGCTGTTACAGCATCTTCTCACACACACTCCTCCGTCTCACACACTCATCCATATTCAACCTTCTATCACTGCAGAGATTCATGCTTTATTTGAATTGTTTATATTCTTGTAAACATGTTTTCCTGAATCAGTGAACATCTACTGCTCTTCTGTTCACAGAAGTTACATCTAAACTAACATAGGACCTGCACCCGTTAACCACACACTCACATCCCAAATACTGCACACACACACACACACTACAATTACGGAGTTACAAATCACTGAACGGAGACCAAAACTGAGAGCGTGTCTGTGTGAGTGTATGTGTGTTTGTGTGAGTGTGTATGTGTGAGTGTGTATATGTGAGTGTGTGTGTGTGTGTATATATGTGATAGTGAGTGTGTATATGTGAGTGTGTATATGTGAGTGTGTATATGTGAATGTGTATATGTGAGTGTGTGTGTGTGTGTGTGTGTGTGTGTTGTGGGAGGTCTCGGTCATGCTGCCTCTGTTTTAAGATGCTAATTTCATCCCCACAGGAAGTGAGTGAATCTCTACATGTGTAAAGGAGGATGCAGAGAAAAGAAGGAATGTTCCTCTTGCATTCCATCCTTCTGTACTCTGTCACTCACTCACACACACACACACACACACACGTTCCACATTCCCAAACACATTCCTGTCACACGTTACAATATATATGCTGCCACTTGGTAATATTATAAGAAAACATGGAATTAATTTCCACTGTTACGCTGACGACACTCAATTATATATTTCATCACGACCAGATGAAAACACTAACTCATCTAAAATGACAGTGTCTCAAAGATATAAAATGCTGGATGACGCGTAATTTCCTGCTATTAAATTCAGATAAAACGGAGGTATTACTTATTGGTCCAAAAACTACTCACAAAACCTCTCACAATACAACTTTAATATAGACGGATGTCCTGTTACTTTATCCACAACAGTAAAAGACCTGGGTGTTATACTAGACCGCAACTTGTCGTTCGAAATCATATTTCATATGTTACAAGAACAGCCTTTTTCCACCTTAGAAACATTGCTAAGCTACGTAACATGCTATCTATTTCTGATGCAAAAAATTAGTTCACGCATTCATGACCTCGAGACTAGATTACTGTAATGCTTTATTAGCCGGTGTCCTGCATCCTCAATAAACAAGCTACAGTTAGTACAAAATGCAGCTGCTAGAGTTCTTACTAGGTCAAGAAAATATGATCATATAACACCGATTTTATCATCTCTACACTGGTTACCTATTAAGTTCCGCATCAACTACAAAATACTACTACTGACCTATAAAGCCCTAAATGGTTAGCACCTATGTACTTAACGGACCTTCTTTCGCCCTACAATCCACCGCGTTCCTTAAGATCACTAAATTCAAGGCTTCTGGTCATTCCTAGGATATCGAAGTCCAGTAAAGGAGGAGGGCGTTCTCGCATTTTAGCTCCAAAACTCTGGAATGGCCTTCCCGATACGGTCCGAGCCTCTGACTCGCTGACACAGTTTAAAACTAGATTAAAGACGCATCTCTTTAGTCAAGCATTCACATAATGCTTACCTTCTAGTCCTCTGTTATGCCATACGGAACCGTTTGCCACTGAAACTGCTTAACGCACCAGTGGGGCTCGACAGCCTCTTAGACAAACGGGTCGGCGCGTATGGTTGGGTTGCGGAGAGTTCGGGTTACGGAGATTTGTGAGTTATAACGGAAATTATTATGAACATCAGCTATGCTAATTATTTCCCATCTGCCTTTCTGCTGTTATCTCGGGACGCTTGTCCCGAGAAAAATGGCGTTCGTCAGGTCCAGTTTTGTGTCCAGCCTCTCACGGGATTTCGGATGCCCCAACGCCTGTGATGAGACGACTCAACGCCTGTGATGAGACGACTCAACGCCTGCGATATGTTATGGCGCCGTTTGATTCATAAACAATATTTATATTTAATATTTATATTTAAACAATATGAATGTAAGCCAGAGGAGAACTGGCCCCCGACTGAGCCTGGGTTCTCCCAAGGTTTTTTCTCCATCCAATCTGATGGAGTTTGGTTCCTTGCCACTGTCGCCTTGCTTTTGGCTTGCTTTGAGCTTGCTCAGTTGGGGTTATTTATTTAGTGTTTAGCAATGTTGTTGATCTGTGTTGTGCTACTTACATGTTATCACTGTGAAGCTGCTTTGATACAATCTGTATTGTGAAAAGCGCTATATAAATAAATGTGACTTGACTTGACTCTTGCATTCCATCCTTCTGTACTCTGTCACTCACTCACACACACACACACACACACACACGTTCCACATTCCCAAACACATTCCTGTCACACGTTACAAGCCGTTCGATTACGAGCTGCAGATAAAACAACATTCCTGAACTAAAACCGGTTATCGGCTCACAAAAAAAATACAGTCAATTTGATTTTATTTACAGTTTTATTGAATGTTTGTGCGCAATAATAATAAATAATAATAAAGATTTGGCGTTAAACATGTAAATACCCATCCTATGGAAGCTCGTTTCTGCTTTAGAAAAAATAAACAAATGTAATTATGACTTTTCAAATCACAATTCAGACTCGTGTGTGTGTGTATAATATATTTATATCTTGCAGTTCAGCTTCAATAATATCCTGAGATAACCTGCAATAAACACACAAAACATTCATGTTTTAAACAAACATCTTCAGAAGTTTATCAGGACGTTTCATCAAAACAGTTTCTCTTCTAAACATTTAATCACTGAAACTATTTTGTTTAAGGCTAAAAAACAACGTGAAACTAATTTTGTGAAGTGAAACATTTAAGAGCAGAACCGATTACATTCTTCCTTGTGATAAAGCTGATGATTGATTCACATTGGGATCGTTAAACCTCAGCATCATTAGTGTTGCACAGTATATAACACATAAACACAACTAATACACATCTTCAAATATATCTGTACACAGGACAAACATTCAGGAAACGTGTGACGGAAACCAACATCATGCGAGAGTGTGTGTTTCATATTTTCAGTCTGCACACACGACAAACGCTCAGGAAACGTGACGAAAACCTTCATTATCAGCGACATCATAAAGCTGCAGTGATTTATGGGAGTTATTAAAGTTACGAGCTCAACTGTGATGAAACATTGAACGCACCATATTTTTAACATGTTTGCCAATAATCTGATGAACACTAAAACGACACGTACTTCTGCGTTTCTGAGGCTTCACTGGAGTCAGTGATGTCATATTTACACACACACACACACACACACACACTAACCGGACTCGAGCATGCGTTTCAGTGGTGTCGGGGGGTGTAGTTCACGTCGTCGGGGTTCAGTGGCGAGCGGATGTTCAGTGTTCGGGCGGTGCTGTCGTCTCCCACCAGCTCCAGACGCAGAACCTTCACTTCCTGTCCTCCACCGTTCACTTCCTGTCCTCCTTCCACTTCCACTGAGAGTCGCAGAGTACATCCCTTCGGCAGAAGCTCCTGCTCGTACGCAGCGGCCAACTGATTCACCAGCCGCCGCTCCACCTGCACACACACACACACACACACACACACTGTAACTATGCTGTAAATAAGCCAAAAGTTTGGAATAATTGCAATTTTTAATGTTTTTAAAGCTCATCAAAGCTGCTCCTTGTTTCCTGTCCGCCTTTATTGGACAAACTGATTAATCCAGGTGTGTCTGATTACTGTTGCTGTGACTACTGAGGTCAGACACACCTGGATTAATCAGTTTGTCCAATAATGGCAGACAGTAAACAAAGAGCCGGCTGAAGTTCAAATTAAATTCAAAACAGTTCATACTTTTATTAATCAAGGGTTCATATCATGCTTTTAAATCATTCATTTTTACATTTAAATCCTACCGTTGTGGTCTATATAAAGCATAACTGCAATGCTTGGGTCTGAATTCCTCATTATTATAGCTCCACAAGCCCCTTTTCTGATGTGCGTCTGTGAGCGACCCGTTTCAAAGTGGCCCCTTTAAATAAAAAGGAGATGCGTCACACCCCGCCCGCTCTCCAGGTCGATGAGTTCACGGTCCGTTCAACTCCCCGCGTTCGGCCATTATTGTAGTTTGATTAGAGATATACGATTATATACGATACCTTCAAAGAACATGTTTAGTCACTCGCTAACAAAATGTCAACAACAGAAGACTTGTCCATCAAGCCTTACATATTCCAGCCAGAGCGAGCGAGTCGATAAAGACGACGACGAACCTGCAGAACAACCTCTTCATCATATGGATGTATTGGTATGTGAGTTAACTGTTTTGTGTTATTAGTGAACGTCGACTATTTCTCTTGTTAAAACAAGCACATTGACAAGATAAATGACTACGGTCTAATCTTACCACAAACAATCTGTATTGATAATATGATACGTTTAGAAAAGCAGCTAAATGAGCATTGATGAAACTCGAGAACAATAATACTGCAGACGTCTAACGTTATAAAACAAAAACCAAGAAAGACAAAGGTACTGCTAAACCATGACCACCATGTGTTTTAAGAAAGGAAACTACTTTATTTTTATTAACGATATTTACAGCTTATCGAAATGCTCTGTTCGTCGTCTCCAAAGATAAAAGGAATTTAACGTTACCTCTCATTCAGACGAAGTCAATCGGCAAACCCTTCTGTATAACGTTACCGTATCCTTGAAGTGCTTTAGGTCACTACATCCAACAACCGAACATTTTGACTTGCCCTCTCGTAACTTCTACATCATTGAGCTCGGACTACAAAATCGGAGCGAGAAATAATAATGGCGGATTGCTCGAAGTGTTGGGCCGGTAGTCGATGTCCTTATTCGTCAGTTCCGCTGCAAATACGGTGACGTTATAGTTCAAAAAACGTTCGGAAAATCTGAACAGGTTGAAAAATATGACCAAAACAGAATATAAAGATATAAACAAAGCACCTGAAGAGAATAATTTCATCTTTTCTGTACTTATAAACACTCCAAATATACAACACAATGCATTTAAGGGCTAAAAAAGTGGATTTTGCATGATACGTCCCCTTTAAATGTATCAAAAGTGACCGTAAGGACATTAATGTTACAAAAGATTCTATTTCAAATAAATGCTGTTCTTTTGAACTTTCTATTCATCAAAGAATCCTGCTGTGATTGATGAGTGATTGACAGGTGTCACCTCGTGTTTGATGGATCGAGCGCCGTAGTGCAGGTTATACCCGGCAGCCAGCAGCTCCAGCACGGGACGCTCCCACAGCAGCGTGATGTTGTGCCTCTGCTTGGCCTGCGAGAACACACACACACACACACACACACACATCAACACTATATTATAATAATTATTAAAAATGTTACTGATATTAAATATGTTTAACATTGAAGCTTGTTGTTTCTCACTGTACCACATCTGATCATTTAGATTTTTTTTAAATGCTGGCATCAACATATTTCAGACGACACCGACACACACACACACACACACACACACACACACTGATGTATGACTAAAGGGCCTGAACCAGCGTGTTTGTCCCTGCAGGCAGACGTCTGACAGATATGAAGTTTTATACATATTTAAATATTTATGAATAGACCACATGTTAACTTCACTAATATGATTACAGTCGTCAAGAGCAGCAGCTGCTATTGATCCTAGTGTGAGTGTGTGTGTGTGTGTGTTCACCTTCTTGGCCCAGTAGTTGAGCTCTCTGCTGACGAGCTGGATTCGCTCAGAGTGACAAAACGGCAGAAAGTAAACGATCTCATTGATCCTCCCCAGAAACTCGTCACGCCTGAAGTGACCCTGAAACGCACCAATCAGATAGAGCGGTGACACATCAGCAGCCAATCAGAGGGCTCGAGTGCGTGAGGAGCATCAGTACCTTCAGGATGGGCCGGATGACCTGCTCCTTGAACGTGTTGGAGATGGTGATCTTCTCGCTCTTCTGGACATCGTCTACACACACGTATAAAGGTCAAATATTATTACACGGCTCTGTGGAATACTTGATTCTGATTGGTCAATCACAGTATATTATTATAAAACAGTCACTGAACTCTATACGCTCGCTAAGAACGGGTTTTCCTTGTGGACGTTTTGCTTTTGGTGAGCTACTAAAATATTAAAACTCAGTCGAATCAATATTTTGTGTCGAGTTATTTAATTAAGCCATACAGTGTCGTGGACTCGCTCTCTCGTTTCATACAAATGCTGCGGTGGCCATTTTGTGTCGATTGTTTAGTATATTGTTGGATTATGGGTATGATTTTAAAACAGTTTAATCTGAAATCATATAACTAAACTTCATAATTATTTATGTGGTGAAATGCTGTGTAATAAGTGTTATGACTGTATACCGTATCTCTAAAATTTGCCGCTGAAACGGTTCGCGGAAGCTTTGCGTTTAAAGAGCTAATTAAATATTTAGACTCAGATCAATATTTCGTGCTTATGTGGCAAGTATCCATGTAATAAGCGGGATAATGTGCGTCCAGGAGGTTTTTCTCTCAGAATAAACCCCCTTCAGGTGGGTGTGTGTGTGTGTGTGTGTGTGTTCTCTCAGAATAAACCACTTCAGGCTTTTCATGATCACCCTGTCGAGTTTATTCTGAGATAAAAACCGGCTGAATATACATTATCCGTTAGTGAAATGCTTAATTCTTCACCCAGATTTTCAGCGAGGCGTCTGCGGCTTTGCTCCTGAGCTTCCTGTCTCAGCTGCAATGCATGATGGGCAATTTCATCACTGGCCACATTGGACGTCATGATGAAGATGGCATCTTTACACTCGATCGTCTTCCCTTTCCCATCAGTCAATCGACCCTGAACGACAGAATCACCAGGGTATTTTTAATATAGCTGTAATATTGCACAGCTCAGTCTGTGCATAAAGTTGGATATACAGTACAGTTTATATAATACACATATATACTGTACACTCACATAAAGTGACATATTGTATGTAGAAAATCTCAGCTGCTTGATGGTTTGCATCACCGTAAAATGTGAAGCTCTAATAATATAAATAAATAATTAAAATTACTAATAAAAAAAGTAGGGCTGTGCAAAAATTAATTGCGATTAATCGCATCCAAAATAAAAGTCTGTGTTTACATAATATATTTGTGTGTGCTGTGTATAATTATTTTGTATATATAAATACACACACATGCATGTATATATTTAAGAAAATGTGTTACTCATATATGAAATATTTATATTTATATAATTTAGATTATGCATTTTTATATATATACAGAATTTAAGCGCAAATAATTCTTTTTTATATAATTTTAATATAATTATTTATATATACAAAATAATTATATACAGCACACACAAATATATTATGTAAACACAGACTTTTATTTTGGATGCGATTAATCGTAATTAATTTTTGCACAGCCCTAAAAAAAAAGTCAAATTAAAAATAATCTTAAAATAAAAACCATGATAAAAATGCAATGTACCATGAAAAATTATTTGTTTTCATGAAAACAATAAAAAAATATATAAATAATCAACCATTGAAATCATAAAAATGTATATTAAAAACAATAACAATTAAAAACAAAAGTAAATTTAATCATAAAAATGTAAAATTAAAAATAAATTATTTAAAAATAAAAGACTTCAATCAATTGTAAAATTAAAATGATAAAATATAAGTAATCATTAAAATTCAATAATAAAAATGCTAAGTTAAAATAAATAATTTAAAAAGGAAAACAGCCTTACTAAAAATAAATCGAGTCATCAAATATAAAATTAAAATAAATCATTTTAATAATATTTATAGCAAATATCAGCTGCTTAATTGGTCGTACCTTAGCAGAACACAACTATATTATCGTCTAGCTCTAATCTGATAAATGTGACAATAGGCCATGAAGATACTATAAACATTAACAACGCGATTTTCTGTAAAGCGGACTTGAAAAATAACAAATCCTTGTTTTCCCACAGATGATTGTGAGTTTGTACCTCGTCAAAGAGCTGTAACATGATGGTCAGCACGTCTGGATGAGCTTTATCCACCTCGTCGAACAGAACCACAGCGTTCGGACACTGTTTGAGCTGTTTGGTCAGCTGACCACCTTCTTCATGACCCACGTACCCTGGAGGAGAGCCAATGAACTTCGCCACCTGAGAGAAACACAGAAAACACACACAGAAGATGAGAACTGGGCAGATCTGACCTCTGAGGAGATCGACTCGATGATTCAATCAAACACACACACACACACACACTCTCTTCATCCGGCCAAACTGAGTGACAGTGACAGTCCTCTATCAATACAATAAGTGTGTGTGATTAAATTGTGTGTGTTTAGACTCAGTCTAAGGTCACAGTTCTAACAGCACGACTAAACGGCTTATGATGGAGAAGCGACTTCTACAAACACAAGCTCAACTTCACTCAATATTACTGTATGCAATTCATAGTAGTTTGGGTTTGGTACTTAAATCATAAAAATTTACATTTAAATAAAAAAATAATAATAATAAAACTGTAAACAATCCAATAAAAACACCTACTAAATATTAATTTAATCATAAACATGCTAAAAAAAAATCCAAATAAAACACTTATGAAAAATAAATAAATATTTTTTACTAAAAACATTTAAAATAAAAATCTTACTAAAATGTTTGAAAAATAAAAATGCTAAATAAAATAAAAATCCAAATAAAACACTGAAAATGTATTAAATCATAAAAATGCTAAATTAAAATAAATCAATAATTCTAATAAAAACAGTTCATTAATAAAAAATGCCAATAAAAATAAATAAATCCAAATAAAACAATTATTAAAAATAAATAAATAATTATACTAAAAAATCATACTAAAATATTTGAAAAATAAAAGCGACAAATTAAAATAAACAATTTTAATTAATAAATCCAAATAAAATACTGAAAATATATTAAATCATAATCAAAATAAATAAATAATTCTAATAAAAACAGTTCAAATAAAATTAATGAATAAAAAATGTTTAATAAATAAATCCAAATAAAACACTTCCTAAATATGTCAAATTAAAATGTATAAATAATTCATGCACGACAAATTATATGATTCATATGAGTAATTACATGTTTAATGAGGTTTGATACATTTGTGTTGTTTCTGGTCAAACAAAAACAGCCTTCAAAACATCAGTTACTAAGATTGTGAATTCTGTCCTAAAACACACCACAGTTGAGTCAATGAAACAGGTGTGTGTTTGTGTGAGTCTCACCTCATGCTTCTCTTGAAACTCAGACATGTCCATGCGAATGAAACCCTGAGGAAAAGAACGACAGATTCGTGTCATTTGCTCTTTACGCCCAGCCGGTCATTTCCAATGAAGGTTTATTTACGGACTTCACTGACCTTCTTAATGTCTTTATGCATGTATCGCGCCACTTGCTTGGCCAGCTCGGTTTTACCTGCACAAACAGCCATCAAACATTTATTTGCTTCTACGCAATTCATTTCACCAAACAATAAAATGTGTTCTGACTCATAATTATGACTGTCAGGATTTCTACTTCCTATTGGGAAAAGAGAGATGTGTTTATTTTGCTGGCGTGTTGTGGCGTCCATCATCTCTCCCTCCCTTTATTCCTCTCTCAGGGTAATGTAGTCTATGAGAGTAAATATCGCTCTTATGAATTTTAATAAACGCATATATGGTAAGTGGAGGGACTTGTTGAATATTGATGGCGTGCGATGAGACGTGCCTCTGGCGAGAGGAGAAACATTTCTTCATCAATCAAAGCGCACGAAACAAACACTTTCCCCACTCCATTAATCACTATTTTAAGGCAATTTGTTTTTGTTTTTGAAATGTTATTTTTAATTTTATAAAGTTTAAATCTGAACATTGGATAATGCCAGGTACAAAACTCTTAGAGTTAAAGGTTATCTCTTGTCATCACTCCATAAATCAGAAAATACTATCAACAGACTGAAAAAACATTTTTACCACGTTTTTAAGGAATAAAATGTTATATAAATCAAGAAAATGAAGTTAAGAACAAACCCCTCAGTAAAATCCTTCAGCATATAGATATGAATAAAACTCTAAGTTTTGGTGTGTTTAAGTGCTACTGAAGTGGAGGACAAATCTCATTTTGAGAAGCATGGCTTTTAAAGAAATGTACTGAAATTGTAATCTACAGACGCGCAATTAAATCAACTTTCTTTACACCGGTCTAAAAGAATATATGAAGCAAAAGAGACCACAAAACTGACTAAACCCTCATTGGTTTTCTGTAGTGTAAAGAGTCTGATGACTGATGACACAGATCTGGTGGTCTCTAAATAACATATTAGGCTTTAAATCACTTCTGAGTTTTATGAAACTCCTGTGTTTATTATAAAGCTTGAATGAACTACAAAAAAGCAATGTTTAACATTTAACAGATGCTTTTATCTAAAGCACTCTTCAATATGAAAAAAAAGCGTATTAGCCGAGGAAGAGGATCATACCAGCCATTCTCTACACATTTTTCCAAGTTTTAAGGAATAAAGTGTATATAAATCAAGAAAATGATGTTATGAACAAACCCCTCAGTAAAATCCTTCAGAACATAGATATGAATAAAACTGTAAGTTTTGGTGTGTATAACTGTTGCTGAAGTGGAGGACAAATCTCATTTTGAGAACATGGCTTTTAAAGAAATGTACTGAAATTGTAATCTACAGACGCAAATAGATGAAGTGCAATGAAATAAACGCCCTTATGGAAGCATACGGTTATGTAAGACAAAACTGACCAGTGCATGACTAAACGTGCACATGTTCAGCTGGTGAATAAACCCGTCTCTGAATATAATATTAGACTTTAAATCCCCATTTATGAAACTCCTGCGTAACTTCTTGACCGCCTGTGTTTATTATAAAGCTTGAATGAACAACAAAAAAGCAATGTTTAACATTTAGCAGATGCTTTTATCTAAAGCACCCTTCAATATGAAAAAAAGCGTATTAGCTGAGGAAGAGGATCATACCAGCCATTCTCTACACATTTTTCCAAGTTTTAAGGAATAAAATGTTATATAAATCAAGAAAATGATGTTAAGAGCAAACCCCTCTGTAAAATCCTTCAGAATATACACTACCGGTCAACAAGATGTCTGCTCACCAAGGCTGCAATTATTTGATAAAAACAAAACAAAACGACAAAAAAAAAACAAAAAAAAAAACAGTAATATTGTGAAATATTATTACAATTTAAGTCATCTGTTTTCTATGTGAATATATAGTGAAGTGTAATTTATTCCTGTGATCAAAGCTGAATTTACAGCATCATTACTCCAGTCTTCAGTGTCACATGATCCTACAGAAATTATTATAATATGATGCTCAAGAAACATTTATGATTATTATCCATGTTGAAAACAGTTTTTTACATTTTTATTTCAGGATTCTTTGATGAATAGAAAGTTCAAAAGAACAGAATTTATCTGAAATGGAAAGCTTTTGTAACATTAATCACTACCATTCAAAAGTTTGGGGTCAGTAAGAATTTTTTATTTTGGGGGGGAAAGAAATTAGAAAATACTTTTATTCATCAAGGATGATCTAAATTGATCAAAAGTTACAGTAACGACATTTATAATGTTAGAAAAGATTATATTTTAAATACATGCTGTTCTTTTGAACTTTCTATTCATCATAGAAGTTTTTGGGAAAACGACTGTTTTCAACATTGAAAATAATAATTTATGTTTTTTGAGTATAAAATCAGCATATTAGAATGATTTCTGAAGGATCATGTGACACTGAAGACTGGAGTAATGATGCTGTAAATTCAGCTTTGATCACAGGAATAAATTACACTTCACTATATATTCACATAGAAAACAGATTACTTAAATTGTAATAATATTTCACAATATTACTGGGTTTTTTTTATCAAATAATTGCAGCCTTGGTGAGCAGAAGAGACTTCTTTTAAAACAAAAAATCTTACTGATCTAAAACTTTGTGTAGATATGAATAAAACTGTAAGTTTTGGTGTGTATAAGTGTTGCTGAATTTTGAGAACATTGCTTTTAAAGAAATGTACTGAAATTGTAATCTACAAACGCAAATAGAAGTGCAATGAAATAAACGCCCTTATGGAAGACAAAACTGACCAGTGCATGAAAAACCCATTGGTTTTTTGTAGTGTCTCGGCCTTACACTAAACGTGCACATGTTCAGCTGGTGAATAAACCCGTCTTTGAATATAATATTAGACTTTAAATGAAACTCCCGCGTAACTTCTTGACCATCTGCGTTTATAATAAAGCAAAACTGAATCTGGATGAAAAATGAAACAAAAAAAGTTTAACATTTAAGCAGATGCTTTTATCTAAAGCACCCTTTTAAATGAAAAAAAATATTATTTTTCCTTGGAAAGGGAAGAAGTTACCGATTCCGGACGAGCCGAGGAAGAGGAAGACGAGTGGATGTTCTTCATCATACCAGCCGTTCTCCTTCCTCCTAATGGCTGAGGAGAAAAACAGACAATCATTAACTCTCGACAGACAGACAGACTGGACGAGAGCAGATCTGGTAGAGAGCAAAGAAAAAAAGACAAAGACTGAGGAAAGACAGAATGACGGAGAGAGAGAGTGAGACAGGGTCTCTCTGCACCATTAGACACACACTAATTTCATTACGCTGCTGCAACGCTGGAGCAACTAAATCAGGTTAGAATAGATCCAGCAGAGACGGCCACGATAACACACACTCACCATGGCAACCGGCGAACATGTGTGTGTGTGTGATCGTCAAACGTCATTACAGCAGGAATATGTTTGTGTTGAGCTGCGTAAAAGACAATCCTTCAGTTCTGTCCTGAAACATATCACACACACACTTTCTAAACAGGGACTATGCATAGACGTCTATTGTCTTGTTATAAATGCTATAACCTAACCTTGCATTTTTACATTGTACTTATATTTAAATGTAAGTGCAGCAGTGATTATTTTCTGTAAATTAATCCAAAGCAACTTATTGAAGGAATTTTTGATCACTATCGCCATTTTTATAATCTTTTATAAAACTTTTTTTTACCACGTTGTAAGGAGTAAAATGCTTTATAAATCAAGCAAATGATGTTTTGACCAAACCCTTCAGAATATAGATATGAATAAAACTAAGTTTTGGTGTATCTAAGTGCTGTTGAAGTGAAGGAACATGGCTTTTAAAGATGTGTGCTGAAATTGTAATACACAGACGCAAACAGAAAAAGTGTAATAAAACTGTTGTCACATTGTAAAGTGTTTACTTACTGACTAATAACAGCATTTATTTACACAAAAACGTTTCTATCATGACAAATGACACACACACAAGTCGTCCCGTCACACACACTGTCCTTCAGGAGACAGAACATTTCAAAGGCATCGGGATGTCTCTCTCACACACACACAGCGTCCTTGAAAGTGAATGTGTGATAACTCATATTTAATCCCGTTTATTATCAGCCGATCAGACTCAACACACACACACACATGATTCCTGGATGAAATAGTAAACATGACCGAGAGAGAAAGAGAGAATCCGATTCCTAAAATCAACATTTGTGTTCTTTATATTTGTAATATGTTTTCAGTAAGACACTGGAGCTGATGTTTTATAGTGAATCTAGTCAAGACACGGCTCAAGTGTCTTACTGATGAAACCCAGACCAGAGGAAGAGAACGACCGTTCCCGTGTGTAACAAAAGAACACGCGTGTGCCGTGATGCTCTCTCTGTCTCGGGACACAAGCCCGTAATGACATTAGTGAAGATAATCACCACCAATAACCTTTAGTCCCCGAGAGCACACACCAGAATCAACCCTTTGTGTGTGTCGTCTCACATCCGTGTCCAACTCAATGACAGTCTCGTTGTGTTTATGTCTGAATGTTGTCATTTCAGTACAGTTGTCATTGTTTTTAACGGTATGATCTATAAAATCATTAGTAGTTTAACCGATGATGAATAAAAAACTACACCTGAGTCATAGATCATAATATTTATATTTTAGCTGGGATTTGCACCGGTCGAAAGTTTGGAATAATTCAGATTTAATGTCTCTGAAATGCTATGTTTCTTTGATCAAAAATACAGTAAAAATTATTAAATATTATTGTAATGTAAATCATCTGTTTTCTATGTGAATATACAGTAAAGTGTAATTTATTCCTGTGATCAAAGCTGAATTTATCATCATTACTTCAGTCTTCAGAAATCACTCTAATATGAGGATCTGATAATCAATAACATTTATGATTATTATCAGTGTTGGAAACAGTTATTTTAAAAGTTCAAATAGAATCTTGTGTAACATTATAAATGTCTTTACTGTTACTTTTGATCAATTTAACGTGATAATAAATAAAACCCATAACAAATGGCACTACTTAAGTAGAAAATATATATCTAGTTGTCTAATTTTCACTTAGTTTAATTTGAAGTACTAAAATAACTACAACTAATGCATAATTATTATAAATAAATAATTTTAAACACACAACACAATTACTAAAACTTTAACTAATATTAAAGTGAACGTTAACATAACATCTAATTAGAAATATTAGCAAGAACAACTATCAATGACACTAAAATAACACTGGTTGCTCAAGTGTATCTAATGCACAGCATCAGATCTATTGTAGAGAGTGTGTGTGTGTGTTTAATGTCTCTCTGTGACTCTGCCTGATGTATGCACTATATCAGCTCTCACAGATCAATAACGCTGGTTTTATCACAGTGCTGATGGGATCCAATTGCTTTCGGGACAATTTGCCACAGCAATAACTGTCCATTTATCAAATCAGAGGCAGAGATTCGGCTCAGTGTTTCCTCCGCTGTCTCTCTCTCTCAGAGATCTGCGAAATCACTTATCAAAACCCTGTCGGAACACAGATCTGGGAAACACACACTCTTTTGACTTAGCAGCTGCATAGCAACACCCTAGCAACCCCCCAGAGCACTGTGACATCATGCACAAAACACAGAAAATATACACATCTGGTTTAAATATAATTATGACTGAACACAAAGCACAAAAAGTTTACGTTCATCTCCCAGCTTGTGATATTTTTCCAATCCTGCATCATAATAAAATATATATAATATAAATAAATATATATATATAAATAAATGATTCTGGATGATCTGCATTCTTAAGGTTGCATTGATGAATAAGTTGTTGTATTATTACATTCAGATTTTTTAAAAAAATACTCTTTAATAAAATTTAATATTTATAAACATTATAAATTTAATTTTTTAATTTAACAGTATATTGAACAAGACTGAAAAATATCAATTTAAAATAAAAAATAATACATGGTGACATTCATTATAAATAACATTTATGATTATAAAATTATATTTATTATTAAACGGCAAGCCGAAACGAATTTATCAAGCAAAACAAACTACCGGCTGGAGGGAAATAAACGCATATTTTGACATGAACTGTATTATATGAGTAAGTCGTAGCACATTTCAGACTTATATTCGAAAGAATATGGTATATATAATTATAATTATCTATATATATTTAAAAGACTTAAATATAATGTAATAAAAATACATTCAGAAATTAATTAGGCACTGAATTAAATGTCTAAAGTTTTTAGTCACCTAAACCTAAACTTTCACAGACACACACTTGATCTATTAAAAACAAACGTGTGTGTGTTCAGTGTTTAATAGAGGTGTGTGTTATTGTGTTTTAACTCATATCTGTCTGTCCTGGGACTCGTAGAGGACACACACACACCAGAGTAAAATCAAAGATAAGAAATAAAGTATGAGCGGAAATGGCAAACATGAGGACTGGAGAGAGTCAACTGCGCTGCTGGAAACAGAACGCTGGAGGAAGTGATGGAGAGACGGAAGGACGAGTAATTGAGTTATGAAGCATCTCTGGCTGCACACAACACTCAGCAGCAGCTGTGCAACACACACACACACACACTCTCTCTCTCTCTCACACACACACACACAGAGACACACACTCTCACTCACTCACTCACCAACAAAGCATCTCACTCTCTCACTCACTCACACACTCACTCACCCGCTCACTCTCTCACACACTCTCGAAGCATCTCTCACTCACTCTCTCTCACAAAAACACACTCTCACTCGCTCACTCACTCACTCACCTGCTCACTCTCTCACTCACTCACTCACCCACTCTCTCACTCACTCTCGAAGCATCTCTCACTCACTCTCTCACAAAAACACACTCTCACTCGCTCACTCACTCACTCACCCACCCACCCACTCACTCACCCGCTCACTCTCTCACTCACATCTCTCACTCACTCTCTCTCACAAAAAACACTCTCACTCGCTCACTCACTCACTCACCTGCTCACTCCTCACTCACTCACTCACCCACTCTCTCACTCACTCTCGACTCTCTCACTCACTCTTTCTCACAAAAAACACTCTCACTCGCTCACTCACTCACTCACCCACCCACTCGCTCACTCTCTCACTCACTCACTCACTCACTCACTCACTCTTTCTCACTCTCACTCGCTCACTCACTCACTCGCTCACTCTCTCACTCACTCACTCACCCGCTCACTCTCTCACTCACTCACCCGCTCACTCTCGAAGCATCTCACTCTCACACACACACACACACACACACTCTCTCTCTCTCTCTCTCTCACTCACTCACTCTCACTCTCTCGCTCACTCACTCACTCACTCACTCGCTCTCGCTCACTCACACTCGCTCACTCGCTCACTCGCTCACTCACTCGCTCGCTCACTCGCTCACTCACTCGCTCGCTCACTCGCTCACTCGCTCACTCGCTCGCTCGCTCGCTCTCTCACTACCTGATGCCACAGTATTGATGGCTCCCTCCTGCCCGATGATGTGCTCCTTCAGTCTTCGCTCCAGAGGAAACCTCCTCCTCTCCTCGGCCTCGCGCTTCCTCTGAGCCTCCGCAAACTACAGGAACAACAGAACATCATCAGAGTGTGTGTGTGTGAGAGTGAGTGAGTAAAGTGTGTGTGTGTGCCGCCCTGAAGCCTGTAACAGTGATACAGGATCATGACAGTTTCACCTGCAGATCATTAAACCCTCCAACAGGATTACTGCAGATTACAGCCGTAATCCAGAGTAAATACACACAAATGAGCAGATTACTGCGACACACACACACAGAGGATGATCTGTGGAGTTCAGCCTATAAATATAAATTCTGTCATGCTTTAATGTTCTAATCTCCAGCTGTACATCATCTCGTGTGCATTTACTCCTGAAACGTGTGTTTTACCGTGTTCTGCGACTCCTTCAGCAGCGTGAGCATCTCTCCCTCTTTGGCGTACGTCAGCGGTGTGTGTCCCAGCTCGTTCTTCAGAGTGGGGTCGGCACCTGCGAGAGGTCAGAGGTCAACGTTAGGCTCCGGGGTCAAGCGCTTGTTCTCGGTCAGGGGTCTGAGAGGAAAGCGTGCCGTGAATGGACCTCGAGCGGGGGGGGGGGGCTTCAGCTGCATCCGTGTGTGTGTATGTCGCATCATATCCTGTGGTGATGATGTCACACTGTGATTGTGTTTGAACAATTAAAACACGCGGGTGTCACCGGTGATGTTTAGCGCTGGCTTTTGCCCTGACCTGCCCCTGCGCGACACGTGCCGATACAGCAAAACACGACACACACTAAACACTCCATATGACAGAACGAGTGATTGTGAATCATGTCATGCTTTAGATCACATTAGAGATTTTTAATGAAAAAAGGTGTTAATTGTGTGTTTTTGATAGTCACATACGATCAGGCGACTCAACACTTGAGTTCGAAACTAAACATGGAATAGTCCGACTGAAATGATCGATTCTGATTGGATGAAACACATTTAACGTTATTTACTGTATGTTGTAACTATGAGACACAATCATAACTATGACATAAAAAGACATAAGAATGACAATAACATGACTATGACATAAAAGGTTATGAGATAGGGAGTAATAATTACAAAAAAAGCCAAAGATTATGACAAAAAAATCTAAATTATTACATAAAATGCTGTAACTATAAGATACTCAGTCATAACTATGATATAAAAGTCATAATTATGACAAAAACTTGACTATGACATAAAAGGTTATGATACAAAGTAATGATTACAATAAAATAGCCAAAAATGACAAAAGTCAATATTATTACATAAAAAGCTGTAACTATACGTTTCTAAGTCATAACTATGATACAAAAGTCATAATTATGACAGAAAAGTTGAAATTCAGACAAAGTTAATGGATAACTTAATCATAAATATAACAAAAAAGTTGAAATTACGACACAAAAAGTTGTAACTATAAGATACTCAGTCATAACTATGATATAAGAGTCATAATTATGACAAAAACTTGACTATGACATAAAAGTTTATGAGATACGGAGTAATAATAACAATAAAATAGCCAAATATTTTGACAAAATGTCAAAATTATTACATAAAATGCTGTAACTATAAGATACTCAGTCATAACTATGATATAAAAGTCATAATTATGACAAAAACTTGACTATGACATAAAAAGTATGAGATACTGAGTAATATTTACAATAAAAAAGCCAAAAATTATGACAAAAAGTCAATATTATTACATAAAAAGCTGTAACTAAAAGTTACTAAGTCATAACTATGATACAAACATCAAAATTATGAGAAAAAGTTGAAATTCAGACAAAGTTAACAAATAACTAAGTCATAATTTTGACAAAAAACGTTGTATAAGTCAAAACTATGATATAAAATTCATAATTTTAACATACCAAGTGAAACTTTTGAGAATAAAGTCAATATTATTACATAGTCACAACTTATGATACTAATTATGACATAAAAATTAATGATATAATAATATAGCAATATATTTTAAGATATTATGCAATATTCTCTTATTTTGTTAGAAAACCAAGATTTTCCAGAAAGTAAAATGTTATTCTTGTTATTTATTTCATAATATAGACAGATTATCACTTGAAAAATTGAAAAATGTGTCCGTTAATGATACAAAACGAACATAAAATAATATTAAGGAAATTCTAATAAGATATATACATGTTTACTCAAGAACTTCCTCAATCTTATATAACACACATAAACTTAATCTATCAGTAAAACATATGCAATATACCCTTATATTTACGATTTATCAATGTCTGACAATATTTTTATGCAAAGTCTTAAAACTCAACATTTTCAGGCCCTTTTATGAGTTGTGTATAAATATGTAAAGCGTAGAAGTAACGAGTTGCACAGTAAAGCACCACACGACAGAAATAAAAACATCACTGCACATTAAATTACACACAAACTCGCTCAACGGAACAAACATTTCCTTCTTCCCTCGTAAAATACAGTTTATCCACAAACACACAATCGATATCTGTACACGGGCGTCTTTGTGGAGCGGCCGAGTCCCCGGGCATTGTGGGTAATCGTCCAGATTATTGATAAAACCTTAAACGTGTCCGTCTAACAAATCTCAATCGATAGCGGACAAACAGAAAGAGGAAAACTAATAAAGAAATACAAGTCGAGCACGTCTCGTTCGCAGCGAGTCTCTCGTACCCACATAATAAATAGCATCATTTAGTGGTGTAATATCACACACACTTCCCTCGGGCTCTTTCTGCAGCTGGTGGCAGTGCGGGCCGGTTTGACCCCCAGGGGTCAGAGTTCACGCGCGGGTGATCAGTCACGTCCCAGCCCTGAGCTGGACTGGGGTGATAGATGGAGATCCGCGCTGACCAGCCGCTCATCAGGGAAATAACGCGCTCACCTGCCCGTAGGTGTGTGTGTGTGTGTGTGTGTGTGTGTGTGGGGGAACTTTAGCGGAGCACAACTAAAGAAAAATGCCCTCAGAAGTTCCAACAATCCTCCTAGAGAAGAGGAGACTTGCACTGTGATGCAACTAGACGAGTGACTTTTGTGATGCGTAACAATCAAAGCACGAGCTAATCATAATTTATAGTTATGTTTATTATTATTATGCAATTATTATCCAAAGAATAGATTTTTTTTACTCAAAAAAGTAAAAAAATGGCATTAAAGACATTTAGAATGTTGCAAAAGATTCAAATAAACACTGTTCGTTTGAACATTCTATTCATCAAAGAATCTGAGATTTAAAACGTATCACTGTTCCCAACACTGACGATAAAGTATTTATTAGACACTAAGTGATAATTATGAGAATCAAAATTATGACAAAAAGTCAATATTATGAGATAAATATTTGTAACTATAAGATATTACTAAATCATAACTATGATACAAGTCATAATTATGACAAAAAGTCAATATTATGAGATAAAAAGTTGTAACTAAAACGCATCAATGTTTCCAACGCTGACGATAAAGTATTTATGAGACACTAAGTGATAATTATGAGAATAAAAGTCATAAATATGACAAAAAGTCACTATTATGAGATAAAAAGTTGTAACTATAAGATACTAAATCATAACTATGATATAAAAGTCATGATTATGACAAAAACTTGAGATTATGATAAAAAATATAAGACAATAAGTGATAAATGTGAATAAAAGCAAAAAATTTACAAAGTCTAAATTATGAGATAAAAAGTTATCATAACTATGATATAAAAGTCATGACAAAAAGTCAACATGAGATAAAAATGTGTAACTATAAGATATTACTAAGTCATAAATATGACATAAGTCATAATTATGACAAAAAGTCAAAATTATGAGATACAAATTTGTAACTATAAGATACTAAATCATAACTACGATATAAAAAGTCATGATTATGACACAAATTATGAGACAATAAGTGATAATTATGATAATAAAATCCAAAAATTTACAAAGTCTAAATTATAAGATAAAAAGTTGTAACTATAGGAGATACTAAGTCATAACTATGATATAAGTCATAATTATGACAAAAGGACAATATTATGAGATAAAAAGTTATAACTATAAGATACTAAGTCATAACTATGATATAAAAAGTCATGATTATGACAAAAACTTGAGAATGACAAAAAATTATGAAACACTGATAATTATGGATAATAAAATCCCAAAAAGTTGAAATTATGAGATAAAAGTAGTAACTGTAGGATACTAAGTCATAACTATGATATAAAAGTCATAATTATGACAAAAAGTCAATATTATGAGATAAAAAGTTGTAACTATAAGATACTAAGTCATAACTATGATACAAGTCATAATTATGACAAAAAGACAATATTATGAGATAAAAAGTTGTAACTATAAGATACTAAATCATAACTATGACAAAAAGTCAATATTATAAGATAAAAAGTTGTAACTATAAAATATTACTAAGTCATATGATATAAAAGTCATAATTATGACAAAAAGTCAAATTATTACACAAAAAGTTGTAACTATAAGATACTGTCATAACTAAGATATAAAAAAGTCATGATTATGACCAAAACTTGAGAATAAATTACACTTTACTATATATTCACATAGAAAACAGGTGATTTACATTTGAAATAATATTTCCCCGTTTTTACTGTATTTTTGAGCCTTGGTGAGACTCTTTGTGAAATGTTTAATGTAAAGCAATGTGAAGAAAGGTGTTATATATATATAAATATATTTATTATTTATAATAGTTCTGTACTGTCTCTGTAGTGATGTTCATATTTCAGGGTTCGAGGAGGACCGACACACAGACGCTCCTGTAATCTCGTTCTCGCTGCATTAGCATGGCGCGGTCTCACACTGATGATGTCATCGCTGTGATAGATACACCTCGTCGCGACTCGCGGCGCTGCTCTGTCTGAGGGGGCGTGGCCTCGTTCCACTGAGACTTATGGGTAATGCGCTCCACGCCATAATCCAATTTCTCGGCATCAAAACGAGCGATTTTGTTCTTTGTTTCGGGTCATTTCTGTCACTTTAATCTAAAAATGCGTCTGCTCCAGAAAACATCCAGTGATTTATAGGACGTGTTGAAGCTTAGAGTGAGTGTGTGACCGCACACCAGACATCAGACGGAGACACTGCGTTTTCAAGAGTTACACAGCGCGACTGTGTGTGTGTGTGTGTGTGCGCCCTGTGGCTATAATAACACACTCATGTAAATCACATTACACACACCTTCCTGTCACCTCTCATGTGTGGGTCACATAACACACTCCAGAGGTCAAAGGTTAAGCCTGACGGCCTCGGGCGGACAGGAAGAGACACTGCTCTATATTAGACAGAGTTTTTCTGCTCCAGCAGGTGACAATGAAAGTCACTTTACTCATTTTCAATAGTTAGTGCTAGAGTTTGAGCACATCCCTGTTTTTATTCATCAATAACTACACTAATTTGATGATATTTAGCTGTATTTTTTAACTTTTCTGTTATTTGGTCCTTAAATTGTTTTTGTTTTTTTTACCTGAAAAAGAGCATTTTTTCTAAGCTTATTAGATGAAGGAATCATCTTTTAAGTCACATTTTTGTATTTAATCAATAAATTAGATTAGAATTATAATAGGCTGTTAATAATCAAATTAAATCAAAAAAACAATTTTTGCACCGCAAAAGCGGCATCTAAAGCAGCATTTATACTGCGATCACAACTGCATGAATAATGCTATGAGATTACGGTTTAAAAATAATATTTTGAATACTGAAATTAATTGTTTTAAAAATTATACTTCAACTATGATTTTAAAAGTCATAATAACCCGATCATAGAATCAATCACTCAACTGATTCGTTCAAACTAACTGATTCCTTTTATGAACAGAGCAAGTGTCCATTGACTTTATGAATGAGTCATTGAATCATTCACTCACGCAATTCATTTAGATAGAGTGAATCATTCACTCAACCGATTCATTCAATACAGTGATTCATTCATGAAAGGAGCAAGTGTTCATTGACTTTATAAATGAGTCATTGAATCATTCACTCATCTGATTCATTCAGATACAGTGAATCATTCACTCACCTGATTCATTCAGATACAGTGATTCATTCATGAAAGGAGCAAGGGTTCATTGACTTTATAAATGAGTCATTGAATCATTCACTCACCCGATTAATTTTTTTGTTGTTGACAAAACGTATCTTTAAATGTATTTTTTTTTACGTTTATATATTTTATTGAACTGTTGTATTAAATAATATCACATGATATTGATGAAACTAGCACTTTTGCTCATGTGATATTGCTTTTAAACAGAAAACAGAAGAACTCACACAAGGGCAATTTTAGGGCATTTGTATTCATTTTGGTGGCATTTCCGACCTTGCATGACATTATTTCACATCAACGCCAGACTAGTTAGCTTGTTGTTAAGCTTAATGAAGGGCTGTTCCCGAGTTAGACCGTCTGTGTGTTTCCTCACCTGCGTCCAGCAGAATCCGTACGGTTCGCAGGTCATCGGCCAGAGCCGCGTAATGCAGAGCCGAACATCCACGGAAGGAAGCGCGACTGCTCAGACGATTACTGAACTCGTCCTCTCGGCTCACCAGCACTGACACACACACACACACACACACAGAGAGTTGTGAACAGGTAATTCCAGCGCTGCTTTATCATCAGAGACAGTTAAAGGTGCAGTGTGTAAGATTGACAGCTAGTGGTTGGAATAGGTACTGCAGTTCAAATTCAAAATATCAGAGATCGTAGTTTCCCCGCCTCCACGGACTCGACGCTCACACGGGTCGCCATTTTGAGCACACGCAACAGGAACAAATGCAATTGACAATGAAAAATAGATTTATCGGCCGATATATCGGTTATCGGCTTTCAAATATAACGAATTATCGGTTATCGGCCAATAGTGAGACTTTTGGTGAGACTTGCTTTTGTAATCAGACTCTCAACAATTATATAAAAAATTCGGATTTAGATTTATCGGCCGATATATCGGTTATCGGCTTTCAAGTATAACGAATTATCGGCCATATCGGCCAACATTCCCGAGTGAAAATAAACAACTCGTTTGGGAAAACTGGCTCCAAAAATCCAAAATGTCCTGTTTCTCATCATCACTTCCTGTTTTAACAGGAAACAGAGAACAATCTGATATCATGGGATCTTTAAAGCTACTCTACTATTTTTGTGTTATTAGTATCAGGTTTGATCCGCACTGCACAGCAAACACTGAACCAGAGTCTTGTTCTTAAAAACAAGACAAACCGTTTAAATTAAGAACAAACGCATGTAAAACCGCATGCATAAAGCGCGCAATTATTCCCCAGTGCGGACACACACAGATAAATCATAAAGCAGCAACAGTGTTTTCTTCTGTCCGTGCGCACACAAGCGTATTTTCTCTCTGGGCTGCTGTCAGGCGGGTCGTCACCAGTAACTAATGTCTGAGAGCCAGATAATCACAACTAAACCCAATAAACCGTCAGACGGCCAGAGCCCAGCGATCCATCACACACACACACACACACACACACACGGTCGCATGGAATATTCTCATATTACACAGACACACACACACTCTCATTCATCATGGTGCTTCAGGGAAAGATGCTCCTTCAAGACCAAAAAACTGCCAACAAAACAAATGTGAGTAATATACATACAGCAGCCAGATATGACAAGCGTGCGTGTGTGTGTGTGTGTGTGAGATGAAAAACACTTACAAATATCACGCTGCTAAATAAATTGTGTGCCGATATGCAAACAGCAGAAAATGAGTGCGTTAGAATTGATCTCTGTAATAACACACACTCCTGCCGTTTACATGCATGTTTTTATGAATAACAATGAAGATTATGATGATGGTGAAGCATAACGTCGGCTCACCCTCTAATGAGTGAACGCCCTTCTCTCGAGCCGTCTCGTACACACTGGTGAAGTCATCGCCCAGGTTCGGGTCGGCACCCGCCTCCAACAGGACCTTCACAACACTGACACACACACACACGGTCATTAACAGCATAATCTCAGGATGTGGAGACAGTGAACACAGACACACACTGCACATGTTCAAGTTGATTTGATTGTATTTGTTCAGAACAAGATTGATTTTAAAGCAGTAAAGCATCTAAATATGTTCATATTCATAACTCTGACATACAGAGATCCGCTCAAGCTGCTTTTACCCATCATGCACTGAGAATCTCAACCTTATAAACTAGATCATTTACAACACATTTATGTATGTTTCTAAAAATTACAAGTGTTAAATATTGTAAACTAAATATTGTTAAATATTGTAAACTATTGTGTAAGATTTAAGTGTTAAATATTATTATTATTATTATGAAGAAACATTCACAAGGCAACCAGAGAGACAGTCATTAATATGAATAAAAACAGCACATCTGCACATTATTTCTATTAATATTCAGTATTTAGAAAATTATTGCAGAGATTATGATTTATTATATTACTATTGATTATTAAGACAATTTCTGATATTTGAAAATATGATTGTTATCACATTATTTGAATAATGACTTTCATATTTAGAAAATCAATCACATTATTTATTTAATCATCACAAGATCATTATTTCACCCCGTTATTGGAAAAATGATTGATCAATATTTACATGATTATTTCATCACTTTATTTGAATAATGACTTCAATATTTAAAAATGATTGCATCACTTCAATCTACAGAAAATTATTGCATGACATTATTTGAATGATTATTTAATATTAAGAAAATTATCATTTGAATATTTAGCCTCGTTATTTGAACAATAATTGCTGAATATTATTACACCACCTTATTTGAATAATAAAAGTGTTTTATGATGAACATAAAAATTGAATAATAAGCATTCACACGCCATCCAGACAGAACCTCTTCGTAGTAGTGTGTATGAGTCGGGACAGATTGGGTCGGGTCAAGTGTGTGTGTGTGTGTGTGTGGGAGAGCCACTGTTGTCATGGAGACGCTGCTGGCCCGAAACCATTCGGGTTCCAGAACACTTGAGTTAACGGAACACACACTCCCAAAGCAAACAAGCCCGTGACACACACATGACTTCACACACACAAGCGTGATGCTTAAATCGGCCCTAAACCTGAGAGATCGGCCCGTGTTTGAGTTTCTGAAGCGTAGGATCTCAGAGGCGCCGGACGACGTTCTCAGGGTCACCATGTTTATGCATGAGACGTGGTGTGTTTTAAGGGGAAACCGGGCCATATGTGTGAGACCAAAGAGTAGTGACCCTGAGCAAAGCACAAACACAAACACAACAGTGTGTGTGTGTGTGTGTGTGTGTGTGTGTGTGTGTGTGTGTGTGTGGAGTCAGCACAGACACAGCCAGGACTCTTCACTGAGAGGTGTGTGTTATTCTGAATTAAACATTAAAAACACTCACTAATGCTATTAAATAAAACACAACTCAATAAAATACAGCTGAATCAGCTCATATATTTATAAAGTAGTAAAACATTCAAGAAAACACAAAAATAAATAAATAAACAATACCAAGAGAAAGCAAAGAAAGCTGTCTGCATTATCAGACGGTCAAAACACGGCATGATGGGAGAACATACGGACACACACCTGCTGCTGTGAACCTGTGTTTACTAAACACACCTCAGGCTGGACTGCTGCTTCCGCTCACTCACACACACACACACACAGCTGTGCAGGGCATATCTGTATCTGACAGGTGATACGAGGAAAGGTCAAAGTTCACCTGTGTTTAAGTGTTAGTGAAGGCACTTTACAAAACTACAAGGTTTTAACTAGTTAAACTAGCCAATCTGCACAATTAGTTACACTGGTTATTTACACAACTACACAACAAAACTAACTGGGCATTATCTTTAAATATTCAACTAAATATTTACTATATACTATATAATATGTATACTAAATACTTAATTTTTGCAATTACAATTACCATTTATTTGGCACCAAACAGCGAGACAGATATGTAAACTGATGATTTTACACTAAAGACAAGTAATAATACTAGAAAACACTCATTTATAAAATTGAAAATAACAGTGAATTGGGAATTATTTTAAATATTTAACTATAATTAAAAAAAATTCAATTAAATTAGTGTTTTTCTATGACAAAACATTGAGGATCTAATCTTAATCTTAAACGGATTATTTCACACTAAACATACTAAACAATCTGAACAATTAGTTACACTGGTTATTTACACAACTACAAAACAAAACTAACTGGGCATTATCTTTAAATATTCAACTAAATATTTACTATTTACTATATAATATGTATACTAAATACTTAATTTTTGCAATTACAATTAGCATTTATTTGGCACAAAACAGCGAGGATGTTAAATTAGATATATACTTAAACGGATGATTTTACAGTACACTAAAGACAAGTAATAATACTAGAAAACACTCATTTATAAAATTGAATTGAAAATAACTACAGTGAATTGGGAATTATTTTAAATATTTAACTATAATTTTAAAAAATTCAATTAAATTAGTGTTTTTCTATGACAAAACATTGAGGATCTAATCTTAATCTTAAACGGATTATTTCACACTAAACATACTAAACAATCTGAACAATTAGTTACACTGGTTATTTACACAACTACACAACAAAACTAACTGGGCATTATCTTTAAATATTCAACTAAATATTTACTATTTACTATATAATATGTATACTAAATACTTAATTTTTGCAATTACAATTAGCATTTATTTGGCACAAAACAGCGAGGATCTTAAATTAGATATATACTTAAACGGATGATTTTACAGTACACTAAAGACAAGTAATAATACTAGAAAACACTCATTTATAAAATTGAATTGAAAATAACTACAGTGAATTGGGAATTATTTTAAATATTTAACATTGAGGATCTAATCTTAATCTTAAACAGATGATTTCACACTAAACATCCTAATTTATAGAAGGGAATTGTGTGTAATCTTTAAATATTTAACTAATCCATGAATTTCTGCAATTCCAATCAGTGTTTATCTGGCACAAAACAATGAGGATCTTAATAAGGGTGACAGGATTAAACAGATACTAAACATAATTAATACAATTAGAACATTGAATATAAACAACAAAACAGAACAAAAGAAGACGTGAAGAGACATTTTTAACAAGGTATTTACAGCACATTTAGTTTACTGATTGAAACAAACAAACATTGATAATTCCCAATTCAATGTAATTATTTCTCAGTTCCAGTTTCATTAATTGAGTTTAGTGTAACTTTATCTGTTAAATTCAGTCAGAAACCAGTGTTTGCCTCAGAACTGTGGGAAAAGTGCCCAGATTCACTGCATTATGTCTGAAAGGTGTCCAGAAAGATACACTTTTATAATATCTGTAGGCTACTTTGCTTGAGTATTATTTTTTCTGGAAACTGTTTACTTTTAAAGGTGCATTGCGCAACATTTCATGTTAAAATGTTTATTTATTTACATTTCATTTTATCATGTTTTATCATACATTTCATGTTATCATATTTATTTATTTTTTGTCCTGCTTATTTGAGTTAAGAGAACTGATGGGGATGTTCTTTTAATTGTTATTTAAGCAATGACCAACTTAACGAGTGTTGCCAACAGGAACGGTGTAGAGCGCCCTCTGGTGGACAAACTATACAACTCCAACACTCATGACATGGTTCAAGCGTGTTTCGTCCGTTTTTATTTTATTTTTGAAATATTCATTTATCGGCCATTATAACTGCCGATACCGATAGTTTGGAAAATGCCTAATATCGGCCGATAATATCGGCCTGCCGATATATCGGTCTGGCTCTAATGGATAGTGACAATATGTATTGTGTACAGTTCACCCAAAATAAAAAAAATACTGTTTTACTAGTTTTAGTGCCAGCACTACATTAAACTGCTATATATAATGTTGAATATAACATGTAATATTGCAATATCCTGATAATATCTGATGTTACGAATATAAAGTGGCCTATTATTTTTAATATATATCTAGCCAGTGACACAGCAAGCACATTCATCTACAATAAATATTGTCCTGTGCTTTGGGTTTCCAGCACCAAATCCAATCCTATTTACACACACAGTGTAACACCAAATTTAGCATTTTAATCAACAGAACATTTTTTGCTATCCTTTTATAATACGTCTTGGAGATGCAATAATATCTTATTGTGTGTTCATAGTACTTTTACTGAAGTAAAATCGTTCTTTACAACTTGTACTTGTGTATCTGTACTTTTTCAAGTAAGGAAGTCGTGTCCACCTTAACTTTCAGGTCTCCAGAAGAGCACATTTATCCTAATCGAGTGGGAAAAGCACAATAAGCTGCAGTGATATGAAAATGAGCGTTTGTGTCGCACTAAAGTTCATCCGGTGCCCTGTTCCCTCACTCCAGAATAATCCCAGCACATTCCCACCCCGACTGGCTCTTCTCAGGCCCTAAACGAGCGCTAATCCCCCTCTCCAGAAGCCCTCGCTCCCTCACTTCTGCTCTCTTTATCCTCGAGTGAGTTCGTGTCGTTGGGTCGGAACGGTCAACACGGGTTCCTCTTCATTGCGGGTCATTGTCCACGTGAATGGACAGATCTGGGTGGTGGCCGTCGCTGGGTTAAGAGTGCAAACAGTCTCACACACATCAAAGCTCAGCAAACATCTCCGTCTAAAGCATATCCTTCTGGCTTTATGAAGAGAAACAGTCTCAGACTTTGATCACGGTCCCGCCACCACATACTCCACAACTCAACCATACACGTGCAGCTCACAAACTACACCAACGTTATTAACGAGAACTAGCGACCGACTCGGATACATGCCACTCGGAGGAATGAAGATATTAGGATATTATAATATAATGCTGTTAAAATCACAGATAATCTGGGACTTAAAACTGGAACGTTGAGAATTCTGAAAGTTAAAAAACAAAAACAAATTCTATTTGTGGTTTCCTTTAATTATGCAATACATCTCTGCACATTTTCTTAAGTTTACTGAAAATGCACTTATATATTCTACAAACTAATGTAATAAAATAACCAAGTTATGTTCCAAATTTGAAGTTGATACCACAAAACTTTAGCCTGTTTCAAGTTTTTAAAGTACAGTTTCGAAATGGTTTTGACAGTGTTTAACCCTTCGACTTATACAATTACAGTCCTGGACGACATCACTGCACTTTTTCATTTTTAGTTTACTTTACTGTAAAGCAAATTTACTAAACTAACTACTGTAGTTATTATTTTATTCCCGCCACGAAATTCTCAACAACTCAACAAGCTCACAAATAAAATCTAACTATATTATCACCCATCTAATAAATGCAACATTATGATATATGTATTTGTATAGTGTAATCAAAATTTTTGAAGTGGATCAAAAATTTTCATCAGTTGTCCTGAGACAAGAACAGGTATTGTTCAAAATTCATGTATAACTTTTTTGATCCACTTCAAATGATGACTACTCTCTCTCTCTATCTCATTATATATATATATATATATATATAAATTTGAATTAAAATGTCATGCTGATAGAATTTGAGATGAAAAAAAGACAAAAAAACACATCTAAAGTGTTCTCAGATTGGTGGACCTCAAGAGTTTTAAGACTGACGTTTATCACCATTCATAAACTCCAAGGCAAATTATTATGATGGAAAATGCAGCAAAATAGCAATATAATTATATAGCATGCGGCAATGCAGGACACTGCTGATCTCAATCTGGCCGGGAAATAACCTATTTCTAGAGAAGAAGAGTATGAACAGATCTGTGTGAATCTCAAAATCTGATCTCCTGAACACTTTAACAGCCTGAGATTACATCAGCTCAGTCCTGTGAGCGAGCAAAACCTTCACTAGGACCTCACACACACCTACACCACATCTCAAATATATAACAGCTGGTCAGAAACAGAGAAAGAGACCGTGTGAACGACATCTACAACACACTTCAGGAATCAGGCATAGAAAAGAACAAACAGCTGCGCTTGTTTAACTATCTGGTGTTCTTCGGTCATTTTCAATCAAAAACAGTTTTTTTTTGTACATTTATGTCATCAGAATGGTGTGAAACTTGGTAAAGGTATTTCTTTACGGAAAGAAATTCACCTGGTGGACATTTTTTGTACTGCGGCCAAACAAAATCTCACTGAACGCAGATATCAACATTAATTTACAGCACAACTTGTTCAGATTTACGGCTTTTATTTTCTTAGATAATAATTTTTTTTATAAATAATAATAAAATAAATGATAATTTATTTTAATAAATGATAATAAAATAAAAATAGATATTTTTATAGATATATTTCACAATTTTAGAGTAAAACAAGTTCTGAAAAAAAAAATTAATAATATTTTTCCAATTCTTTAAAAAGAGACCAAACTTCAGTCTGGTATTCAAAGCATTCAAGATTTACCACGGAAATTACATTTTCAGGTCTATGTTAAAAAGTCAATATATGGATAATAACTTAAAAACATAACTTGGCATACAAACATAATTTAGCACCATAAAATCCCTTAAAAAAAACCAAAATATTTAATAAAAACAATATCGATCTAAAGATATAGTAGAATCATTTCACTGAGAAAATTGAGCAGTTTCAAAAAATAAAAACGTAAAAATTTAGATGTTAAAATTTACAATAGTGCAAACATTTTTTATTTTATATATACAAAATATATATTTTACAAAATAATTTTGACTCTAAAATTGAAACAAAAAAAATTGAAAAAGAGACCAAACTTCAGTTTGTGATTCAAAGCATTCAAGATTTACCACGGAAATTACATTTTCAGGTCTATGTTAAAAAAGTCAATATTTGGATAATAACTTCTACATAATTTAGCACCATAAAATCCCCTAAAAATACAAAATATTAAATAAAAACGTTATCGATCTAGAAATATAGTAGAATCATAGAAAAAAAAGTAATAGTAAAAGAATAGAAATAGTAGAAAAAAAGATTTGTCATTTTTGAGCAGCTTCAAAAAATAAAAATGTAAAATAGAAGTTAAAATTTACAGTAGCGCTAACATTTTTTATTTTATACAAAACATATAGTTACGAAATAATTTTGATTCTAAAATTACTATACAAAGCTGTGAGTCTAACAATTTTTTTATTTTTTTCCATTTTTTTTCTAGTTAATATCGCAAAAATTGTGCCTTTAAAAAGGATTTAAAATAGTTTTGATGAATTTAAGAGAGTGTTTACGCTAATTTATGATGATGTGTGAAACTGGCCAATGATAATCACTTGAAACTATATTCATAACAAGACCAAACAACTGAACTACATCCTGTAGCGTCATGTGCTGCTGTATTTCTCATCATCATGTGGATCAGTCACACTAACACACAGACTGAGCATCAGTAAACATGAGAGATGAAGCTCGTTCATGCGTCACAGTCAGAGGGGGCGGAGCCAAGCTTCCCCTGCAGCTCTGATTGGTCACAGGGGCTTTGAATGACAGGAAGACACAGGACTGTGCGTCACGGCAACAGTGAGTTATGCCACTCATAACAGAGAGAGAGAGGAACACACACACACACACACACACACACAGGAAGGCGTCTGTGATAAATGATAATATTTTCAATAGAGACACTGATAGAAACACCATTAATCAATTTCCAGTGAGTAAGAGAGGGACGTTTTCAACAATTCGGGCATCTGTTTTTATCAAAATCACTTGAAAAGAGAAGTGATGTATTATCTCTCTCTCACACACACACACACAATGGGATGGCAATATCTGAAATCCTCTGAAACGTGTTGGTCCCTGTGAGGAAAACAACCCTATAAATCACACAGAATGAGTTTTCTGAAAATGTAAAAATGCAGAAAGTTTTCTGTGTGTGTGAGTGTGTGTGTGTGTGTGTTGACACAGTGAAATGACTCCTGCTTTAAATGAGGGGTGACACTGACTCCAAAAATTGGATTTGTGTCCTTCTCCTTCTGTCTCTCCTCCGTCTGTGTGTGTTTGTTAAGTGAGCTTTAATTGAATTAAATTGAAGGTTCTGTGGGTCCCTGACACACAAGCTCTGCCATGGCATTCTGGGTAAAGAGTTCACACACACACACACACACACATTCAGAGAGCCCAAATGAACACAACAACACACACACATGCACATGTACGTGTGTGTCCAGCAGCAGCTAATGAAGCAGTAATTAAGAGCTCAGAGTGATCAGGCCTGAGACAAACATTAGTAACACACACACACACACACACACACACACACACAGAGTCTCACTTGTGTTGTTTGTTCATGGCCGCCACCATGAGAGCCGTCCATCCCAAACGGTGTCGAGTGTTAGGATCGGCTCCCTCCGACAACAACCTGAGAGAGAGAGACAGCAAAACAGTGTGAGGTGTGTGTGTGTGTGTGTGTGTGTGTGAGAGAGTGTGTATGTCTGTGTGAAAGTGTGTGTGTGTGTTTACAGTCAACAGTGAACTGCAACACTTACTGGTTCTCAGCAGACTGACCTCTAACTTAAAACACTTAACACATCTGGTGTCTCACACACACACACACACACACACACACACTTCACTGCCATCTGCACTGTCTGCCTTCTGGGGCAGAAACCCAAAACACACACTCACTCACTCACACACACACACACACACACACACACACACACACTATTTTATTACATTTCTGTAGTATTTCTTACACAGCACTCTTTATTAAATGTGTATCTTTGTTCAGTTGTATTTAATCGTCCTGTAGTTTGTCATTTCCATTCTTTATTCTCATTTCTTCACGACTGTGTTCTTGTGTTCAGTAATCGACTGTATTAGTTAAGCTAGTATGAGTGTTTGCTGTGATGTTGAGAACAGAGAAATCTCACCGGCATCTAAAAACTGCTCTCATAACAACAGACACTATCATATACTAACTGTGCTGATGAACTGAAGATCACTGTCTCCCCCTGGCGGACACACACACACTCTGCAGCGGACAGTCACGTGACTGCTGCATTAAAAACCCATACAAACTGACGTCAAGCCTGTTATTATGTTTATTTTGATCATGAGTACCAGATGAAGACATAAAGCCCTGGTTTAAAATCATTCTGCGTACGAGGTTGTTTTATAACATTATGAGTGTGTGTGTGTGTGTGTGTGTGTGTGTGTGTGTATGAGTGTGTGACCTGCTGAGCTCATCGGTGTTGCTGGACCTGCAGGCGTCGAGGAGAGCTGACGCTGAAACATAACCATATCCAAACATCAGATCAGGCGTTACACATCTCCATCAGAATTCAGAATCACAAAACACAAGCTATATGAACTCTAACGTTACATTTCATAGGACACGCCAAATCAATAAGACTTAGAATATCATAAACTCTTTTATGTTTAAAGTATTATGTTTTCATAATGTAGTACGTCATAATTTGAATAAGTAAACATACTTTTTAATGTCATAATAACAGCTTGATCTGCCTTGATCACGATTTTATCGCATATTGATCTATAATTTTGACTTAGTATGTCATAATTTAAAATTTTCATCTCATAAATTTCAGTATGCCCACATTATGTCAAAGTTATGATTTACACATGCAACTTTCTCTACCTTTATCCTCGTTGTCTCTCTTCAGGCAGAAGGCGAGCGCCGCGGCTGAGATGAGGCCTACAGAAGCAGAAGCCGCGGTGTGGGAGTCGCTCTGGTGTCCGCCTCTGGAGCGCGCCGAGGCGGTCAGACTCGCCCAGCTGCTCCGGCGGCCCTCCAGGTTTGCGCGCCACCTGCTGGCCAGCTGATGGTACTGCATGTGCGAATCCTCGCTCAAAACGCTCTTCCTGGACGCTCGCGCGCCGCTGAGCACCGGGCTCCGGTTCGGTTCGAGCTCACACAGGTTACGGAACCGGGAGGCCTCCCCGTGACTGGTCTGAAGCGCGCGACACGGAGACAGGCTCCGCGACCTTCGCATCAGGACGCGCGCTGGGACCGACGATAGCAACATCGCGACGCTCCGAACTGACGCGATGACAATAACAGCGGGTTCCGTTATCGGTTAAGATGGTGTGTTCGGTGTCAGTGTTTCAGTGATCAAACACACACGAATTACGAATTCTGATGTTAATGATGCTGGAGGATGAGAGCTTGACAGCAGAAACGTGTTTCCGGTGAATGATAAACATCCGCGCGCGGTGAACACGGAATCATGGGAAATGTAGTTAACAGCGTCACTACTGCACTACATGCGCTCACCAACGAAACGTTCTTTTATATATATATATATATATATATATATATTATTATGACGATTATTTAAAAGTTTAATGTTCGGACATCCGTATACAATAATGAAAAAAATCTATTAGCCTATACACTTCCAAATGGATCAAGTTGATTGACGACGATAGATCGATTATATAGCCTAAAACTGTAGGCTATATATCAAGTCAAGTCAAAAAATGTATTGTCTTCCGTATACATGTACAGCTGAACGAAATTTCGTTACGTACGTACCGAGATGCATATAACAAATGCAAATCACAATATCCTACAATGCAACAGTGCGACAGTGCAAAACAGCCCTCAGCATTCACATGATACACACAATGCAATATACAGTAAACAGTAAAAACGTGCAAATCGCCAGTAGACAGAAAAAGTGCAATAGACAGTAAGTAGTGCAATTTGACCAGCAGAAGTCAATAAAGTGTCGGTGCAGTTTTAATGCCCATAGGTATGAACAGGTGTATATATATATACAAACATACACACATACATGTATATATTTATATATAATGGGCTTTGGGCTGTATTTGTGTAATTATAAGCATATATGTGTGCTGGTGACCTTTGACCTGCAGAGGGCGTCTAGACACAAAATACACGAGCAACACTTTCCCTCTGTCATCAGTTTATGGAAGTATGAACATTAGACTTGAATACAGCCCAAATCCCTTTGCATTCTAAATTATTAATAAGTTATTTTTTTTTTATATTATGAAATGATTAATTTTTAATTTTCCGGTATTGATCATACTGAAATGTTCTTGATGTTGTTTGTTGACAGACACACAATTATTGAAATAAACTACAGCAAAATCCAAATGGACTATTCTTGTTTTGTCATGGAATATTGCAGTATTTATTCTTAATGATTTATTAGTGTGTTAAACTGATGTTTGTGGTAATCTTGAATCACCTCTGTTCTCTTCTCTGATGACGAGGGCGGAGCAACCTGTCACTCACATGAGATCAGCCAATAGCAGACCACAATCAATTCCCCACAGACACATTCAAGCCCCGCCCATATTTGTTCTTGTTCCAGAATTGTTTCAATTAGACAAACATCTGTTATACATGAACTGACACCTTCAATAGAATTACATTGTTGTTTTGTAATTGCATGTTTATTTGGCCAGAATTAATGTATATGTTGATGGAGAAAGGTGAGATCATTTACACGAGAGTCTAAAAACTCCTCAAACTGTAGTATTCAGACGTCAGCGGAGTTGATGATGATGTCAGAGATGAGAATGAACGAGGGTTTGTGGTTTGATGAAGAAAAACAGAGAAAGAGGGCATTACTTAAATGAAAATAAATTAAAAAATGAACGAAAGTCAAAAGTTTGTAGGCTAGGCTATGTTGTGCAAATTGTAAAATGTTCTGAGTGCTTTTGCGTTAAGAGAAGATGAAATTGTAATCAAGTAATGTTTCATCTCGTGTAAAAATACCACAAAAATAGGTTTACAATCTGAAAACTTACATTTATGAATATAAAACCGCAAACTAAAGTTTTTTTTTTCAGTTTTCTTCTTTTAAGTATTATAAATACAGTCAGGGGGGTACAATTAGTAAACAAACAAACAAACAAACAAAAATACATAAAGAAATAGTAAACTAGAGGTTATGATGGGAAGCTGAGGAGAGTAACACGTCAGCGCAGTGCTCGTGCATGCGAGTGGGCGGAGCCAAGCTGTCAGTCGTGTGTGTGTGTGTTAGCGGGCACACGCCTTTCCTCATCAATAACACACATACGCACACACACACAGCGGGATGAAACAGCTGGTTGTGCATTTCACTGGTAAACGCGTTCGCGTTTATTATTTTCGACACACTCATTTATGAGTGTATTCACACACACACACACACACCCGCGCGGGTATATCTGGATATTTAAACGCGCGCGACAAACACATATGAGCTTATATATAAACATATGTTTGAAACATCTGATGTGAAATTGTGAATCAGGATCCGAAACCGCAGAGACTCGGTTCACACAGAGAGAAACGCCCGTGCGTGTCGCGCGCGTCTTGTTTTTTAATCACGCGACGCGCGTCAGGGAATAACCCGAATTAAACTCAACTTTGGTGTTTGGTTAGTTTGCTCTCCGGGAGCCGCAGCTCTTCATCTTCTTCATCATCACCAGGAGGAAGATGATGAAGACGATGATGTCCGGGGAAGAGGTTCTGATCCCGGATGATCGCGCGTTCAGTCGCTTTCAACGCGAGTGTGAGTGCGATGAAGGCTGGACTCCGACCTACAACAAGTCCAGCATCTGTGTGTGGATCCAGATCCTGGAGGAGGAGAAGAGCTTGCACAAGATCAAGGTGAGTGTGTGTGTGACGGACAGATGATGATGATGATGCTCTTCTTCACGCCAGGCCTTGCTGAGACTCAAACTGTATCCGCTTTCTAAAACACTCACTTTACTGACCTTAATCAGACACTATCTGGTGAGTGTGTGTGTGGAAGTGAGTGATTAAGTGCTGATAACACAAAAAAGTTTGCCTATGTGTTTTATAATATTTGATCCATCAATATAGTTTGAAAATGGAGGAAAAAGCAGCTCAATGTCATTCAGAGACTCAAACTGAGCAAAAATATGCGATTTAGTAAAAACAAAGATGCTTTAAATCAATAAGATCTCTATAACATTAGCCTATAGCCGATAAAAAGCATATAATATCCATATCTGCACTGATATTTAAATGTTAAGTTTTATGATCAAAGCTGTTGAACATAATGCAACATAATGACGAGTGAAAGATGAACTAATCATCAAAAGCCTGCGATATTCATTATTTTTCTGTGATAATCCTAATCGAGTAAAAGTTCCTTCAGTCCAGCTGAAAAATTACTAACAATATCAAAGTTATTCTTATGTTCAATAAAGATTTCACACGAGCTGAAGGGCGTGTGTACAATTATACTAAAAAAGACTTGATTAAACGCGTTTATCGGATCATTACTGCGTCAGAAGTGTGTGTATAGGGTTAACTCCTTCAGTTAGTCATGAAGTCCGTGTGTGTTTAACGGGAACATCCGGGTGTGTGTCGGCCGGGCAGGTTTATCAAGCAGGTGTTGACACACACACACTCACACGGGTGTGTTTGAACTGTAACGTAAAGCCAGCAGGTTGTGTGTGTCTTTAAACTCAGTCTCGACACAACTGTGTGTTTTACAGTCGGTCCCTGATCTTTTATTTGTGTTTGTTCATGGAAACTCCGTCTAATGCATCTCAAGTTCACAAAGTTCAGAACCTGCTGGATTCTCACGAGACTGAAGTCATTCGATCTCTACACACACACACACACACACACACACACACACACTGTCCCTTTGTTCCAGTGTAAAGTAGGAAGAAGTGCACGACACAAAGGAGAGCAGAAGTGAAGTGCAGAGAGCCGAGGCCGTTCACCTGACAGGGTCACTCTTCCTGTTCCTCAGAGACGGGTGATGATGAAGATGATGATGATGATGATGCAGGAACGATAGACACCTGTAGTGACTCCGTGGATGTCCTTATAATCATCAATGACAAATAAATACGCTTTAGTTAAGGTGTGTGTGTGTGTGTGTGCATGAGAGAGTATGTGAGTGAGAGAGAGAGATAGTGTGTGTGTGTGTGTGTGTGTGTGTGAGAGAGAGATAGAGTGTGTCTGTGTGTGTGTGTGTGTGTGAGAGAGAGAGTGTGTGTGTGAGAGAGAGAGAGAGTGTGTGTGTGTGTGTGTGTGTGTGTGTGTGTGTGTGTGAGAGAGAGTAAGTCACTCATCATTAGTGTGTTCATCTTCAGTGTGTAACTCGTGCTGCAGTGTTACTGTAGATCTCAGTTCCAGTATCAGTGAAACTCCTTCTTCTCTTATGATTACATGCAGCCAGCGAATCAGTACATACACACACACACACACCCAACACACTCATGCGTCGCTATAGTGGAGTGTATCATCTCTAATATCCTTAATCACTTTTCATTTGCAGTGAAATCCACCCTCTCATTTGTGAGATGCTGTTGGTAAAATAATCTGCTAAATGAATAAATGTAACCATAAAATCTGTATTAATTTCACAGTTCACAGAAACACACACACACACACACACACACACATACACGCGTGTGAGTCTGCTGATGCGTGTTCCTGTGGGGAAACGGCAGTAAAGCACAATAACACAAAGTGCTGAAGTGTGAGAAATACTACATCGCCTGCAGACAAAAGGCCAGAGAGAGAGAGAGAAGGATGGTGTGTGTGTGTGTGTGTGTGTGTGAGATAGTGATAGAGAGAGAGAGATAGAGAGAGAAGGATGGTGTGTGTGTGAGGGAGAGAGAGAGAGACAGTGATAGCATATGTTGAATTAAACTCTCGATCTCTCACACATGCACATTGTGTAGTGACCTTTATAATAAATATTAATAACATCATCATTATTAATATTATTATTAGTAGCATTAGTTATGAACGTTATAACCATGAATTTGATTGGTCACGTCTATTAGTCAAGCTCAGCGTTTATCTTGATGTAATTTCAAGAGTTTGTTTTGAAAACAAGTTTGTTTTTAGTTTGTTATTTGATGCTATAAAAACGGTGCTGTGACATCATGATTGACAGGTGGTTAGTAGTTGTATTTACCTCATTTTAACGAGGTATTGCAATCAGCAGACATCATCGGAGAGGAACGGAGCAGACAGAGGCCGCTTCATGTAAGTGTGGTGCGTGTGCTTGTGATTGGTTCAGCGAGAGTGAGGGCGGGGCCTTGATTTCCGCGGCTTTACTTCCTGCTCACGACTGCTCCCGAAAACACAAGTGCGCAGACTCAAGTTCCAAGATTTCACCGTCATATCGAGACTAGAGCCAGACCGATATATCGGCCGATATTAGGCATTTTCCAAACTATCATGTCACGAGTGTTGGAGTTTTATACTGTAGTTTGTCCACCAGAGGGCACTCTACACCGTCCCTGTTGGCAACAGTCGTTGAGTTGGTCACAATACATACATTGCTTGAATAACAATTAAAGGGATAGTTCACTTTGAAATTAATTTTTGATATGTTTTATCTGACCTCAAGGGCATCCGAGATGTAGGTGTCTTTGTTTCCACAGTATTTTCAATTTTGACATTTTTCAGTCAAACCGTTGTTGTCTATCAGTCATACACTGGAGGCTAAGGGGGTCCACCAAAGAGAAGTCCAAATTAAACATGATTTAATGACTCGTAAATGTAAGTACACACTGATGGCCTAAGACACGAAACGAGCGGTTTGTGTGAGAAAACCAAAAGTATTTATATCGTTTTACCTCGTGTAATCACAGTGATCTCAATGTCCAACTGAACCGAACTGAATCAGTTCAATGTTACGCCGGAAGTGATCGCTCGCGTGTGACGTCACTCAATATTTACACGGAGATTTCGGAAGTTTTACCTTTTACTAAACATATTTAGATATCCCGAAATCGTCTTCCATTGTTCCATCATTTTGTCATGGCTGTGATTACACGAGGTAAAACGATATAAATACTGTTGGTTTTCTCACACAAACCGCTCGTTTCGTGTCTTAGGCCATCAGTGTGTACTTACATGTACGAGTCATTAAATCATGTTTAATTTGGACTTCTCTTTGGTGGACCCCCTTAGCCTCCAGTGTATGACTGATAGACAACAACGGTTTGACTGAAAAATGACAAAATTGAAAATACTGTGGAAACAAAGACACCTACATCTTGGATGCCCTTGAGGTAAGATAAAACATATCAAAAATTAATTTCAAAGTCAACTATCCCTTTAAAAGAACATCCCCATCAGTTCTCTTAACTCAAATAAGCATGACAAAATTTGTGACTATCATGTCCAGTTTAAAAATAAATAAATAAATAAATAAAATATCGGATTTTAAAACCCCAAAATATTTGTATCGGTATCGCCCTTCAAAATCCTTTATCGGTCGGGCTCTAATCGAGACACTGGCGGCTTCAGTTCTCTCTGATGGAAAAGAGCGAAGGGGCGTCGTCCATCTTTTTTTACAGTCTATCTATGGTCGCGCAAACTTTGCGAAGGCCGATGATATCTTATCTTACCTTTGACCAAACATGCAGTCAAACGTGACGCTCCCCAAACCTCGCCACTTCAGATATGTCATGTGTTCTAGCTCAAGCACACCTGCTGCAACTAATGAAGCCCTTGATTAGTGAGACTACACCTGTGTTGCAGATCTGTGCTGTTCTGAGGGATCCTATTTATGTGGATTACAAGTGTATGTGTGTGTGTTAGTGATATTGCAGTGTTCACAGTGTCAGTTCTTCAAACAGCCGCTCTGTGTGTCCGTACGGCCAATAAAGGGTTTGATTTGCATTAACCGCAGCAGTACTTTGAATATTTCTGTATCTTCGGGAGCTTTAGTGAAGCGTGACTCAATAACCCGGAAACTCTAATGACGCTTCGACTGATTCACGACAGGAGGATCATCACACGGGCTTACAGGTGTTCTCTATTCAGTAGCATGTGAAACACACGTGTGTGTTTGTGTTTTGGGGGAAGCCCAACAGCTTTGAGGAAAATCTGACATCTACAGCCACCCACACAGAGCTGTGCTGAGCGTCATACGTGTGTGTGTGTGTGTGTGTGGTTCTAGTTGATGTAGAAAAAAATAGATGTCAGTAAAGAAACACCCATGACTGCAGGCATCAAATTATTCATTAGAAACTAGAACACGAACACACACACACACACACACACGTATGACGCTCAGCGCAGCTCTGTGTGGGTGGCTGTAGATGTCAGATTCTCCTCAAAGCTGTTGGGCTTCCCCCGAAACACAAACACACACACACACACACACACACACGTGATCTGTCCTCCCACTCATGATGTTCATCTGCAGTGGAGCTTCAGGAAAATCCCACTCAAGCGTTTCTGTCCTGTTTCAACACAGACTGACCATATTTAGAAATTACGGTTAGAAATACGGTTGCTATATATGATATAAACATTGTAGAGATCGGGGGGAAATTTACATTTTTGATGCATATTTCGATACCAAAACAGAAATTAATATGGCTGATAGTAATGTTTAGATTTATGCTTTTTATGACTAAGTCAGAAGTGTTATTTTAGTGCTTCTGCGAGCACTAATTTTAGCGAGTGTTAGATGGACATTGCTCTAGAAAACACAGGTGCTGTCGAGATGAGATTTAATGGCCTGGTTTAATATTTCATAAATCTAATTCAGAAAGACTACAGCCTCATTTCACCTGATGTAGGTCAACACACACTCACACACACTCGTATTTCTGTTTCACTCACTTGAATTCCTCAGACACTTGTAGCGAATGGCTTTTACTCCATGAATATGATGTGGGATCAGGGGCGATGTTTGCGCAGTATGATGTCACCAATATCTTCCAGGAAGAGAAAGACTGGGCAAACACTTTAAACTTTAGTTAACATGTAATTACATCTTAACTTTAGCGTCACACACTTGTGATCCTGACAGTCAAGACTAACTGAAGTCAATAAGTGCAATATAATAACAAAGGCACCATTCATTTATATATAAAATAATGAAAAGACTAGAAAAAGTATTCTGTTTTTGCAATAAATATTAATAAAGCATAAAGTAATCAAGAGACCTGCTGACGTAGTTACTCACTTTTATAATGTTCTGCATTTATATATATATATATAATTAGAGCCAGGCCGATATTAGACATTTTCCAAACTATCGGTATCGGCAGTTATAATGGCCAATAAACGAATATTTCAAAAATAAAATCAAAACAGACGAAACACGCTTCAATCATCTCTCCTTGGCCTGTTAAATTGAAAATGTATGTTTTACAATTTTCAGTATGACGTTATCTATTGCTAAAATATGGCTCATCGTAGACTAGCTAACCTGACATTGTAATTATAAGGTAGCTTATAAGGCAATGTAGAGACTAATTATTTTATTTATCAGAACTTTAATATATTTTGATGTTCCTCTGTTCTGTTGTGACAATAAAAGAAACAAGTTTCTTTTTAAAATGCTTTATCATATTATTTTAGTTAAAACTCATAAATAACTACAAATAACTATGTTAGGGAAATCTGTTAATGTTTTGTTGCACGCTTCTGAAAAAAAAAAATATATATACAGTGCCCTCCACAATTATTGGCACCCCTGTTTAAGATGTGGTCGAGGACTTTTAAAAATTCTCCCTTTTTTTTAAACAACATAGAACCCAAATGCAAAAAAAAGAGAAAAATCCAACCTTTTATTCAAGTACATTACTTTGGTGGTAAAAAAAAATGTAAAAATTTTGAAAAATAAAAACTTCAAATCCTGTGTCCCACAATTATTGGCACCCCTAACAATTCCGCTGAAAAATGTAATTGATTTTTAAAAAAATATATATTTTCTGTAGTTGCTAATGTTGGTCAGGATATCTAGGAACTTTTAATTAGTAATTCATGACTTCCTATTTCCCTGGGGTATAAATATGACATGACACAGAGGCCTAATTCTCTTACCCATTTGTCAACATGGCAAAGACAAGAGAACACACCATTCAAGTAAGGCAGATGTGTGATGACCTTTATAAGTCAGGCAATGGCTACAAGAAAATAGCCACTCACCTTATATTGCCCATATCTAAAGTTAGAGGAATCATTAAGAAGTTTAAAACAACTGGAACAGTGACAAACAAGGCTGAAAGAGGTCCCAAGTTTATCTTGCCACAACGCACTGTGAGGAGGATGCTAAGAAAAGTAAAAAAAAGTCCTAAGCTCACTGTCACAGAATTGCATCAAATAGTGGCATCTTGGGGTCACAAAATCTCCAAAACAACCATCAGACGCTCTCTACATGCCAACAAGATGTTTGGGAGGCATGCTAGGAAAAAGCCTTTTCTCACTAACACTGACAAACGTAAACGTCTGGAGTTTGCCAAGCGGCACTGGGACTTCATCTGGATCGTGTGCTTTGGTCGGATGAGACTAAGATTGAGCTTTTGGCAACAAACACTCTAAGTGGATCTGGTGTAAAACAAAAGATGTGTATGCCGAAAAGTACCTCATGCCCACCGTGAACTATGGTGGAGGATCTGTGATGCTGTGGGCCTGTTTCTCTTCCAAAGGCCCTGGGAACCTTGTTAGGGTGCATGGCATTATGAACGCTTTGAACTACCAGGACATTTTAAATAAAAACCTGATGGCCTCTGCCAGAAAGCTGAAGATGGGTCGTCATTGGGTCTTTCAGCAGGATAATGATCCAAAACGTGTGGCAAAATCTACACAAAAATGGTTCAGTCACAAACTCAAGGTCCTCCCATGGCCATCTCAGTCCCCAGACCTCAATCCAATCGAAAACCTGTGGGGTGAGCTAAAGAGGAGAGTGCACAAGAGAGGGCCCAGGATACTGGATGATCTAGAAAGATTTTGCAAAGAAGAATGGTCAAAGATCCCTCTCTCTGTGTTCTCCAATCTTGTGAAATGTTATAGGAGGAGATTAAGTGCTGTCTTGTTGGCAAAAGGGGGTTGTACAAAGTATTAACATCAGGGGTGCCAATAATTGTGGGACACATGATTTGAAGTTTTTATTTTTTTTAATTTTTAATTTTTTTTTTACCACCAAAGTAATGTACTTAAATAAAAGGTTGGATTTTTCTCTTTTTTTGCATTTGGATTCTATGTTGTTTTAAAAAAAGGGAGAATTTTTAAAAGTCCTCGACCACATCTTAAACAGGGGTGCCAATAATTGTGGAGGGCACTGTATATTGGCCGATATATCGGATTTTAAAACAAAAAAATATTTGTATCGGTATCGGCCTTCAAAATCCTTTATCGGTCGGGCTCTAATATGTATATATATATGTATATCGAATGTATATATGTATATATTCCTGTTTAAAATGACCAGACTCCTGGAGGGTTAAAGAGATGCATTCTGGGTAACGGTTGTGTGTCCTCAGTGTCGTATGCAGTGTAAGGACATCCCCGCCGAGACCATGTACGACGTGCTCCACGACATCGAGTATCGGCGGAAGTGGGACGCAAACGTCATCGAGACCTTCGACATCGGCAAACTGACGGTCAACGCAGACGTGGGCTATTACTCCTGTAAGAGTGTGTGTGTCAGTCTGTGTGAGAGAGAGTGAGTGAGTTTGTGTGTGTGTGTGTAATTAAGCTTGTTTCCTCCACAGGATAAAATTTTAAAAGGTTAATTGTGATTCTATGTACGTTTATTCTGACTTTTTCGTAGAATTGAGAAAAAAAAGTTGCAATTGTGAATTTATGTAATTGCAATTCCGGCTTTTTTTCGGAGTTTCTTGCAAGTACGACTTTATTTTCACGAGTTTATGAACCTATATTCTGCTTTATGAACATATAATATAAATAATATAAATATAATATAAAAAAATATATAATATATAAAAAATTATATAATATAATATAAAAAAGTTGAAATTGTGAGAAACTCAGAATTTATACACCTATATTCTTCTAACTTTTTTCTTAGAATTGCAGTTCTGACTTTTTTGCAGTACTTCATCAGTCTTTACATATCTGAATACGCTAATTACCGTGTGTGACTGTTGGTTTTCCGAGTCGTCGCTCATGCTAAGCGCTAACTCTTCTCAGGGAAGTGTCCGAAGCCGCTGAAGAACCGTGATGTCATCACCCTGCGCTCATGGCTGCCGATGGGCAACGATTACATCATCATGAACTACTCTGTCAAACACGCCGTGAGTGAAAACACTTCAAGCTTTTCAATCATTTTGAATGAAAAATTTTAAGTTTTTTTTTTTTTTATAGTACAAAACTTGGCAAAGGTTTTGGCACTCGCTGTGTGAACACAAAAATGTATGGACATGAATCGAACAGGTTAAATGGTCCTGTAAAAAATAGTCCCACTTGTGCTCCTCGCGGTCAGAAATAACGCATTGTAAATGAATGAGTTTCCTCTAGTGGAAGCATTCGGTACTGCAGCCGAACACACACTCACTGAACACTCGTTTACTGAGAGATCAGACTCGCATGCGAAACACACACTTGTTTAGATTTATGGCTTTAATTTTCTTGCAGTTTCAGAGAAAACTTGTTTTTTTTTTCATAACAATATGAACAATATGTTTTTATGTCTATTTTATGTCTATGCTATGTGAATAAATGGATTATAAATACAGCGCAAGTATAATTTGGTATAAAAAAAATCCCCTAAAAATACAAAATATTTAGTTAAAAACAATCAAACTAAAATGTACATTAATTTCATTGACAAAAAAAAAATATATAAATTAGGTCCTTTTTGACCGAGACGAAGAGCAGAGGGTGAAGCGTTCATAGGTGATGAAATATGAAATGTTGTGTTCGTTAGCTGTGTGTCATGTGACCATTAACCGTCATCAGAGAACCGTAAACACGCAAATTGAGCTTAATTAAAGAGGGATGCAAGAGAATGTTAGAGCTGAGACTTAATGAATCGCTGGATAATTGAATGTGTGACGTGTGTTCAGTGTGTGTTTAGTTGATGATCAGGACAGTAATGATTCTGCTAACGACCTTCTGATCTTCACTAATGATGTGATGATGGTCTGCAGCGTCTCACTCTGATCCTGTACAGATGTGTGTGTGTGTGTGTGTGTGGTCATGAGTCACATGATCACTGGTCTGCTGCTGATCATTGATCAGTGAGAGAGAAAGACAGAGGCTTTTTATCTCCAGTTCTTTTCATTCTCTCACACACTCTAACACACAATCCATCACACACACACACACACACAGAGTGGCCAGTGTGTCGTTTTGATCATTATGGGATATAGAATGAGAGCTCATGGTGTTCCTGTAACCATAGTGACGCTGTAGTGAATCTCATTGGCTGAATTTGTGTTCTGTTATCGGTGCTGTACATTGATTGATTGATTGATTGTGTGTGTGTGTTTCAGAAATATCCTCCTAAGAAGGATCTGGTTCGAGCCGTTTCTATTCAGACGGGATACTTGATCCAGCGCACCGGCCCCACCAGCTGCACACTGACATACCTGGCACAGGTGGACCCGAGAGGTACACAAACACACACACACAGAGATCAACCACCGCTGTTATCTTCTTAACAGTTTATCTTCTCTCTCTCTCTCAGGTTCTCTTCCTAAGTGGGTTGTTAACAAGTCTTCCCAGTTCTTGGCACCCAAAGTGAGTAAAGTTTCCCTCACACACACACACACACACACACTCGTTCCCCCGGCTCGCTGATGGTTGTTTGCTCTGTAGCTTTGTTCTTCATTCCTAACATAATTTACTCTGAAACCCCGCATAATGACAGACATGTGAGTGAGTGTGTGTTTGTGTGTTGAAGTAGGTCAACAGTTTTTCAGGAAACATCAGTGAAAGAACAGATGAGGGATTGATCGATTAACGGACACACACGGTGACGAAAGACCATGTGAAATATTAAACACACCGTTTCTGCATCATTGCAGTTGATGATTCATATAAACAATAATTCTAATTGAATTCTAGGGTTCTTGACTCAGTTTATGCCAATCAGATTCTAAAGAAGAACCACCTTCTTAAATTATTGCTTAACACTTACAATTTAAAAAGTAGTTTCGGTAAAGTTAGCTTTGGTAAAGTTAGCTTCGGTAAAGTAGTTTCGGTAAAGTTAGCTTCGGTAAAGTAGTTTCAGTAAAGTTAGCTTCGGTAAAGTAGTTTCGGTAAAGTTAGCTTTGGTAAAGTTAGCTTCGGTAAAGTAGTTTCGGTAAAGTTAGCTTCGGTAAAGTAGTTTCGGTAAAGTTAGCTTCGGTAAAGTAGTTTCGGTAAAGTTAGCGTCGGTAAAGTTAGCTTCAGTAAAGTAGTTTCGGTAAAGTTAGCGTCGGTAAAGTAGCTTTGGTAAAGTTAGCTTCGGTAAAGTTAGCTTCGGTAAAGTTGGCTTCGGTAAAGTTGGCTTCGGTAAAGTAGTTTCGGTAAAGTTAGCTTCAGGTAAAGTTAGCTTCAGTGAAGTTAGCTTAGCTTCGGTAAAGTTAGCTTCGGTAAAGTTAGCTTCGGTAAAGTTAGCTTCAGTAAAGTTAGCTTCAGTAAAGTTAGCTTCAGTACAGTAGTTTCGGTAAAGTTAGCGTCGGTAAAGTAGCTTTGGTAAAGTTGGCTTCGGTAAAGTTGGCTTCGGTAAAGTTGGCTTCGGTAAAGTTGGCTTCAGGTAAAGTTAGCTTCAGTGAAGTTAGCTTAGCTTCGGTAAAGTTAGCTTCAGTAAAGTTAGCTTCAGGTAAAGTTAGCTTCAGTAAAGTTAGCTTCGGTAAAGTTAGCTTCAGTAAAGTTAGCTTCAGGTAAAGTTAGCTTCAGTAAAGTTAGCTTCAGGTAAAGTTAGCTTCAGTGAAGTTAGCTTCGGTAAAGTTAACTTCAGTGAAGTTAGCTTCGGTAAAGTTAGCTTCAGTAAAGTTAGCTTCCGTAAAGTCAACAGTTTTACATCAAACTGCGACTTTCTTTACTTTAAAATGTATCTTTTAAATTGACAAACATCATATGTGTAATCCAGGGCACAATTCAAACGAGATCAAAATATTTGTTGTCTCTCGCCATTGACTCCCATACAATATTTTTCCGAAATAAGGTCCCATGGTGGTCGACCGGAAGGGGAGGGTCTTCTTAGTGTTATATAAGAAACACAACTTCTTTTAAAAGGTTTCACTGTAATATAAATGCTTTTAAAAGAGAAGACCGACTGATTAAGAGAACGATGACGTTACAAGCATTTCTGAGACAAACTGGATCAGTGAGACAAAGAGGGGCAGTGTGTCTAAATGTGTCTGTAAGATTGAATTAGACTATTAGTGTGTCTCTGTGTGCGAGTGTGTATTTTATCAAATCTTTATAAATATATATTTTCTGTAAAACTGATTTATTTTGGAATCATATTGTAACCTCATCTCGTGTGTGTGTGTCAGGCGATGAAGCGCATCAGTAAAGCGTGTGTTCGGTATCCGGAGTGGAAGCAGAAACACAGTCCTGGCTTCAAGCCGTGGCTTTTCCCGGAGCAGAACCGGCTGTCCAACGTCCCGCTGTCCGAACTCTGCATCCAACACGCAGAATCCCTGGAGAACATCGACGAGAGCTCGCTCCGAGAGAGCAAAGACGAGCGCGCCGAGCACAGCGACGAGGAGGGACACAACTGACACACACACACACACACCTGTGAGCAATCCTGAGGTCAGATCAGCACAGTTAAGGGGAGAGTGTGAGAGTGTGTGTGTGAGAGTTTGATTTCGATTTAATTCAGTTATGAAGATGTAAATTATATTGAATTAAGAAGTGATTTCTGGCTGTTTCCTGCTCGACGGATCGACCTCTGACCTTCAGCACGCATGCAGACACGACACTGGAAACGCTGAGTTGATCTGTTGTACGACACTAGAGTTCAATCAATCAATGAATGTAGTAACCAAGAATTAAAAACGAATTACTGCCTGTTTTTGGAGCCCTGTCTTGTGTCTTCTGTTTGTAGACGTTGTGTCAACAAGGTGTTAGCAACACATTGAGTTAATATTTGAGTTAATAAAACGCTGTAATGTGCGTTTTTGAGTAAAAACAAGGAGAAAATGTGAGGAATTGGGTTTGTTTAGATCTGGCCTTGCATATCAGATTCAGAATGACCCCTTTTTATAGAAACTACTCAGATTAAGTGTGTTTCTACTTACAATTTTGTCTCCAGAAGTGAGCTAAAGTGGGTGAAAATGTTTAAACCGCGTAAAACAATTAAAAGTCTATCATATGTGCTTATTTAGATATAGAAGAGTAATGAATGTGTCAGATAAAAACATCTGTCTCTCTTTAGAAATACAGACATTGGCCTACATCTATAGTGACACATGTCAGCTTGTGTGTGTGTGTGTGATTGAGAGAGGATCATCGTCTTTCACACTGATAATGACTTTCAGACACTTGATGGACAGGATTAGTGATTGAGAGTGTAGTGAGGCAGACGAGAACTGGATCTGTTTATTAACCCCTTAACTGTCACCGTCCTGGTACCAGAACCCCTAACTTTACTTCACTATATTTCTATCAAATAAATAATAATCTAATTATGACAAATTATATATTTTTGGAAAAGTCTAAGACTTCTAAATAGATATTCTACCCCTGTTTTGTGTTACAAATTGTGATGAATTTATAACAAGAGTGCACCTCAAAAAATCTGCATCATAACAGGTCTGACCTTTGTCACAAAAAGTCGATGCACCCACTTTTAATCATTGAAACTTCTGTTGTTATGCTAAAAGTTCATAATAAAACATATAATCTAGTATTTTTCAATAAATTATACTATAATATTATCGTCTAAAAATGATAATATATATATTATCCTCTAAAATATAATATTATCTTTTTTTATCGCCTTTTTTATTATATCACATATTTTAGTAGTCATAAACATCAACATGATCAACATCATTTGAAAGCTTATAAACTCAGAATTCATCGTGTAAAAACCGTTTTATTGAACGTTGCGTTAGAAACGGTAGGCTACTCTAAATTATTTTATCAGGCTCCTCCCCTTTTGGGTAACATTATATTTCATTTTTTTTTTCAACAACCCCTATTATTATGCTATAAATAAAATAGACCACAATAGTCTTGTTTTGTCCATTTTATTCAAATAAAATACTTCACCGTATGATCTCAACGTCTCTGTTTATTTCGTTAGTTTCCTAGGACAGTCCCATATTTCAACTCTAATTTTAGTGTCCCGACTTATTATGAAAAAAAAAATCATATTTTGTCCCGTACTTCATCATTATTTTAAATAGACGTGTCTTTTACACGCCTGGTGTTACTGGAGATTGGTAAATAAAAGCCGGTCTGTTTTTTTTTTTAGTTTCGGACTTTCGGTTAGTGTTTAATAATATTCTAAAACAGATCGTCCGCTTTTTTCGGTCACCAGAGCAAATTTTTGTACAGCCAAAGCCTCTTTAGAGTGATGTAGAATAGAAGCCGCTGCGTTTGACAGGGCATAACCATAGGGCATAACGAGCAGAGCGCACTGTGAGAGCAAGACAGTGAGAGCCACAATGCAATGTTAATCTGCATTGTGGCGCTGTCTTGCTCTCTCTCAGTCTCCCTCGCGCATATTATTCAAAATCAGTTGACATAATTGTAAAAGGTCGAAAGACCGCAGTTTCACGTGGAGCATTTGGACATTTTTAGATATTAGAGACTAGCTCTATATTATTAAGTGTACTTGTATGTGTGCAGTAGGTTTTGTGGGTCTGTAGGTTCAGTATTTGTCCCATACACTCTGAGAAATCTGGTCACTCTAGCTAGTAAATTAGCCTATATTTTTTTGTTAATCTGCATTGTTCGTCACATACACAACACAGTGCCATCTAGTGGCTTTCTTGAGTAACAGGCAAAATCAACGTAATATTATTACAAGTCCAACCTAAAACTACGCCAAAACCAATTTGATTTAAGACTCTACACTTCACAAACAAGAGTCACAAAACCTCCAGGTTTCCACCAACAACACAACAATAATAAAAGCAATGTATAACATGCTGCAATAAAAAAATTAGCAATGTAGCAGACAAATTCTCCATTCCTACCATCTCATTAGCTCCAGAGTCGTCTCCACGCACGTTGTTGTTGGTCAAAGTCGTCTTTGTCAAAGACGAATCTTTAAACCACTTTCTTATATCCATAGCTAAGCTTTGCTGTGGCTGTAGGCCTAACCTGCACAGAACCGCCAGAATTCGATTCTGAGATCGCAAGCACTGCGCAGCTGCGCAGAATTACGTATAAAAGCATGATTAACTAAATTAAGTTCATGATTTATGATATATACTTACAAACAATCTGCATATTGTAATTTGAATAAATAAAACTATATGACATAGAAATAAATAACATATTGAAAAGTCTGCTTTGCAAGGTTTGGGTGCTGTTTTGGGATGTTTTAACAGTCATTTATGAATATAATTATATTTCAAGTTTAATCGTTCTTCTGTGTAATAATGCGTTGAATAATTAATTTTCTGAATAATTTCTAAAGAGAATATGTTATGCATTCCTACCGTTGTAGAGCTTACCGTTCCTGTGAGATAAGTTCTGCGGAAACCTTGTTCTAGCGTCTAAATTATTACAATTGTACAAATTTATTTATCAATGATCAGGGGGCACAGTAAGTCGTTTCGGGCCTGTTTGAAAACCTATACCTTCCAGCAAAGATCAGTTCCAACTTTGATCAAACTCAACTGATCCAGCTAATGAACCATTTGGATAGAGAGAGCTGGGACCGCTGGGATAACCAAATACTGTATATGGTTATTCTGATTATTCAATGATGGATTGTTTTTCTTTGTAAATGTGTGTTTCTACAGCTTTAGTCCTCCTCCTCTCTCTCTGTGTCACTTCTTGTTTTAGAGAGCTGTTGTAACGCCACGTGTTCACTACAGTAGTAAACCCACAAGAAAGAGTCATGTGACACACACAAGTCAGAAAACGTTGCTGTCTTATCATTTGAAACTCTGAAGGAATCATATTTTCCCTCCTCAGGGCCTTGTTCATTCATTATTCAGACAGAACAATATTCAGATTAGTAACTAATATGAGTTTATCAGAGTCTATATAGCCTTCAAAAGAGCAAATTATTATCTAATTTTTGGAATTATTGTTGTCTTTTTCGAGTTCAATGATTTTCAAATCCCTTATACCCCCCCCCCCCCCCCCTCGTCCACACACACCTATCACCAGCACAGATAATGTGATCTCCTAAACGCGCCCACACAGACTTTCGAGCCTGCTAGACTCTGACTCACACTTATCCTACACTAGCCAACTGATGATGATGATGATGAAAATCATCCTAAATATTTCTTTATGAAGCAGCATCCATATGAACAACTAACAGATTTGTGTGACAGTGTTTTACTGCCCTTTACCTTCTTCGAAATGTGCACCAACTGAAACATTATATAATCAGATTAATTTCAGACACATTTGCACACTTAGTCTTATTTCTGAGAATATAACTGGCTGAAACATGCACTGTAATAAAGAGAGATAACTATCGTCTAAAAATGGCAAACTGCATGTTATAGAACAGAAGGCTTGTATATGCTGCAGATTGCTATTATTCCATCCAAACATAGTCTAATATTCACTCATAGACCTGTGGCGCCATCTACCGGCCAAAGCTTATATATGCAGCTGACTATAAAACTACAAAATAACTCAATAAAACTACAGGTTCCATAAACAGCAGCATAAATCAGCCAGATCACAAATCAAACACTTCTGAAGAGCATGACTAGAGAAGTATGCTTATAAAATCAAAACAAACAAAACACACACACAAATAAAAGCAAAACAAACTTACTTGATGCATTCCTATGGGTAATGTAGTGCAATAGATTTAGTAGTGTAATTTGCTTGGAATTGTGAGATACATAGTACAAATATATCTATATATATGTGGAAAAAGGTAAAATTAAAGAAAAGGACAAATTCACGACATGTCAGAGAAGAAGTCTGAGGGGAAATCCTCCACAGCGTAGTTGGATCTCTGCACATGTCCAGTTGGCCGTAGTGGGACACCAGCAAACACCAACAATACAACATCACCTCCATCAACTTTCTCCACACAACAGCTGAGATGAGGAAGATGAGCTGCTGGAAATCACTAAAGCACATTATTTCTGTGCAGAATCACATGGGTAGACACATTTTTTTCTTCCCATTTAAAATTTTTCTTCTAAATTTTAACTTAATTATGAAAAAATAATGTTTCAGTAGTGTTTGTCTCCCCCTGCTGGTTCAACACAAACACATTCAGGCTCTGTATTTACACAAAACTCTTTTTGAGTTACTCTGCATTTAAACAAATAAAATGGTTAATCTATGAATGAGAAAGTGTAATTTGCTGTGAAATGAAAGGAGTTTCACTGCTGCCTCATCAGGTCTGTCAGAGGATCATTGAAATCTAAATGAAGTCTTAATTTATAACGGCGAAATCACTGTATCTTCAGTCTCTCTTGATTCTGTTGACTGTGAGTCTCTGTAGTGTATCTTTATTCACCATCAGAAGATCAGCAGGAGATCAGACTGTCATCTAATACCTAAAATAAAACACAAAAACAATCACAGATGCAGTGGTTGCAGATTCGTTCAAATCGCGTTCAATGTCGAGCCCTGAGTTTATTCATGATTTTTTGTCGTGCTGTAAAGCGGAACAGGCGATCTGTGTGTCAGAGCGCCAAAAAAGATGTCTATGGTCTCCAGTCTAATTAGCACATTCCCAATTATTATTGTGAAGTTTAACATGCAACTTCACTTCACCCCCCCCCCGCCCACTCACTACAGATTTAATATCAGTTAATAACAAACAACCCAAATCTCAGATTATCACACACATAAGGTGTCTTTTCACAGAAAAAGCGGCACAGAAACCAAATCTGAAGCGCCATAAAATCACTAAATGTGCATTTACACAATGTTTATTGCTTCTCTGACATAAATGCATTTACATTCAATTAAAATTGCAGGATATAATTCTTTGAACATTACAGTTTTAACAAAGTGTTATAAAATGAATTTGAAAATAATTAAATCGTAAACAAAGAAATAAACCTTGAGATAAATTAGAAATTTAAAATTTTAATTAAAATATGACAATGAAAATTCATAAAAACTATTCTTACATTAGTGTCTTCAGTTTGTAATGTTTATCATCCTTCAGATCCTGCAGCAGCTTCACTGAGTCTCCCAGTTTATTCCCAGACAGATGCAGATCTCTCAGGTGTGAGGGGTTTGATCTCAGAGCTGAAGCCAGAGCAACACAACCTTCATCTGTGACACCGCACTTACTCAACCTATAGAGAACAATGACACACTTTTATCCTATATCCAGAGATACATAAACAAATACTCATTAACTCATGTTGTTCAATTACATCAGTTAGGATTAGAGTATTCAATATACAGTATAGGTGCATCGTCCCAGCCCTAATGTGTGTTTGTGTCCCCATGCGAAGACACCTTATACTCACAAGGTCATATTAACATATTATCCTATTATTTAATTACACACAAGGTTACTGCTAGGGCAAGAGCAGGTCAAGGTTAACCCAAGGGCGGGGTCAAATTTTCAAACCTATTAATCATCATTATTTAAAAAGCCATCAATAGTTTTTACATATGCCATAGGCTATTACTACTCCTATGTATTTGAATAATGTTTCAATGGTGTAATATTTGTGAATTTGATCATGTAGCCTACTTATCCATTTTCCTGTGATTGTCATCAAAATTACGCTCTGATGTTGTGCACTTATTTTAATTTATCTTAATTTATTTATCGCTGGAATCTCATCACATTGCATCTGGTTAGAACACGGTCTATTGTATCCACTATCTACATATTAATCCTTCTTTACTCTGAGTCTTTATGGTAGAGATGATCTTACCACAGTTCCTCCAGTTTACAGAGAGGATTCTTCAGTCCAGCAGAGAGCAGCTTCACTCCTGAGTCTCCTAGATTATTCTCAGACAAAACCAGTTCTCTCAGGTGTGAGGGGTTTGATCTCAGAGCTGAAGCCAGATCAGCACAACCTTCATCTGTGACACCGCAATCATACAACCTGTAGAGGTAAACATAATTATATATAAACTATGAACTTTTACATACATGCTGCTGACATATTATTATAGCAGAGATTGTGCTGAATACAGTGTAAATAGACTTTATCCATGAGAATATCACAAGTAACAGAAATAAGCACAAATGTCAGAGCATGTCAGAACATCTCCAGGGCCCAGAAAACTTATACGATTAATCACACTTTAAAGGGCACCTATTATGCCCCTTTTTACAAGATGTAATATTGGTCTCGGGTGTCCCCAGAATGTATTTGTTAAGTTTCAGCTCAAAATACCCCATAGTTAATTTATTATAACCATTTGAAAATGTCATTTTGGGGCCTGTTTAAAAATGAGCTGTTTCGGTGTATACCACCTTAAATGCAAATGAGCTGCATATCCTCGCCCTGCCTATGGATGAGGGCGTAACTTGATACCTATGGCAGTCGGTACTGAGAGAGTGAGAGAAACCGCTGTTTTGAACGTCATTCAGCATACGTTTGAATCGTAATATATAAATAGTACGAAGAGACTCCGGCAGAATAAACACAAATGAGAATGGACCAGTATGTCTCAGTATGGTTATTTGATACATTTATGTGCTTATAGAGTTGTAATCGCGTCCTATTTGCAATTATGGATGTGGAACACACACACACAGGCACACACAAAAAAATACTTAAGGTGGACGATATGACACAATTTTCCTCTATAAACAAAATTTGTTGTATTATTTTCATGTTATCACTGTGAAGCTGCTTTGATACAATCTGTATTGTAAAAAGCGCTATTTAAATTATAACAAATAACAAACACATGAACTCACAGCAGAAGGAGAAATAGAGCAAATGCTTCAAAAATATAATTTCTCTAACATCATATGAACAGACGTGAAATTAATTTGATGAACTTGATTATGTTGTTTTAATAGCTTTGCCTATAATTAATGTAATAAAAGTTACTTCCCTGCATTTTATTCAACTTTGATATTCGCATAATATACTTAATGAATTCACAGTTTCAGGTGAGAGTCATGTATCATCTTACCACAGTATCTCCAGTTTACAGTGAGGATTCTCCAGTCCAGCAGAAAGCCGCTTCACTCCTGAGTCTCCAAGATTATTCCCAGACAGATGCAGATCTCTCAGGTGTGAGGGGTTTGAACTCAGAGCTGAAGCCAGAGCAACACAACCTTCATCTGTGACACCACAATTCCACAATCTGTAGAGAACAATGACACACTCAATCAAAAATACCTTAATTTGTGTTCTGAAGATGAACGAAAGTCTTACGGGGTTGGAACAACATGAGGGTGAGTAATTATTGACAGAATTTTCATTTTTGGGAGAACTAACCCTTTAACTACATCTACTGCTCTGCCCAGTACATCGGATAGTCCCTTCTGGAGCGTTTTTGCTACCAGTGCCTCCACATGTAAAAAGCAGTGAGGGGCTTTCACATGTGGTTTTGTGCTCGCTCTCTGCTAATGAAGCCCTTCGTTCTCCCCGTCATGGCAGTTCATAATCTGTGACAGTCTTTCCAATTCAACACTCCCTGTTCAAGATACTCTGTTGTCACACAATATATTTCTTCTCCCGTTGTTTTGTCAGGCATTGATTTACAAAATAAAAAAGTTTCTCTAATACTGTCACCATCCACAAATCGAACATTTGCCAGGAGCTCTGCGTGCCCACTAATGTCAGTTGACTCATTCAGCTGCAAGGAAAATTTGTCGCTGACAAATGTTCTCCATGTTACTTACCGAGCTAATCTAGTTGCTGTAACCACAGGCAGCAGCTTCTGAAGAACTTCATCTGTGGTGTTTTGTGTGACACTAGTTGAAAATAAAAAAATAAGTTAATTATTGATACCAACAATAATAACGATTCATATTATAAGTAAATAATACATTATACAGTACCTTCTTAAACACCCTCAAATATTTTTTAAACACTGCTTTATAAAGGACATGTGAAAAAGTTGTTTTAGTATCTATAACTATAGAAGCCTCGTATTCAGCCAACACAGATTTATTTTTTCAGATTTTTTATTTTTCTTGTCAATGTTGCGGTGGAAAGTCCAAAGGCTTCATGCCCATTGAAACTGAGACACGTAACCCTTCAGATTTTTGAGTGAAGTGTCAACATGAAATTCAGGGGGAGGAGTTGGATCCAGATTCAACTCCTCCCACCTTACATAAACCTAACCCTACCCATCTCCGCCCCCTGATCCCTAAGCCCACCCCTAATCCTACCCATCTCCACCCCCTGATCCCTAACCCCACCCCCAAATCCTACCTAATCTCCACCCCCTGATCCCTTACCCCACACCCTAATCCTACCCATCTCCACCCTCTGATCCCTAACCCCACCCCCTAATTCTACCTATCTCCACCCCCTGATCCCTAAGACCACCCTAATCCTACCCATCTCTACCCCCTGATCCCTAATCCCACCCCTAATCCTACCTATCTCCACCCGATCCCTAACCCCACCCCTAATCCTACCCATCTCCACCCCTGATCTCTAACCCCACCCATAATCCTACCCATCTCCACCCCCTGATCTCTAACCCCACCCCTAATCCTACCCATCTCCGCCCCCTGATCTCTAACCCCACTCCTAATCCTACCCATCTCTGCCCCCTGATCCCTAACCCCACTCCTAACCCTACCCATCTCCGCCCCCTGATCTCTAACCCCACCCCTAATCCTACCCATCTCCACCCCTTGGATCTGGATCCAACTCCGCCCCCTTCATCTCATGTACTGCAATGAGATGCTACTGCTCGACCTCTCCAATCTTCAGGCTGTGAACTCCTCTCTGTGAGCTGAGATTTCGTCTTTCATGTACGGGTGAAAGGTCTTTCTCCGTTAGCCCCTAAGCTAAGGAACTTTCTTCCCCTGGCTATTAGGACAACAACCACGCTGTATGAATTTAAGTCTAAACTCAAAACCCATTGAGTTAGGAAAGGCACTATATAAATTAAACATATTATTATTATGTACAATATCCCAGAAATCAATCTGTGGCTGTTGATTTAAACACCTCTGATCTCTTTTTTTTGTTTCTCTTTGTTCACAATGTTTTAGACTGTAATGATTGCACTCAATGTTACTTACCAATCATTTCTGGCTCCAATTAAGATATTCAGGTCAAACTCCTTCAGTGTCTTCTCTGAGGACAACAACACAAACACTAAAGCTGACCACTGAGATGAGGAGAGTTTCACATCACGTAATCCTCCATATGAGCTTGTATGAGGTTCAGCTTCGTTCACTAGAGAAAGATCTCCCAGTTCATTCAGACAGTGAAACAGATTGATGTATTTCTCTGGAGAGGGATTCTCACTGATCTTCTCTTTAATATAGTCGACTGTTTCCTCATTGTTGTGAGAGCTGTTTGCTGTCTGTGTCTTTAGTTCTTGTAAGAGACTCTGATTAGACTCCACTGACAGACCCAGAAGGAAACGAAGGAAAAGGTCCAGATGCCCATTTCTACTGTGTAAAGCCTCATCCACAGCTCTCTGATGGAGATCAGATAGGGACACATTGCCTCCATTAGTTAGTTTGGTAATCTGGTCAAACACATTGATGTTATTGTTGATAAAGGAGAGATGCACATATAGAGCTGCTAGATGTTCCTGAATGCTCAGATGAACAAAGCAGAAGACTTTCCCCAGACACAAGCCCAACTCCTCTCTGAAGATCTGAGTGCACAATCCTGAGTAAACTGATGCTTCTGCCACATCAATGCCACACTCGCTCAGGTCTTCCTCATAGAAGATCAGGTTGCCTTTCACAAGCTGCCGATACGCCAGTTCCCCCAGTTTGAGGATCATGTCTTCATCTTTCACTTTCTTCTCATAGTCCTTATCATGTTTGATGTTGGTCTGAATGAGCAGGAAGTGTGTGTACATTTGAGTGATGGTCTTGGGAATCTCTCGTCTCTCTGCTTCACTGCACATCTTCTCTAGAACAGTGGCTGAGATCCAGCAGAACACTGGGATGTGGCACATAATAAAGAGGCTCCTTGAGGACTTCAGGTGTGAGATGATCCTGTCAGCCAGACTCTGATCACTGATCCTCTTCCTGAAGTATTCCTGCTTCTGTGTGTCACTGAAGCCTCGTACCTCTGTCACTCGATGGACACACACAGAGGGGACGAGATCCGCTGCTGCTGGTCTGGAGGTGATCCAGATGAGAGACGAGGGAAGCAGATTCCCCACAATGAGGTTCGTCAGCAGCTCGTCCACTGAGGCGGATTCAGTCACATCACACAACCTCACATCGCTCTGAAAATCCAGAGACAGACGACACTCGTCCAGACCATCGAAGATGAACAGCACTTTATAATCATCACTGGATATGGCCATTTCTCTGGTTTCAGGGAAGAAGCGATGAAGAAGATCTGAAAGACTGAGTGTTTTGTCCTTCATCAAGTTGAGCTCTCTGAAAGCCAGTGGAAATATGAGCTGGACGTCCTGATTCTCTTTCCCTTCAGCCCAGTCCAGGATGAACTTCTGCACAGAGACTGTTTTCCCAATGCCAGCGACTCCCTTTGTCAGCACAGTTCTGATGTGTTTGTCTTGTCCAGGTAAAGGTCTAAAGATGTCACTGCATTTGATCGGTGTGTCCTCTGTTTCTGCTCTCCTGGACTGTGTCTCAATCTGTCTCACCTCATGCTCATTATTGATCTCTCCACTCCCACTCTCAGTGATGTAGAGCTCTGTGTAGATCTCATTCAGAAGTGTTGGGTTTCCCTGCTTTGATATTCCCTCACACACACACTGAAACTTCTGTCTCAGATTTGATCTCAGTGTGTTGAGGACTTCAGCAGGTTTAGAGTCACGGCTGAAAGATTAAAATACCACATTATTACACAAGTCAGAGAAGTAAACCATAAATTACTAAATTTATTTTTTGTTTGCTGAATTATGGGACACAAAACAACATTAGTTTTCTGAAATGTTTCCATCATTAATCATGTATTTGAGTGATGTGTGATGTGAATTGCAGGACCTAAAATTAAACAAAAAAAAAGTTGTGCATTTTACCTGAAACCAGGATACATGCTTTCATTAAAGTCTTGTGTAATTATATTGATGTAATTGTGTCACTAATTGAGTAACAGACCAACCGCTTTTACAGTGTGTGAAAGTTTTAACAATACAATACATAGTCCACAATGATCATCGTTAATAGACTGAAACTTACAGGATTGTAACTCATTAAACTGCTGTATATTAATAATTTCATAAAATATCAAATACTATAAGCATAACTTTTATAGAAATTATATACCTGAGATCAGACTTTAGAGGCTGCTCCATAGAGCGGTCACTCTTCACAGACACACAGCTGGACTCTGGGTTTGAAGTCTTCTGCTGGACTGATCTGGGTTTAGAACTAAGTAAAACAAACAAACAAAAAAAAAAAACATACAGACTTATAAATGTTGTGCACTTTTACAGGAAACTTCCGTCTTAGGAAAGACCAGTTGTTAAACTTTTGCTTTAGCGCCTGTAACTCAGTGATGTTTTGAACTGTCAAACTATGGGATTATTTTTGTGCATTTAAAATTGAACGAAACTTTACAAGAAATGAATGAAAATATAAATTGAAACTTAATAAAATTTCTTGGATGTATCCCCCCCCTTCTCCCATGACTTGAGGTTGCCAGATATGCTGCAGGATCCAGCAGGAATAGGCTGCTACAAGAAGCTTCCAATGGCAAGTGATGAGTCCTACACAGTGAGTTTTTTTCTGTTAATTATTTATTTCGGACTTTGTCACGAAGTATTTCGGATTCATTTCGATTATTTTTTGGTTTCCCAACGTTAGACATTTTTTTTATCCGATTCCGACATGTTTGTATCTGCAGCTGTGGTAACTAGAGAAGAGCTGGCAACCCGAATGCCCCGCAACATACTGAGTCCGTGATTGGTAGATCGGCGGAGGGTGACGCATCAGAACAAAACACAACTTGAGAACATCAACATCAGTCGAGGGCTGCGACTTCACTTTTTAAATGACAATATCCTGGCCGGACTACTGTTGTCAGTCATATAAGTATTTGAAATGAACATGATTTCTTAATGTCAAGTGACATATCAGGGAAAATGTATGATTAATTGAAATAAATTTCTTGCATACAGCTCCTTTAAAGATAAACCAGCTTACTGTACTCTAGTAACGGTATCTTGCTGTGACACATCACTGTTCGGACCAGACACTGTGAAGCTCTCAACAAATCTGAACCAGCGCTTACAAAAATCTGCTCAATTTTACACCTACCTACTCCATTATATAAACGTGGAAAAAAACTCAGCTTACATTTACTTGATGTCATTGCTAATATTAGACTGACTGACTTATAAATTATGTTTCATAATATAAGCACATCTTTTATAGAAGTGATATACCTGAGATCAGGCTGTGTGTCTCCACTCTTAAACCATATTGGATGATCCATTGACCAGTCACTCTTCACAGACACACAGCTGGATGGGTTTGAGCTCTTCTGCTGGACTGAACTGGAGTTTATTGTGTTCATTCTTTATGAGAGGAACCATATTAGTATGAATGAACACATTCATCTTTCAACTAAAAGTAAATACATTTAAATAGCCTACTGTTAAATACATTTTCTGAGATTAATTTATTTAACAGTGTTTTTTGAAAGTACCTGAATCCTGGAGGAGAATCTCCATCTCTGGATGCTTGTGAATCAGCCATGATGAAGACACGGGAGAATCTGATTAGTTTGATCTCCTCACTGACTCGTTAAACCGTAGGTTTGAGAGGAGCCTAAACATTCAATACAAGCAGCAGACACTTCCAAGGATAAGGAGGAGCCGAGTTCATTTAACCTTTAAAGACTATCAAACAATCACCAAATTGTCCTCCATAGATGCATATTAATATGAGAAACTTACATGAACACTCATCTTAATCAAACTTTTATAAGATACAGGATGTCAAATTCTCCAGCTTAACATCATAAAACTACACATGAATTCATTCTTAAACGTTGATAAACATATGCTGTTCTTCTCGTGTTGTATTTCGTATTTTTCCTGCTTAAAATGGCGACAGGCAAGCGAACTTTTTACTTTCTATTTGTTTCGAGAGAGAGAGAGAGAGAGAGAGAGAGAGAGAGAGAGAGAGAGAGAGAGAGAGAGAGAGAGAGAGAGAGAGAGAGAGAGAGAGAGAGAGAGGCGCGTTCACGAGAACACCACGGCACCTGTCCGGTACTGTCTAGCCAATGGGCTCTATGCACGACGGTTTTTCCGGTGAAAGTGTAAGGACGCTCGATAAATTCCGCCGATCGTAGAGTCCAATGCAATACCAAAGGCAATATCGAGAATGTATATTGAATTTTATACTCCATGGTTATACTAAAGAAACGTTTGTCACAAAAACAGATAAAACAGACACCCCTCGTTGTGTTTATGCTTCTTTTAAAAATTATATTAAATAAACATAACTATATAAAATTACACCTAAACGTATGTACGTTTCGTTTCAAAGACGGGAGGACAGTATATTGAAGACTCTGTCATAATCCCGTTTTCCTCGGTTTTCCTCCGCTTTAATCTCCACAACCGGAAATGAACGAGCATCCTTGCGTCAAGTGCGGAATTTATGCGTGCATATAGCCCATAAGAAACAAGTAGGGTTGTCCAGTGTACATAGAATGTACACTCGAATTCGGAGTAAAATTAGTGAATGAATGAAGGGAATGATTATTTATCGCGAGATCATATGACGTGAGGCGCGAAACACAGGTCTCCAGTCAGACTCAGGTCAGACTCCTTCAACGGCCGTGTTGGAGAGTTAATCGGCAGATGATTTAATTCTTCCATTTATCATAATCTGGTAAGTAAATATTCGTTGATATATGGTGTAATAACATGTGGGATGACGTATATTAATATTTAATGTGAATATGATTTAATGGCCAAAATGTTTTACTTCAGTTACATTTTCATAATTGATTAAATATTACAAATGGTTGATATAATTGACATTATCAATGATCTTTTCGGCTAAATACGTTAACGCTATAACATATAAACCAATCATAATGATCCCCTGTAAATCTCAAGAAGGGTGTGGAAGAGTTGATATAGGCCATGAGTTTATCCAATTCAACCAAATGAAAAAAAAAACATCATCAATGTATATCTTCCAAAGTGGGATTTTAGGGAGGAATAGGTTTTTTCTCAGGGTTATCGATAAATTTAGCTTCCCATAACCCCATGCGCTCGACGGTGCAAAGCAACTATACCCATACTTACCCCAATATTGGAAATAGTTCATTGTTAAAACAACTCTTGAAGATATATGTGCAGAATCGCCACATATTACTTTTAAGCGTCCTAGCTCACTTAGAGACAGGTAATCCAGGGTGGATTACCAAAACCCACCAAAACCTACATGGCTGCTCCTAAATGCCCCCTCAAACTACGCATGCCAGAACACAAATCAGCAATTCGGAACCGTAACAAGCTAATCATGGCTCTAGTGCGTCCTTACAAATTTTGGGGTATTGAAAAAAATCTACCCTCCCAATGAGATGAATGTGAAAAAAAAACAGTGAATCACAACTTTTGGATATTTTTTTGTGATTCTTTATTTATTACATATTTCATGTGTATAACTATTTAAAACAAAGCCCAAGATCATCCCACAACCATAAGACTAAATAAAAACAAATAAATAACATGGCAATACAATAAAATAAAACTGTGACCAAAAGCGAACGAAGGTTCTCAAAGTCCTCAAGACATTCTTGTACATGAAATGTATTAAAAGCACGATAAGTGTTGCTGTAACTGTGTTTTTACTATGCATAACAAGGCTGAACTAACTTACTGTGGTAAAAAGTTACTGTAGTACAAAATACAACTGTAGAAATAGGCTAACTGCGGTAAAAACGTGGTAAGATTTGTGTACTATAAACACAAAATACCACAGTAGTAGATACTACTGTACATCCATTCATTCCAAATATATATATATATATATATATATATATATATATAATAAAATGATCTAAGATCTGTCATGTTATGTGAAGGCTGATATAATGTGAAATGTTATGTGAAAGCCTATAATGTGTTTGGTTAAAATTATTTTGAACAAAAAGAATGTTATATAGATTACCAATTCAATTCAGAGAACATTTAGAAGCCGATCTGGATTAGTAAAGAACATATAGTAAACTTTATATCAAACACCATGTAAACTGCTGATAATTATCGCAATGTGCAACGCCTGCGATATGTTATGGCGCCGTTTGATTCATAAACAATATTTATATTTAATATTTATATTTAAACAATATGAATGTAAGCCAGAGGAGAACTGGCCCCCGACTGAGCCTGGGTTCTCCCAAGGTTTTTTCTCCATCCAATCTGATGGAGTTTGGTTCCTTGCCACTGTCGCCTTGCTTTTGGCTTGCTTTGAGCTTGCTCAGTTGGGGTTATTTAGTGTTTAGCAATGTTGTTGATCTGTGTTGTGCTACTTTCATGTTATCACTGTGAAGCTGCTTTGATACAATCTGTATTGTGAAAAGCGCTATATAAATAAATGTGACTTGACTTGACTTGACTTGTGCGAACGAGAATTGGGTCACGCTTCTTACTGTAATTATTTACTGTATTTTATTTTTATTATTATGATTTTTTTAATGATTGTTTTAATTATTCTGATTTCTTTTGATTATTTTAATTTCTTCCATGTAAAGCACTTTGAATTGCCACTGTGTATGAAATGTGCTATATAAATAAACTTGCCTTGCCTTCTTGAATGCGATGAACAAAATCGTAGGATATAGTACAATTTAATCAATTCATATGAATAAGTAAGAATTTGCCATTACATGGGGGTGAGTTAAATGCGATTAACAAATCGTACGATTTTGTACAATATAGCCACGTGTTTGAATCATGCGAATTAGTACGAATTCGCTGTGAGATAGGGTGGGAAAAGCCTAATCCAAGACAATTATCTCTTCAAATATACAAACGTAGCCAATCCTTACCAAGTTAAACTCCCGTCGAACGAATCTTTATCAAATAAGAACTGTCCGGACGAGCCCCCATTTTTGTCACGACTGGCTCAAAGCCATGACAAAATGAGTGGAGGACATAGTGGGATTCTATACAGTTTTTTTATCTTAACTGAACAGCTTCAGAGTTATTGAAATGGTTATATGATTTGAATGGTGGCCGTCTCCACATAAAATTATCATTTGGACCTTGAAATGGTTGGACCCCATTGAGAAAAATTCTGGAATGTTTTCATCAAAAACATTAATTTCTTTTCGACTGAAGAAGAAAAGACATGGCCATCTTGGATGACATGGTGTTGAGTAAATTATCAGCAAAAGTTTTTTCTTAAAAGTGAACTAATCCTTTAAATATATATGGGAGAGAATGCTAAACCATGATGAGCGTTTTCGTAATATAATGCTAATTCCGCATCTCAACGCATGCATAAAGATTGCCACTAAGTACCTAGAGTACCTAAAGATCATAGAGTGCATGAAAATAGAAATAAATAAAGTAAAAATACCAATAAATATGAACAGAAACCACACTCTAAAAATCGAAAATTGTTGTGTGTGCAATCCTTTGTATAGTGTAAAACATTTAGACAGAAAATATATATTTGTAACTTTTAGTGTGGAGCTTTAACAGAAGCAACTCCCCCACAGCAGTTTCTCGGGCTCTCGAGATCGATCGCGCTCAGAGGGAAACAGCGTCACCATTAGTACGAGCGATCCTATTACTGCAGGATTAACTTAAAGAACCCTCAAACTACAATATTTAGACCTATCTCGTTACAGATTTTGAGCTTTGTAAGGTTGTAGATTCATGCACAAACAGCTACATAACACACTAAAGAATAAGGAAAACAAGAAAAGTAATACAACTACTATTAAAAACAAGATGTATACAGTCAAGCTTCCATTGTTTGATCCTCTGTCAGATCTAAACGAAGTCTTAATTTACAACAGTGAAGTCACTGTATCTTCAGTCCCCATTGACTCTGTTGACTGTAAAACTCTGTAGTGGATCCTTATTCACCATCACATGATCAGCAGAAGATCAGACTGTCCTCTAATACCTGATCCTAAAATAAAACATATGCAGTATGAGATATTACATCTGTCACATCTTTTCATAAGAAAACTAACTAGATAATCTGTATTAATTCATTCTCAAACGTGATAACATAGCTTCTATCTGATGCTCAAAGTCACTTTACAAAATCAAAAGCACATTCACATTCACACAATGGACAGCTGATCCAAAACAAGCAGAAATCATCATTACACTCACTACAGATTTAATATCAGTTAATAACAACCCAAATCTCAGATTATCACACACATAAGGCATCTTTATACAGAAAAAGCGGCACTAAATGTGCATTTACACAGAATGTATTGCTTCTCTGATGTGGCATAAATGAAATTTCTAGTGAGTAAATCGGCCATTTGAAATAAAAGTCGTTTAAAACCATTCTTACATTAGTGTCTCCAGTTTATAATGTGGATCATCCCTCAGATCCTTCAGCAGCTTCACTGAGTCTCCTATTTTATTCTCAGACAGATCCAGTTCTTTCAGGTGTGAGGGGTTTGATCTCAGAGCTGAAGCCAGAGCAACACAACCTTCATCTGTGACACCGCAATCCCTCAACCTGTAGAGAACAATGACACACATTAAGCCTATATCCAGAGATAAACATAGCAATTAAAAAAATAAATAACAATGCTTTCAATATGAAATATTTAAAATGCTACTTTGTTCATGTTGTTAAAATACATCAGTTAGGATTAGGGGATTGAATATACAGTTTTTACAGTATACAAATCACAACTTATATGGAAAGTCCCCATAAAACATGGAAACCCAACATGCGTATGTAATTGTAAAAATTTTACAATTTAAAAAAATAATAGATTCACCAAATTATCGCAACCTGCCACTGACCCAGAGAGAGAAGTCATGAAACAGCTTCACAAAAGGTCTTTATAATAGTATAATTATTTCTGTGATACAACATTTCAAATGTTCATAGAAGTACTGGGATAAAAGTTAAAAGTTTAAATATAAACACTCATGTTTACGGTAGCGATCAAAATAGAGTAAATCAGCTTTTAATAGAAACTTGGCACTTAAAATAACACATTTATCGATTATATTGTTTCTCCACTACGTGACGACAAGTGACTTAAAAATGTATTTGTTATTGAATCATTTATTCAAGAGAGTGTAGTATTGTACGATGCTTCTGAAATAAAAGATGTGATGAATTGTTTTTGTATATATGACTCACCTTATATATAATGTACGGTCTATATAAGTGTTTGATTTAACTTTTCCCCATAGTCTAGTAGATATTGTATTGTATAATCAATATTGTAGAATCCCAATTCTTAAAAATCGCAATACATATCGTATCGCCTCCCAAGTATCATGATAGTATCGAATTGGCAGATGGGTGCATCGTCCCGCCTAGTGTGTGTGTTTAAAAGCGCTATATAAATGAAGATGACTTGACAGGCCTATTGCAATCACTTGTAAATCAATGGCAAGTTTTATTTCACAAACAGTTATTCTCGTCTGCCACATGTCTAGCCAGGCTAAACAATCACTTTAATTGAGCGCAAGCTCATTGAGCGTGAGCAGCGCAACAAAAAATAGCAACGCTCCTACTCTGCGTTCACGTGCTGCTCCTGCTCTCGGTGAAATGCACTCATTGATTAACATGCACGGCGAAAAAAAAAACTGTGCTGCTCATGTTTGCGGTGTAAAACGGCTGTAATTTACGAGTTTCCTACATATGCATTCTGTCTGCGCCTGTGATGCTGATGTGGTGCAATGTTAATCATGTGGAGCCCGAGTGCATTTGATCGGCAAAAAAATCGGAATATGTCAGACTGACCGGCCGGTCGCCGGTCAAGGCCGATCATGTGAAAATCGGCCAATTCCGGTCACCAGCTGATCACTGGGTGCATCTCTAATATAGTGAGATGTAAATGTTCCTCTTAAGGTCGACTCCTCACTGCTGTCTTCTACCGCCAGCAGGATCGGACGGTTCAAGCAGGAATCTGTCGCTGAACCACCGGATGGGGTATACGCCAAACATATATTGTATACACTATCTACATATTAACCCTTATTCACTCAGTCTTTATGGTAGAGATGATCTTACCCCAGTATCTCCAGTTTACAGACAGGGTTCTTCAGTACAGCAGAGAGCCACTTCACTCCTGAGTCTCCTAGTTTATTCTCCGACAGACTCAGCTCTCTCAGGTGTGAGGGGTTTGAACTCAGAGCTGAAGCCAGAGCAGCACAACCTTCATTTGTGACACCACAATCTCTCAACCTGTAGACAACAATGACACACATTAAGCCCCTATATCCAGAGATAAACATAAGAACAACATACTGCTGTCAATATGAAATATATAAAATAATAAATATCTAAAATACCCATTAGTTCACATTGTGCCGCATAAGCGCTTTGTGCCGCACTGTACTGAGCCTTTCATATCATAATTCAGTGACACAATGACAGATTATTAATTGCCTTTCTTGTTCTGTCCTATCTATCTATATGTGCATTATATGTGCTAATATATGTTGCATGCATTAAACAGCTATGCTATACATTTAAAACATGTTGTCTCAATTTTATAGTAGCCATGACTATATCTAAAATAATTTATCTTTTTGATTTTTGTTATCTTTTTTTCATGAATGTATTTTACAACAATCCAAAGAGCATTGTGTATTATCCACTAATCTAGTCTATAATAGCATTTTTGTCATAGATTATGATCATATATTTTTTTTTGGATATTTTGTTTGTTTATAATGAAGTTGTCTGTATTAAGTAGATTGTGTTTAACACACACAAGAGTGATTATCAGTCAGAGTTATAGAAATTCTACTTAAATAAATAAAAAAAAAACTGTGCTGGTATCGGATCGGTATCAGTATCGGTCGATACGCAGAATTTTTGGCAACGGATCGGATCGATTCTGAAAAAGATGGCATCGGTGCATCCCTAGTTTGTTTGTACAAGCATTACAAGGCAAGTTGATTTACACCAAACATTTGTACCTTTAAAAACCCTCTTCACTATAGCCTGCATCTGTTTTGTCCAGTTCATTTAACTGCAAGTTTTACTGTCTTTTGGGTATAATAATATCGCTGTCTTCTACCACCGACAGGATCTGACGGTTCAAGCAGGAATCTGTCGCTGAACCACCAGATGGGGTATACACCAAACATATATTGTATACACTATCTACATATTAATAATTATTCACCCTGAGTCTTTATGGTAGAGATGATCTTACCCCAGTATCTCCAGTTTACATTGAGGATTCTCCAGTACAGAAGAGAGCTGCGTCACTCCTGAGTCTCCTAGTTTATTCTTATACAGACTCATTTCTCTTAGGTGTGAGGGGTTTGATCTCAGAGCTGAAGCCAGAGCAACACAACCTTCATCTGTGACACCACAATCTCTCAACCTGTAGAGAACAATGACACACATTAAACCCCTATATCCAGAGATAAACATAACATTTAATTAATAAATTAATGCTGTCAATATTAAATATATAAAATACAAATTAGTTCATGTTGTTAAAATACATCTTTAGGGGATTGAATATACAGTTTGTACAGTATAAAAATCAATACTGTTGTAATAATGTTGTAAACATTTTAAGTACCATTCTGAGATTTTATTTGATGAATGGCGCTACTAGCCTGCACACCTCTTAGTTGCCTGGCAAGAAGCTTATAAGCCTTATCTCCCAATTTCAACTGTTTCTGTTTAAGTTTAATTAAAGCTGCAGTCCGCAGTTTTTCCTCTTTGTCGCCATCTCTGTTCGAAATCTGCAACTGCAGTAATTTGCGGAATTAACATCTCTACGTGAGTTGTACCTTCAACACCTTCGACACGGCACAGCACGGATGAACAATGTTTGAGGAGACTGTGAGGCTGTGGATACTGGCATTCAGAATTACATGGTTGATTTACATGGTTCCATGTAAATTAATTTTTGCCTTCAGTAATTCTGGGGCGGTGATTAATGTGCGAGTGTGAGTGGGTGTGTGTGAGAGAGAGAGAGAGAACCCAGAATGTTGAACCCAGCGGCCAACGCGCATTTCGCGTACTTTCCGAAAGGCGCTGTACGCAATTGACACTAGGGGTGTCCATGGTTAACCAGCTAACCGATTATGCATAACCGAGTGAAATGTTTTTGCTCGGTTAAGTGGCGTCAAAACATATTTGCACAAAACTTTTGTGTTTTTTTTTCGAATGTCGCTAAAAAAATATTGTGAAATGACGGCGTTTCCATTAACGATGTTTTGCGACTAAAACATCTTTTTTTCCCCTTTCGCTATAAGTCATTCCAAATATAATTCCAAAAAAACAGACGTGGTGTGTTATCCAAGCATTAATGGCAGGGGAAGAAAGAGTTCCTGGGTGTTTCTTCGTCATTTCTGCTATGAGGTCTTGATTGTGTGATTTCTTTGCGGTTTTGTCTAGTAGGCTATTCCTTGTTTGTTTTATGAATTTAAAAAAGAACTCTGCCTTGTATTATGTACAAACAGTCAGAGTACTTTTCTGTTCATTCGTTCATTTAATCAGTTGGCCTAATTGCAAAACGAAAAATGAACGGTTGTTGTATTTTTTAAAACACAAAGTTGAACACCAAAATCTTCATTGGAACTGTAGGCTTACGCCAAATGCTGCGCAAAAGTATAGGCTATATATAGACACATTTTTTTAAGATATTTGTTTGATCTGACATTTAAAATATTTGACAAATTAATTTGAAAAAAAAAAGATTTTACTGGTTTTCTGAGGCCAAATTAGAACCTGGAAATTATATTTTCCCCGCAATGCTGAATGAGAAGAGCCGTAACCACAGCCTTCAGAAAGGGGATTTATAGGTGATTTATAGGCTATAATAAATGTGTCTGATAATAAAATAATATAAAATAACGAGGCATTAATTGTTGATAAACTTAACTTCTTGATAAACTATTGTTTTCTAAATCAGTTTCGGCTAAAAACATATCTCCATCTCCGGATGCACCATTAGAGAGAAATACATAATTAGCTACATTCAAAGTTAAAATTGAAGTTATTGATAAATCAGCTCTTAGGTTCTGATCACAGATCGTTGCTCCTCAGTTCAAGTAAACCGATCATGTTACTTTAGTTTTTATTTAAAGATACAGTGCAACTTACCGAAAGGTATATTTACTTGTACATAATAACGATCAATCAGTGTTTTCAAACACGGAAAGAGGTCAGTAACACTGCAGGAGAACAGTTGTGTCACAAAACGTTACATTTACCTCAGGAAAGCCATTTAATGACCAGCACATTAGTTGACTAGAAAAAAATAGCAAGGAGTATGTTGCTAAATATTATATTTAATTTCTCTCTGTAAGTTTACAGCATTATGTGAGAGATTTTTTTTTCCTGAGAAACATTAACAGACTGGGGCCTACCTAATATTTATCCAAATGAGTCAATATTGAATTAAGACTGAAATCAAATCCAAGAATTTAATTGAATAATACAAACAGTAACCTACCAGTCATTGTACCATGTAAACATTGTAAAATGTTGTCACTAAACTTTAGCAATTTGGTTTAGTTACCATATGTTTTGAAAATCACAATTACACATTGTGATGCAAGTTGAGGTTTTTTTAGAGACCCACAATGCATCTGTTTTTCTTGAGCATTAAAATATAATTTCATTAAAATATCGTGACAATACCGTATACCGTGATAAAAGCTCAATCAATTAACCGCAGCATGAAAATTTGATACCGGCACATGCCTACCGAGTATTAACCGCTAAGGGCCTCGGTTAACGGTTAATGAAAAACTTGAAAACGTGCAGCCCTAATAGACACTTTTCACAATTTACCGAAAGATATATGCATCATACATATATCATCATACATGCATCACCGAAAGATATATGCATCATACATAATATCGATCAATCAGTGTTTTTCAAACACGAACACAGGTCAATAAAACTGCAGGAGAACAGTTATGCCACAGAACATTACATTCACCATAGGAAAGCCATTTAGTTGACTAGAAAAAATAGCAAGGAATATTTTGCTAAATATGTGCACTATATTACATATTTATTATATGTTTACTTGTCATTACATAATTGTTATTATAATGAAAACCGCATTGTATTTAATTTCTCTGTATGTTTACAGCATTATGTGAAATGTATTTTTTTCTTGAGAAAAATTAACATGCAGACTGCAACCTACCTAATATTTATCCAAATGAGTCTAAATCGAATTAAGATTGAAATCAACTCCAAGAATTTAATTGAATAATACAAACAGTAGCCAACCAGTCATTGTACCATGTAAACATTGAAACATGCTGTCACTAAACTTAATACAATTCTGTTTAGTTACCATGTTTATCATAAAATCACAATTACACATTGTGATGCACGATGTTGTTTTTTTAGATACCCACAATCCATCTGTTTCTCTTGAGCAATTAAAATAATGATGGTGTATAGTGATATTAAAATAAAATAGTGATAATACCGTATACCATGATAAAATCTCAATCAATTAACCGGAGCATGAAAATTTGATACCGGCACATGCTTAATTCACTCCAAGTCGTTATGGTAGAGATGATCTTACCACAGTTCCTCCAGTTTACATTGAGGATTCTCCAGCACAGCTGAGAGCAGCTTTACTCCCGAGTCTCCTAGATTATTCTCAGACAGACTCAGTTCTCTCAGGTGTGAGGGGTTTGATCTCAGAGCTGAAGCCAGAGCAGCACAACCTTCAGCTGTGACACCGCAATCCTTCAAACTGTAGAGAACAATGACACACATTAAGCCGCTATATCCAGAGATAAACATAACACTTAATAAATAATAACATAATGCTGTCAATATGAAATATTTAAAATTCTAATTAGTTCATGTTGTTAAAATACATCTTTAGGGGATTGAATATACAGTTTGTACAGAATAAAAAACATTACTTCAATGGAAAGTCCCCATAAACATGGAAACCTAACCTGTATGTGTGTGTGTATTTGTAAACATTTTAAGGAATGTGTGTGTGTGTGTGTGTGTGTGTGTGTGTGTGTGTGTGTGTGTGTGTGTGTAACGGTCACCAGGTGGAGTGCCCTTGAGAGTCACCAGAGGGCACTCCACATCAGATGTTCATGTTTCACTCACAACTACATTTCTCAGAACTAACTGCCCGGACTCATCATCACTGATCACATTCACCTGTACCTCATTCAGTGATTGCATTCACCTGTGTCTCATCCTATTAGTCTGTCTATATATACCTTGTGTTCACATTCACTCAGGGCGAATTCAAAATATTGACATAAAGTCCATTGAGGGGTGTTGTCGGGCATGAGATAACTTAACATGTCCTTAAGTCATGTTAAGTTATCTCATGCCTGACAACACATGAGATAACTTATCACTTATCACTGAATGTGATCAGTGATGATGAGTCCGGGCAGTGAGTTCTGGGAAATGTAGTAGTGAGTGAAACATGAACATCTGGTGTGGAGTGCCCTCTGGTGACTCACAAGGGCATTCCACCTGGTGACCGTTACAGTGTGTGTGTGTGTGTGTGTGTGTGTGTTAGGACAGGGAGAAAAAAAATGATTCACCAAACTATTGCAATTGTATTGTTTACTAATTTCAAATGGATTTTTTTTTATTAAAACACCCACATGATCTTCTTTAAATTCGTCTGCCTATTAAACCTTTGACAAAATCACTAGTGATGTACTGTACTGTATGATACTTTTAAAATAATACTAAAATAATAATATAGAAAGATGTGATGAATTGTTTTTGTATTTATGACTCATGTACTAAGCAACAGTCGCAGTGCTGTCCATTCGGACCAGTACGAGCTTGTCTTTGAGAAGCCCCTTGAGGCGGCACAAAGCCAAGCGTACTGCTTGCAACTCCAGGCAGTTGATATGCCAATTCAGCTGGGGCCCCATCCACAGACCCGAGACTGCATGCCCTTTGTACGTTGCCCCCCACCCCATGGCAGAAGCATCTGTGAACCCACAGCATGCCTGAAAACCTGGACTAGGGGCACCCAGGCCTGTAGAAAAGCAGGAATGGGGAGAAGGTTTGGTGCCAGTGCGGGGTTACTTTGACCCAGAACGTACCGCTCTGGCAAGACTCGATCGCAAAGCCAGTGCTGGAGCGGTCTCATTTGTAACAGGCCGAGCGGCGTTACTGCGGCTGCCATTTACCCTAGTAGCCTCTGAAATTGTTTCAGTGGAACCGCTGTCCTGCCTCGAAAGGACGTGAGGCAGGTGAGCATCGACTGAACGCGCTCCTCCGTGAGGCACACTGTCTGGGCAACTGAGTCCAGCTCCATACCAAGACAAGAGATCCTCTGCATGGGGCAGAGTTTGCTCTTGTCCCAGTTGACCTGAAGCCCCAACTGGCTGAGGTGCTATGTCCCTGTGATCGCACAACACATCTCGCGAGTGAGCCAGAATGAGCCAGTTGACGAGATAGTTCAGAATGCGAACGCCTTGTTCTCTCATGTTCCATGGCCACCTCCACGACTTCCGTGAAGACGCGGGGCGCCAGGGCCAGCCCGAAGGGTAGGACTTTGTACTGACACGCTCGACCCTCGACAGCAAACCGTAGAAAAGGTCTGTGTTGAGGAAGAATCGAGGCGTGAAAGCACGCATCCTTCAGGTCGATCGCTGCAAACCAATCCTGGGGACGGATGCATTTGGAAATGCGCTTCTGCATGAGCATCTTGAACAGGAGTCGGTACAGGGCTCAGAACTCAGAACCACATGCCACGTAGGCCTCCCCTGTTAGCATAAAGGAGAATCTACATGTACGGGAGGGGAGTGAAGGGGCACCCCGCTAAGTAGAAGCAGTCCTCGGACACAGGGATCGCGATAGACCGCTCCACCGGGGGGATTCCCTCATACCCGTGCGCCGCCCTGCTGTTTAAGGTGGTGAGGAAGGAGGAGCGAGGTTGTCTCCGCCTGAACACCAGAGGCGCCAACCAAGACTTCCTCAACTCCTCATGCACTTTGGGGAAGAAAGGGACCGGAGCGGGTCGTGGGGCAAGAGAACGGCCCGCGCCGATGCACCAATCATCTAACCGCGAAGGTACGGGACTCGGTGGAGGGTTCCACACGAGCCTGACATTCGCGGCCGCCCGTTCAAGCACCCGTAAAGCACTTTTAGAAAAAGGAAGAACTCTTTCACACGCCAAGGCGCCAAGGAATCACCGCGGCAGACACAAGAGAAACTGCAACCCGCGTGCTGCACTCAGACGCGATGACTGCTTGAAGCGCCGTCACACCAGCACTGTAAGAGGATCCTCTTCTCCCTTTAAAGACTCATTTTCAATGTAGAACAGTAGCAGCACTCTGTTGAGGCTCCGAAGCAAAAAGCACCATGCAATGTTTACTTCCGCTTTTTATATCCACGATAGTAGGCGGCTCGCGGAATGCAAATTTTGCACGCCAATTTTATTGGCTCATTTTCAATTCTCTCAAAGGCAGTTGGCTCCCTAGCGTGATCCCAATTCCTCAGGGAACTCCCCGACGGCACTTTGGAGTTCCCAGGACGAAAGGGAACTTACTATTTGTGTATAGTCTCTTAATATATTAACTACAGCTTTTATAATATTATATACAATACATTAACTGTAAACAAATAGTTTACTAATTATTTATTATTTATTTTTAAGAGTAATGTTTACTCTTTTGCAAGGGTCTGTTTCAAGGGCGTAGATTACGCGGGGGACGCGGGCTTTTTCATAGGGGAAGTGTTCACGACATGTTGAGGTTTTCGCAAGCCAATGTGTATTTATAGATACAGATTTAAAATTCAAAGAGAAAAGATCGTCTATCTACTGTATCTACACGTGACTTTCACGTTGCCATGGTAATCAGTGACTCGTGCTCGTGCATCACCACACGCCCGTGCTCGCACCCGCACTGAATCCATCGTCGAAGGTCGAAATGAATTTAAAACAGCAAAAAACAATTCACACTTTTTTCGCAAAAAGTCAAGAACTGAGCTGAACTTACAACTTAATGTGGTATCCCAATTTGGTTGCTCATTGTCATTGATGAATAACTTTTCCTAATTTTCTGCCATTATCGAACTTATTTGCTTAAATCATGCAGCGTTGCACTTGACTTGTAACATGTGTACATGATGTTTACCATATAATAAGGTAACACTTTACAATTAGATTAAAAAAGTTTGTAGACAAACGTTACGTTTTCTTTAAAAAGCCTAACCAGAAAGTTTGAAGAAGTTTTAAAAGCATGAAGTTTGAATGTTTTCAATATGAAAGACAGTTTTTGTTTAAGTAAAACAGATAGATAGATAGATAGATAGATAGATAGATAGATAGATAGATAGATAGATAGATAGATAGATAGTTAACTAATGAAACCTTATTGTAAAGTAGATAGTTAACTAATGAAACCTTATTGTAAAGTGTTACCATTCAATATAAATGCAGTATGCAATTGTAAAAAAAAAGGTATAATGCTTGACATTCTGTCCCCCTCACTTTTGAAATGATTGCTACGCCCCTGGTCTGTTTGCACAAGCATTACAAGGCAAGTTGATTTATACCAAATGATTACACCAAATCACAGATATTTCCTGCTGCTTAGCCTCTCAGTGGCTATAGGCTGCCGCTACACCAAACATTTGTGCTTTAAAAACCCTCTTCACTGAACCTGCATCTGTTGTCTGGTTTATAGTTCGTGCAGTTTAATTAACTAATAGTTTAACTAGTTTTGGGATCTGACGGTTCAAGCAGGAATCTGCAGCTGAACCGCCGAATGGGGCTTATGCCAAAGATATATTGTATACACTATCTACATATTAAAGGGGTGGTTGATTGTGATTTCGCTTTTTTAATTTCAAGCAGCAGTAACTTTTTCAAGTAACAGAGCATCGAAATTCTTATAGCTAATAGTAGAATAGAATCAAATAGAACAGAATAAAAAAAAATTTACCATTCAGAAAGTTTTGTAAGAGCTGTGTGTGGGAAGGTTCTGCTTGACTCTCTTCATCGCCGCTTTCTGGGTCTGATTCTTGCTCAGTGGCGGTTCTACTTTGAATTACACCCAGGGCGAGACCCCTTCGAGCACCCCCCCCCCCCCCCCCAAAAAAAAAAAAAAACAAAAAAAACTTTGCATATTAGAGGCTACTGTAAAAACTCATAATTAAAGTTGATTTTAGTTGATCATTATGAAACGTATTAGATAATATGGTGACCAAAATTATCACATACACAGAATCTTGTTCAAAAAGCCTAATACACAGTGAAATCAATTCACCAAGTTAATAACATTAAAGATTTGTTTTAAAGGAGTGTCTTTCATTTTACCTATTAAACTTAAAAAAAGGTTAACACACAAAAAATGGTTTTATATAAAGATAAACCTCATATTTCAGCATTTAAATCATCTCTATAAAAAGAATGAGTCAATAAAGATACATTCCTGACATTTATAATGCACAGTAGCTTATCTTTTATTATTAATAGTAAAATTCGTACCGATTTTCCCATGGCTGTCATTGCTATAGAACCATGCACTCATTACACTGCGCTCTACACTAGAGGCTGACATTTTTTCGGGAATCCCACGGGTCCCGGGATTCCCGTGGGATTCCCGCAGGATGGGAGTCATCTTTGCTATTAATCACGGGATTTGGACGGTACAGGATAAATGGTTAACGGGAGCAGACGGGAGCGGGAATCAACCAATAGCAAAGACGACAAAAAAAAAAAAAAGCAAAAAGTAAATGCACCATTTTGTAGTTTCCTTTTAATACGCCTAAAATGTAGCAAAATTAAAAAACAACTACACGACCCAGCCGTTCCAGAAGCCATCAGTGCTTTTTGTCACGGCTTACCGCCGGAATTCAAAGAGCAGTGATGGAGGGAGCTAATAGCCGCGGAGAAGTCGATGTGGCAAAAAAAAATTATTTACAGCGCAAAATCAGAAGTAATGACATGTCTATTAAGTTCACAGAACTGGTCGGAAAGTCTGAAAAATTAAGTATGTGAGAGTAGAATGTGACGGTGATAGCACGATGTACGCTGCTTGTAAGACATGCATAAAAGGGGGTCGCACACCGGACGAGAAGCGCAGCGCCGCGCCGTGTCTAGGACAACTTCAGGTAACGTATCGCACAATGGACGAGCTCTTTCTCATCATATGGCCATCAATATTGTTATGTTTAATGACATAAAATTAAGATAATGTCTGTTCTATGTTAGATTGTACTGTACAATTAAATACAATCATTACTGAGTCTGCACTCTGCAGTCTGAAAACTTTACCTCAGAGCATCCGTTCACTGAATGAATTGAGAATCTCAACTGAAAAATCCAATAACATCAGCAATTGTCATTCAAGCAGCTGATTTCTGTAAATGAATGCAAAACTAAATGTATATTACTGCATAGGGTGAAGTCAGGATACATTAGCAACGATTTGAGACAAAAATACTTTAAATTTTATATAAAACTATGTAAATGGCGCTCTGTGGCGCAGCAGGGTTTTGAACACGGTCCTGAACCGTTGCTGGGCGCCGCGAACAGACACAGAATGTGTTTGAATTTTAAAGATTCTGCGCGGCGCTGAGCTTCTCGTCCGGTGTGCGACCCCCTTTAGTCAAGTAGCAAGTGATTCAGGGATGAGCGGTCTGAAGAGGCACGCAAATTCAGGAAAGAATAAGCCATGTTGCAGCCTACACAGCAAAATATAACTAAAATTTGTCTCATTATGCAAGAGCATAATTGATGAAAATCGTTTAAAATGTAATTTAAAAAAAACTATAAATGTAAACTGTAAATGTATTGTTTACTCAATAATAAATGAGTAAAATGCAGCTTTATGTGCTGTTTGGGTTTATTAAATTGTAGACATGGTGTGATGTACTGTTTTTCTTTTATTTACTGTCTTCTAATTTCTGGAGAAAATCTAGAAACTGGGGCTCAGCAGCTGGTCTAAAACAGGATGGATTGGAGAGGATGCAGAATTGCAGATTAAATCAAATTCTATGTATTAACTAAACATTAATTGAAGAAAAAATATATATGGGAGCGGTACAGGAGTGGGAGTCAGTTTAAACAGGAGTGGGATGGGAGTGGGAGTCAATTTACCAGGAGCGGGATGGGATGGGATTATTTTTTAAACTTTGGTCTGGGAGTGGGACGGGACAAGATTTCTTTCTATGGGAGTGGGACGGGACAGGAGTGAAAATCCACTCCCGTGTCATCCTCTACTCTACACAACGACAAAGCAGTTTTAGTAGCTAATGTATTTCCACCACAGAAAAACGCTTGCTGTAGCTCTGCTAAAAGATTTATTTACGGAGAAGAGAAAAAAACACCCCCAAGTGTTTGGGTGCACTTGCACTCCCATACTGAAAAGTTTATGAGCGCGCTTCCCGTGAGCGCATAATGAGCGCGCTTCCCGTGCGCCTATTTGAAACATAGAGGATTTGAAATAACGACCTCGAGCGCGCAAAAGACGCGATACGTGAACTAATCAGGAGATCCCCTTGACATCGCTTCTGCGCACGGCACCTTCTCAGCAAGCAGGGCGCAATTGCCAATAACTGAATCGAAATGATAAAAAATAGAAAAACTTCGCGGCACAGAGTATTTTTTTTTAACTGCTCGTGCCGCCCCCCACGTGACATGAAGAAATGCCGCCCCAGGCGACTGCCCGGTTCGCCCGTGCCTAGAACCGCTACTGTTCTTGCTCAAACTGATATGGCAGTATCAACACCATTATTTACATTTGACCGGAGCACATGCAACTTTCGCCCGTAAAGGTAATGGGCGTGAATTTTCCGGACAACATGCACTTAACAGTTTAGCCAATTACAACACACCGGCCCAAACTAACCAATCTGAGCCCATTACCTGTTTCTGAGGTAGTGGTTTCACAGAATCAGGATGTAAACCGGTCGTTCAAATGACAGAGGAGAAAGCGGCTTACAATAAAGTTGAAATTTATGAAAATTAAGGCTTTTTAAAAACAAACACGAAGATATGTTATATTGCACCCCATAAACACAATCATGCAAAGAAAACAAAAACAGTAAACCACCCCTTTAAAACGTATTCACTTTGAGCCTTTATGGTAGTGATGATTACCCCAGTAGGAACTTACCCCAGTTCCTCCAGTTTACAGACAGGGTTCTTCAGTACAGCAGAGAGCAGCTTCACTCCTGAGTCTCCTAGTTTATTCTTAGACAGATCCAGTTCTCTCAGGTGTGAGGGGTTTGAACTCAGAGCTGAAGCCAGAGCAGCACAACCTTCATCTGTAACACCACAATTACTCAACCTGTAGAGAACAATGACACACATTAACCCCCTATATCCAGAGATAAACATAACAATAAAATAACAACACTGCTATCAATATGAAATATATAAAATAATTAATATATAAAATACTCATAAGTTCATGTTGTTAAAATACATCAGTAAGGATTAGGGGATTTTATTCAATTAGGGGATTTTTGTACAGTGTAAAAAATCATTATTTCTATGGAAAGTCCCCATAAAACATGGAAACCCAACATTTGTGTGACTGTGTGTGTGTGTGTGTGTGTGCTCTTAATGTATTTGGAGACATTTGTAAACCTAAACATTCTGTCCACTTGTTCCAACAGAAGATGAAATGTGTTATAATCTATGAGTGTCGTAATATCCATTTTAAGTGGACGCGTGGAAGCAACGTGAGACTGAATCAGTGTTGCCAACTTAGTATGGGATGAATATAGTATCAAAATGATTAACGTGCGAGCACAATTATCAATGAACTTGATACATGTTGCAGAAATGTTTTATCCATGCCTTTCAACTTACATGTGCAAAATTCAAAATTGAATGAAAGTGTAGCAATTTGTAAAAATAGAGAAATTAGTGTGAAAACCAATGTTTTCTTTTGTATTAGTGTACAATAATTTGCGCATGGTGTGAGAAAAGATGTGCATGTGTGGATCAGGTGAATGGATGGGATGAGACTGTGCCATATGACATTTTCTGTGACTGGAAAAGGTGGTTAAAGGAGCTGAATGCGCTGTCTGATTTCAAGGCTGAGAGATGCATCAAGCCCATAAGCTGTTGGTCTTACGTACATGCTCAGCTTCATCATTTTTCAGATGCAAGCGAACAAGGGTATGGCACAGTCACTTACCTTAGAATACAGAATAACAACGGTGGCGTTCATGTTGCCTTCCGTAAGGGCAAGGCCAGACTAACCCCTTTAAAGGTCATCACTGTTACCCGATTGGAGTTAACTGCTGCTGTGCTGGCTGTTCGTGTTGACCTGATGTTAAAGAAAAAGACGAGGCTCCAGATGCAAGACAGTTGCAAACAGACTCTGTTGCAAACAGAGTCTCCATTATCAGAGGAAGCACAAAGACAAACCAGTGGTGGTATGTTGGTCCAGCTGATGATGCATCCAGAGGAAGGAGGGCTGAAGATTTTGTTAAAAACAACAGATGGATAGAAGGCCCCAAGTTTCTGTGGAAACCAGTAGAGAAGTGGCCCAAAAATCTTGTGCAGACTGCAGTAGGGGTTGACGGCCTTGAGGTCAAGAAAGAAGCCGTTGTAAATATGGTAAACACTCAAGGTGCACTGAAGGGTACAGATTGGCTGATGGCTTACTTTTCAGATTGGAGGAAACTTCGAGTAGCAGTTGGCTGGTTGCTTGGGTTGAAGAGAATATTATTGTGGAGGAGAACTTGCAAGAGGATGGAATCAGATATTGCTGATGCCAACAAACAGAGTGCTTTGGTGCAAAAGAGTCGGATAGTTAAAGGTGCAAAAGTAAGACAAATCTTGTCAGCAGAAGATCTTATGGAAGCGGAGCTGTCTATAATCTGCTACTGCCAACAGCAAAGATTCCCTGAGGAGATCGCGGCTTTGTCTTCTGAGAAGAATATAGTAAGCAAAACGAGTACCATCTATAAGCTGGACCCATGGTTGGATGATGGGCTTTTGAGAGTCTGAGGAAGGCTGACACGAGGTTCTTTGCCAGAAGATACAAAATATCCACTTCTCCTTACTAAGGATCAGCATGTGGCTACCCTCATACTGAAGGATTTACATCAAGAGCTTGGCCATAGTGGGCGTCACCACATGTTGTCTACATTAAGAATGAGGTATTGGATCACAAGTGCTACCTCAGCCGTGAGAAAGATCATAGCAGGATGTTGTTTCTGTAAAAGATATAATTGCCGAATGATGGGGCAGAAGATGGCTGACCTACCCAAGGAGAGGATTCTGCCAGACCATCCACCATTTACCAACACAGGTGTTGACTATTTTGTCATCTTCACCTGCTTGGCCAGCAGAGCAGTTCACCTTGAATTGGCCACTTCTCTTGACACAGATGCCTGGATTAATGCTCTGCGCCGATTTATCAGTAGAAGAGGCCAAGTGAAGCATTTTTTACCACTTTTACCGCTGTTGTCACACATCGATTAACCGATGAGAAAATATCCTCACCTTCACATACCTAGTAGGAACCTTCCTTCAGGTGACATGTGTTGCTGGAGGGAAGGTGCACACTGTTTTTTGACCGCTAAGCTATGCTACACCACTTACTATATGCCAGTAGGACTTGTAAATGTGGATTTATTGACTGTTTGTTGGACTCTTGCTTACTAGAAATGAGGACCAGGCACAGTAAAATAAATCTACAATGTAAGCATTGCAGTGAATAACAACCTGAATGAGCGCGTCCATTAACAAGCACCTTCCAACAGCCATCAGCTGCTTAAAGTAATAGACTTGGCTGCTACAATTATTATTATTTTTATTACTATGTGCATTTTAATATTTTTTAATTATGATCTATCCATATGTCTGCTCTTCTCTTTCTCCCAGGCATTTACATTTTTTATCTTTTTATGAGAAGACATTCTTCTTATTCATGACAGCACATAGTGTTTTTTTATGATGGACGCAAACTGTAAAATCATGCAGGAGTTTAGAGGGACGTTCATGGGTCCCAAGTGTTTGTGTTGGTGTCCACTGTCCATAAAAATGGTTTAGTAGATCACAAATCATGTCAGATAGGTGGAGGTTTTAAAAGCTGAAGTGTGACAAATTTTTTAGTTAAACTATTAATTTATAATGTTTAAGTAAGAAATGTTACAAAGTTTTAACAGTGATGCTTGTTCTCAGCATTACTTACCAAGCTGTTGTAGTTGCTGTAACCACAGGCAGCAGCTTCTGAAGAATTTCATCTGCTGTGTTTTGTGTGACACTAATTGAAAATAAAAAAATAAATAAGTTAAATTTTAATTAGAACAGTAATAATTCATAACTTAAGTAAATGATACATGATACCTTCCTAAATGCGCTGAAATTTATTGTGGCGAACAGGACGGCCGAGGGGCATGAGAGAACGGCGCGAGGCCGGTGGTGTGATTGTTAATAAGCCGCACCTGTGAGAACACCGGCCTCACATCTCTCACGAAGCAGCGGAAGCATAAAGGGTAAGCGACGATGTGGAACATGAAGAGAGGAACGGGCCTGCTTTTGTTTCTAATTTGTTATGTTTCATTTTGGTAGCCAGCAGTTCTGTGAGGGGCTGCTGCTGGCAGGTATTTTATTTCTTTCAGTTAAATAAAGTTTTATTTGATCCTCCGGTTTCTGCCACCTTCTTCCTTAAACGTTTTTAATTAAACACTGCTTTATAAACAGAAGTGTCAAGTAACTAAGTACAAATACTTTGTTGCCTTACTTACTTAAGTAGAAATTTTGGGTATCTATCTTTTCTGAAGTAATTATTTTCAGCCGACTTTTTACTTCTACTTCTTACATTTTCACGCAATTATCTGTACTTTCTACTCCTTACATTTTAAAAATAGCCTTGTTACTCCTATTTCATTCTGGCTTGTCATCGTTCAAAAAAAAAGAAAGAAAAACCTATCCAGATAAATAGCGCCATCCGGATAGACTGCATTTGACTGTGGTTGGATGAGAAGTATAAACATATACATGTACCATTCAGACACCCTATTGGTTTGTACGCAGTCAATCACACCTGCAATGTGACATTGTTGTCATTAGCTATACTAAAAAATTGAGCATGGAACATACCAGGAAGGTATCAATCAGGATTATTAGGAGTTATTTTTTTAATTAATTACTTGGATTAATCATTCATTTTGAAAACCAAAATGAATGATTGGCTGAAAATAGTGTGTAATGTTGCTGTTGATGCATGAACAGTATCTGCAAAGTTGCAGCGCTGTAAGTTCAAAGTAAGCAGAGATATCGTCTTTTAAAAATCAGGAAGTTTAATGTCTACAAAAACCCATAGATTTACATCAACCCTCCCCCGGAATATGTATATTTAGATATTTGCTTTACTGTTTTTCACCCTCTATTTCCCCGATGACCATTTTGTACCCCATATGTATACTGTTAGGTTCTGTGAACGAGAGGGTCGCTTCCCTGCACCTCCGGGTCGGGTATAGGTCTCTCACTGTCGTGTTTGCCTACAGGTCGAACAGCAGTGTAGAGTACCTGGCCCTCTTGGCATCTCTGGTACCCCTTTTCCACCAAAAAAAGAACTGGTTCTGAACTGGTGCTGGTTAAAAGTTGGTTCGGAGTTGGTTCAACTTGTGAACCCGTTCAGAACCTGTTTGTTTTTCCACTGACTATGGTACCCAGAGAACGACGTTGTTACGTCACAGTGTACGTCGCCATACGTCTTAGCTAGAAACGCTCGCAAGTACAAAATAACTTTCGGATTATCTCGAACTCGTGTACCAAGAAGGCTTTAAAAACAATTAAAATATGTAAGTCTTTTAATCTTTTCCTTTGATATGTAATCTTTTCTGATTAGTTATGTACCCCTGTCTTATGTCTTTTTTCTTTCCATTAATTTGTTCTATATTGTGACTGTTTTCATCTTTGCTTATAATGTTTTCAATAAAAAAAATTAAATAAAAATAGAAACGCTTGCGCCAACTTCAAGCATAACAATTACAAAGGCGGACTCCATCGTGTTTCTGCAAATGTTTCTCTTGGCTTCGATCCTTATTTATTGTCAAAAAAGATGTTTAGAACAGATCTAAACCTGGCCAAGCCCCCGACGTGAGCATGACGTGGTGAAAGAACGGTTCTAGACCAGCAAAGAGTTGGTGCCGCTTTGGAACCAGTTCTCCTGGCCGAGAACCGGTTCTTTGGCTGTCGAAACACAAAGAACTGGTTCGCGCGCGGGCACCGACTCCGAACCGGCTCTCAAAATGTTTTGGTGGAAAAGGGGCTTGGGAGGGGTACCTGAAAGTGCTCTGACTGGGGACTCCATCATTCTACTGGGGGACCTCACCGCCCATGTGGGCAGTGACAGTGACACCTTGAGGGGCGTGATTGGGAGGACCGGCCCCCCTGGTCTGAACCCGAAGCAGTTGTCTGTTATTGGACTTCTTTGTTAGTTACAGCTTGTCCATATCAAACACCATGTTCAAGCATAAGGGTGTCAATCAGTGCACTCAACACTAGGTGACACATGGCAGTCGAGCCTTACTAGGACACAGCCACGGTTTGAGAAACACCTGCAAATGATGTACAATATCCCAAAAATCAGACTGTGCCCCGTGATTTAAACACCTGATCTCTGAGATTCTCTTTGTTCATAATGTTTTAGACTGTAATGATTGCACTCAGTGTTACTTACCGATCATTTCTGTCTCCAATAAATCTTCTCAGGTCAAACTCCTCCAGTGTCTCCTCTGAGGACAACAACACAAACACTAAAGCTGACCACTGAGATGAGGAGAGTTTCACATCAAGTAACCTTCCACGGCTTGTATGAGGTTCAGCTTCGTTCACTAGAGAAAGATCACCCAGTTCATTCAGACAGTGAAACAGATTGATGTATTTATCTGGAGAGGGATTCTCACTGATCTTCTCTTTAATATAGTCAACTGTTCCCTCATTGTTGTGAGAGCTGTTTGCTGTCTGTGTCTTTAGTTCTTGTAAGAGACTCTGATTAGACTCCACTGACAGACCCAGAAGGAAACGAAGGAAAAGGTCCAGATGCCCATTTCTACTGTGTAAAGCCTCATCCACAGCTCTCTGATGAAGATCAGATAGTGAAGCTGTGTCTCTATTAGTTGGTTTGGTAATCTGGTCAAACACATTGATGTTCTTGTTGATAAAGGAGAGATGCACATATAGAGCTGCTAGATGTTCCTGAATGCTCAGATGAACAAAGCAGAAGACTTTCCCCAGACACAAGCCCAACTCCTCTCTGAAGATCTGAGTGCACAATCCTGAGTAAACTGATGCTTCTGCCACATCAATGCCACACTCGCTCAGGTCTTCCTCATAGAAGATCAGGTTGCCTTTCACAAGCTGCCGATACGCCAGTTCCCCCAGTTTGAGGATCATGTCTTCATCTTTCACTTTCTTCTCATAGTCCTTATCATGTTTGATGTTGGTCTGAATGAGCAGGAAGTGTGTGTACATTTGAGTGAGAGTCTTGGGAATCTCTCCTGTCTCTGCTTCACTGCACATCTCCTCTAGAACAGTGGCTGAGATCCAGCAGAACACTGGGATGTGGCACATAATAAACAGGCTCTTTGTGGACTTCAGGTGTGAGATGATTCTTTTAGCCAATCTCTTTTTACGAATTCTCTTCCTGAAGTATTCCTCCTTCTGTGTGTCACTGAAGCCTCGTATCTCTGTCACTCGATGGACACACACAGAGGGGACGAGATCCGCTGCTGCTGGTCTGGAGGTGATCCAGATGAGAGACGAGGGAAGCAGATTCCCCACAATGAGGTTCGTCAGCAGCTCGTCCACTGAGGCTGATTCAGTCACATCACACAACCTCACATCGCTTTGAAAATCCAGAGACAGACGACACTCATCCAGACCATCAAAGATGAACAGCACTTTATACTCCTCACTGGATATGGCCATTTCTCTGGTTTCAGGGAAGAAGAGATGAAGAAGATCTGAAAGACTGAGTGTTTTGTCCTTCATCAAGTTGAGCTCTCTGAAAGCCAGTGGAAATATGAGCTGGACGTCCTGATTCTCTTTCCCTTCAGCCCAGTCCAGGATGAACTTCTGCACAGAGACTGTTTTTCCAATGCCAGCGACTCCCTTTGTCAGCACAGTTCTGATGGGTTTGTCTTGTCCAGGTAAAGGTCTAAAGATGTCATTGCATTTGATCGGTGTGTCCTCTGTTTCTGCTCTCCTGGACTGTGTCTCAATCTGTCTCACCTCATGCTCATTATTGATCTCTCCACTTCCACTCTCGGTGATGTAGAGCTCTGTGTAGATCTCATTCAGGAGTGTTGGGTTTCCCTGCTTTGATATTCCCTCACACACACACTCAACCTTCTGTCTCAGATTTGATCTCAGTGTGTTGAGGACTTCAGCAGGTTCAGAGTCATGGCTGGAAGATTAAAATACCACATTATTACACAAGTCAGAGAAGTAAATAACCATAAAGAGATCACGAGCAGCTTTAACTGAGGCTCTACAGCAATCTGTCACGACACATTAAAGAGCCAAAAAACGGTATTTATTGTTTAAATTTTACCAAATTTGAAAGTTGAGACTTTCATACCAAAAGTAACCTGGTCTGTCCTGTCTGTTGGGGCGTTGTCATGGCTTGTCGGTAGGGTTGGGTATCGGTTGGGTTTTATACAATACCAGTACCTACTTGTTATTTTTTTTAAATGGTTCCGGTGCCTAAATGGTTCTTGAAACGGTTCTTAAGAAAACGAAACCGAACACACACTTTGTCAAAAACTAATACCCTTTTATTTACAGGGCCAAACTGGACACAATATTAACTTAAATCTATAAACAATATAAATACAAGTAACATATGGTAATAATAAAAGCAATTTAAAATATAAATTTGCATTTACAAATAAAACAATATTGTATCAAAAAATGTAATAATGCTGGAGATTAATGGAGATTACTACCAGGGTGCGTTCACTGCCAAACTCCTCGCGCTGCCGAGTCGACAAGCTTCCTTTTTCGCCAGAGAAATCTGAGGAGCAGATGATGCGCGCTAATATAATATGACGACATAAGAGCGTCAAGGCGGCGCTCGTGCCATTAGCCAATGGATTGCCGTGATTCTATATAGACTTAAGACAATCGGCACACCTAGGGCGTTCTGACGCGTTTTTTTTTCACACGT